CGGAGCGCATCCCCGTTCTTCCTGATGATGGGTTATGAGCCTAGAGGCATCCCTTACGCATTCCCACCTACCGACATCCCTGCGGACGAGGACCGTGTCACCAACCTCCAGGAAATAAGAGAAGAAGCGGTGTCATGTCACAACATCGCTATGCAACAAATGGCCGAAAGGACGCACAGGAAGAAGTATGAACCATGGAAAATTGGAGACAAGGTGTGGTTGTCAGCGGAACATTTACTGACCCACCTACCCTCGAAGAAGCTAGCGCCAAAGCGGCACGGCCCCTTTACCATTATCAAGGTGCTATCTCCCATCACCTTCACACTCCAGCTACCGGAACAATGGAAAGTCCACCCCACGTTCCATGCATCTGAATTATCCTCCTATTGGGAGACAGAAGTCCACGGTCCGAATTTCATTGAACCCTCACCTGACATTATCAATGGGGTTGAGGAGTACAAAGTCGAGGCGATCCTCGCACACAAAGGAACAGCGGCACGCCGTCGCCATCTAGTATCCTGGAAAGGATACTCATCTGCCAGCAATGAATGGGTCAAAGAGGCTGACCTAGAAAATTCCCAGACACTTCTCAAAGCGTATAAGAGAAGGACGAAACTTGCTTGAACAACAGCAAACCCAAGCAACTCAACCAAGAAAAACATGTCTACTGCCCCCTCCACTCTTACCCTTGACTCTCCTGAACTCCAACAACATTTCGTCCCCATCGCCCAGACTGAACGCTTTGTGCTAGATGAGCACTCCTCCATTGCATCCTCCATCTCCGACCCCTCATCGTCAGAGGATACCGACGTATCACTATCATCCTCTCTATATTTTACCGTCATTGATCGTATTGAGGGAGACGCCCTCTTTGAAGCAACACTTCTATCAGAGCAACACGCACTCAAGCTGGAGAGAAAGCTCACTGAGCGCCCAGCAAGAAGCGCCTCAATAATAGCGGCCGTCATTAATATCATTAGGACCACCCGCCTGATTGAACTATCTGCAAACCGAATCGCCCCCGCCTCTGCACAAGAAGCTCATGAAATTGTCCACTCCCAGCGGCGCATCAGATCGATTGCGCTTCAGCTTCTCCCTGATAGCCTTAAACCTGATATGCTATCAGTTATACACATCGTTGCCAACCGAACCACGACTGAAGTCGCTCGGCCGCCTTCTCCTCCTCCTCCTCACTCCCATCATCAGTCACCAGATTGTGACACAACTCCTGCTCTACTACCAATCAGAGCACCGAAACCTCAGGTCGCTTCTAGAGGAAGAAACCTGTCAGATATCAGACCACCCGCACCTTCGAAAGGCGCTGTATGAAAGCCTCTACTAGAGGAAAAGAAAAGGAGGTCATTGACCTCACGTCCCCTTCACCACCCCCTCGCATCTCAGCAAAGAAGCCGGGTTTTGATAACATCAAATGTCGCATTTGCGGAGAATACGGGCACCGTCACAAGAACTGCCCTCAGTACTCCTGCGTGGTTTGCCACACCATTGCCCCCGGACACCTTTCGGTCTATTGTAAAGACCTTACAGGAACCTACCCCCTCCCGATCAGTCTATACTGATGACGGATTCTATGAAGCCCTCCGTAACTGGGAGGCAGACCAACACGCATTCTATGAACAAGAATGTGAACGAGCCAATGAAGACTACCGCAACCAACCAAGTTCCTCAACAGACCTTGATGACTTTAACAACGCCGAAGCAGACCCCGTCTACTATGACGACGCTAGAATGGATTGAAGCTGGAGACTTCAATGGTTACACCGGGGTAATGTTACAATAACATTTACTCCTATTCTATTTTTCTTTTGTAACCATGCCGCCGACTCTAGACTCATCTAGACTCGGCTATTCTCTTATCAAGTGGGCTGTCCGCACTTCTCTTCTTCTTGATTGTAACATAGATACTATCTTGCACTGCATGGCGGTTTCACCTATCTTTGCTATCTTGATAGGTTGTATTCTTTTCCCTATCTCTGTTACCTTTCTTGTCGCGGCTATGCCGCTCCTTTTTACCTATATAAACCCCATGTACCATAGCTGTATTCCTTAACTTAATCTACTGGGTTTTCCCCTTGAAACCTGATCTACTAAGGTCTCCACCCTTAGTAGCCTGAACCTTGATTCTAAGACAGTCACTCACTGTCTTAGCCTGAACCCTTGACTGCGGTAGAAGTGCTAAAACCACTCACCGCCTAGGCAGAAGTGCTAAAACCACTCGCCGCTGATCCTGCATAGAAGCCGTGGCTCGTGCAGTAGGAACCACCAGAAACCTTCCTTGTATTAGGAAGGCCGACGAACTGTTCGCCCGACAGGTCTATCTTGACCGGCAACAGCAGAACTATCCCAGTCGTAACAGTCTCTGTTTCTATCTCTCTATCTCTGTTTCTCTAGGATTGGGATCTATTTCTTTTATCTCTGTTTCACTGGTCTGGGTTCTGTTTCACTCTATCTATTTCTTTAGCTTGGGATCTGTTTCACTCTATCTGTTTCACTCTTTCTACCCATTGAAAGCTAACAGTCTGAATGCTCGTTTATTGTCGTGTCACTAATGTGTTATAGATTTTAGCAAACATATTCTGAGCGTTTGTTTCTTGCTGCTGATACTAATGTACTTTGGATTGTAGCGAATACATTCGAGTCTTATCCTTGGAATCTTCGTGTTGTCTCTACGTCCGCTAAAGGCTCAGAGTAGCTTAGTGGGGAGACTTCAGGAGTTGATTATTGTCCGCTTGACCTCACACATCTGAGTAGTATACTGAGCCAGGATTGTTATTTGTCAGATAGGCTTTAGCTATTGAATAGGGGACTTGGTATTGAAATTCAAGGACATCCGTTTCTGATTCTGTTTAATACTCATCGTGAGTTCCTTGGCAGCAGATTCAATATTAGGCTAAGAGTTCTACAGAAGCTTTTGACAAGTCTTGACCTTTGATCCTACCTGTTTGCGCTGTGGGAGTGACCAATACAGCTTCACATGATTGTTTCATAGTAAGTTTAGAATATAGCACCATTGATTGTGCCTACTCTTAGTTCTCATTTCTGTTTAGCACCAGTGATTGTGCTTAGTTTTGGTTCTTTTTTTCCTGTTTCTTTGTTTCTTTTAGTCAACACCATATCACTGGGTTGACTAGTGTTTCTAGACTGATATCATAGAGTACCTTTGTCTGACTGTAGCTTGGATATACTGACAGGCCACCCATGAATGACCATGTTATCAGTCATTGGTATTTGTCTGAATTACTGACCATGGAGATATTTGATTTTGTAGGTGTTCATCTATAGATCATCTATCTAAGAAGACAGTGACTGTCGAAATCCTGCACAATATGGACCTTGGTCCTATCAAGAAATGGGTTGACAATCATCTTTTCTTTAGATACACTCTAGAAGGGGGTGTCATTCAAGCGGATTGCTCTATCTCACCCTTTACCTATGCACATGGACTCCCCCAAATCTACGAATATTCATGGTCACTCGAGGTGCTGTGGCACCCCAAGAAGTGGACTGAATTCACCTTCACCTTTGTTTACTCGGGCTTTCTGTGGGACCTAATCCTTCATTCAGTCACCTTGCCCAAGGCTAAGAGGGTGAAACATTGCGACAAACTTGCAGCGATACTGGACATGTTGTCGAGTGGAAGGCAAATGACATGCAACAATGCCATGAGTATAAATGGATCTCTATCACACATCGCCTTTGTCATTCCCATGGACGAGCATACCTTGCTAACTTATTGTCATTCATCGCTGACTTCCCTTCAAAGCACGCTTCTTGCTTCCCTCATATGTTGGTCGTTTCTGACTTGAAATGGTGGCTGGATGTCCTCAGTTTCCCTCTTCCACCTCGCTCACTTGTTCCAAGGGGGGAACCATGTGATCTCGACTTATGGGTAGATGCATCAACTGACTGGGGAATAGGCCTCATCATGGGTAACAAGTGGAACATGTGGACATTGCGCCCAGGGTGGAAGGCACAAGGGAGGGACATCGGGTGGCTGGAAGCCATCACCGTTGAGCTTGCAGTGAGAACACTCTTTGAGTCTGGGTGGTGCAACACCACAGTACTCATCCATTCTGATAACCAAGGAGTCATCAGTGCTTTCAAGCATGGCAGGAGTTGGAATTTTCAAGTCAATCTCTGTATTTGCAGAGTGGAGTCCATTGCCATGGCCTCAAATATATTGCATGCACTTATTTATGTTAAATCGGAACAGAATAGGGTGGACAAGACCTCTCACGGTGGGGTCAGGCCCCCTGTTCTTTGTCTTACTCCCATTATGCTCCCAGAGGAGCTTCACCAATTCATTTTAGATTATGTATAGTACACTTTCACCCCTGACACCGGTATGTGCTGGCATCACAACAGATCTGGCCTTGCTCATGGAATCTTTAGCAAGACCACTGAGGGTAGGGGAACTGCCCACTTCTGTTTGCAAAACACCTAAGCCATGTAAACCCAAAAACAACAACATTCTTGTGCATTCCATTTTACGTCCATATGTTCTTGCTTGCAACCGCATTCGCATTTGGTCCACACCCCACACAATGTTCTTTCACACTTCAATACTTTTGCACCTCCCATTCAATGACATCCTGAAACTTCTTGATGTAATGCTAGTGTCCATTGAGGTCAAAATGTGTGAGAACTACGGGGCTGGGCTCTTGAGGTTCCATCAGTATTATTACTCAAGAAACATACCTGAAAAGCTACACATGCCTGCCCCAGACCACCTCCTTGCGTTGTTCATCACTTCTTGGGTGGGGAAGGTATCCAGTTCTACAGTTCAGAATTGGATTGCTGGGATTCATTTCTGGCACAACATACATGGTGCTCCCTGGCATGGTCATACCCTCATTTGAACAGTGGCTTCAGGGCTTACTAAGGTAGTCCCACAGTCTTCAAAGAAGCCTCATCGTCCCCTGGTAACCTTGGAGCATATGCACACTCTTCTTCAGTTTCTTGATCTATCTAACATGTTCGACATGTCCATTATTGCAACCGCATTTACTGCATTTTGGTCTTGTTGCAGGTAGACATGCACATTTAGGATCCTTTCACATTTCTAACACACATTTTTCTTAGACTTGGGGAATTGTTCATAGATTCCGTCAATTCATTTAATCCTACACGCCATGTATCACACAACACACCTCTGCATCATGGTCTTACTCCTACTGTATTCCCCTTTATCGTCTTAACAATTCCTTGGACGAAAATGTTGCATACCGAAGGAGCGAGCATAGTGACATCTGGTGTGAACGACCCGTCGAATCCTGTTTCTGCAATCACTCATCATCTTTCAGTTAATAGCAACATTCCTGGAGACGTACCTTTCTTTGCTTTTGAGACAGATACTGTTACAAGAACATCTAGATGCTTGGGCCCCTACCATTTTTCTCCTTATCCTCCTCGTCTCAGTCCTTGCATCACACCCTTACCCCAACCTCACTCTCATTATTCTCGTCATCCTTGCTTTCCCCTTTGCTCTCTACCTGTCGCTCCAGCAGAGCCAGTACATCTGGCCAGACTCTTTCTCTGACAAAGCATACCCGTGCTCTGTTTCACCCATTGACTGATCCTGTGGACAGTCCCCTCTACCCTTACCATCTGGATGGTAACCTATGATACAATGCATGCCATATCCCCTTTGCCCTGTTTCCTTTCTTGATCTATGACTTGGTGCGCAGTTGCACAATTGTGCCCCTGCTTGTTTCACTTCCTGTTTCTGTTCTTTGACTCATTTCTTATCTGCACGTTCCGGTTCACCTATGACTCACCTTGAACGTGCCTTCCTTTTCTAGTATCACCCTTTGACCAGTTCCTCTTCTGGTAGTATGAGTTATCATCCACTAATACACTTCCTCCCCTCTATATAAACTCGCTACCATGTATCTAGTTCCTTAACTTGAATCTACTTGGTTCTTGACCTCCTACTCTCACCAGAGTGATTCCTTCAGCCTAGCCAGCTGTCCATATTCTACTTTCTTATCTGCTCATCACGGATAAGTCTTTAGTCTCAATCTTTACTCATCGACTTCGTCGTTGAGCAAAGCCCCTGTTACTAGTTGGACTTCTGTCCTTCTATTAACACAGATCTTACGATTAACCTTTGGGTGTCATAAGCCTTGGCAGATACGCTTATCGTCGAAGCCCTGCTTAACATAAGCTACCCGATTTGGACATAGGCATTAAACCTTGCTTGCCAAAGCTTCACCAAGCAAGACTCCTAACCTTGGGCTAGCCCAAGGACGTCCTCGACCATTGACGACACATGCTCTGTTTGACCGTCGCCAACAGACACTATCCAAATCCATAACAAATACTGGGAATTGGGCTCCCATGACCCATATCTGGTTCATGAATCATTGCAACAAAATCTGGAGAATTGCAGGTCTTCCAGAGTTATCAGGCCACTGTTTCAGGATCGGGGGAGCCACGGAACTCCTCAGAGGAACACCACCAGATGTTGTTGCAATGCAAGGAAGGTGGAAATCCCGAGCCTTTTTAGAGTACTGGAGAAAGATTGATTCAATTCTGCCCATGTTTGTTACTTCCTCATTCTCGGACTCACGTGTTGTGTTGATCCACTCTTCAATGAATTCATTTTCCCATCATTACCAATAGCTGTACGCATGCTTTATTACTTTGTGTCCACACATGTCACTTTGCAATTGTATTTATTTTTTTACAGCCTCGGTTTTGGAGGATCGTGCTTCACTTAAAGAGAAGTTTTCTCCTTGGCATGCCTGATGTGAGCCTTGCTCGTCATGGGTAGTGTTGTGCTCCTGGCAAAAACTTACTCATCTACCTCACACTCGAGGGTTTTTGGTTTTGCTTATTTTGGTATGCTTTTGTCTCTGATCGTCACCATTATCATGCACATTCGCGTCTTCTCTCTAAGTTATCAGCAGTATGCGCGCAGTCATGTGACACCGACCTTATCTGCATGAGACTGACTTCTTCGCATAGAGAAACACTTCACATCGCACTTCGGAGGCACAGCAACTCTTTCAGCATGCAAAAAACCAATCCCTCCAAAAAAAAACCTTTCCTAGTCCTTGTCACTGTATGGATACAAAACCATGTCTGATTCTGTAGTCAGTTTGATTCGTCCGAGATAGTGCATTCTCAAGATGCGATGTGTCAGACTCACACGTGATGTCTTGTCTTGAGAACGCACTTTTTTGTCTTCAGCAGAGAGCAAGATAGTAAGCTGGCACAAAGAAAATCAGACAGATCAATAATAATGATTAAATATCTGGCGACCCCCAATTAACCCTACTAACCCTCCCAAAATCGCGAATCCATTTAACTAACTGGGTTAAGTTAAGTTAAGTTATAACTCTTTTAACAGGTTAGTAACAACATTGAATGTATGAATGGTATGGTGGAGACAAAGTAACGAGAGATGTATAAAGTTGTTGACAGATTCCAGATTGATGGGCAACATTGCGAATTTGAATGGTGCACAAGTAGCTGGGGGAGTGATGTATTAAATACTTGTAACTGTAATAAAGTGTGATACACGAATCATTCTGAGCTGTAGGACCACTGATACATCAATGTACTGGGCTGTACAATCCCCTAATAGGCTGAGTATAGAATATGAACAGGCCATTCTCGGCATTCTCAATCTTACAAATCTCTATGTAGTCTGTACCTTGTGATCTTAATCTCATTCCTTGTGATTGAGCTGTGTTTGGATGGCTGAGTGCAAAATATATATATATATGTCTACATGAGTGATGTATCAACCGCACAATTTAGGATGCGTGTCGATGGTAGGTTCATCCTCGGTGTCACTGTCCAGTGGAATGTCAAGGGCGGCACTTACAAACATAGGTACATCTTTCCATAGGTCTTGAAAAGAGGCCACAAGAGACAGCCACAGTGCAGCCTGTCGACATGTGTACGCAGCCAGTCCTTCTTGGTCCGCTGTCGACTCCAGGGTTCGAGAACTACGCCTTCCACTCCACCACTCTGCCTGCCACCTCAAGAACACTATAACTCTTCGCATCTCCTCGAGGAGGAGTTCAACTTCCTCCAACCAGCAGTTTGCGTGCACGTGCACTTTGCACCACTCAACTTGAACAGCTATCAGATGTAGTCAGTATACCATCTCAAACTAGAGCTAGCAGACTCACAATCCTGAACTCGCTCATTTTCTGAGCTGCTATTGTCCACATGTGAGTCCAGCCAGATCCAAGAAATAGTACCAGTGCCTTGTCTCTCCATGTCGCCCATAGGCTTCACTTGTGAGTCCAGCAGTGGGGGAAGGGACACATCCCAGCCAGACTTATTGAGTCGATGGCCAAGAGCTAACAGCGCATTATGTGTACGCCAATACTTGTCAACACTAGCACATTTCCTCCGCTCCACACCTTCAATGAGGGCCTGTGCGCAGGTGGAAGCGGCCTGACCACATACATTTCGATCTTTGTAGATATACATGTGAGACCAGAGGTGGAGATGAGAACGGACCTCATTAAGGGCATCCAGTGTTTGTGTGTGATATAGATCCCATTTGTGTTCAGCCAGCCTGTTGTGGCATCCTGCTGTTGGTTGGAGTTCAGATGGGAGCCAAAGCTTGAATGCCTCAGGCTTTAGCTGCGCCGTATTTGACACGCCAGCATCTGAAGATCGATGACAGAGCTGGGACACAACGGGCATATATAGCTCTTGGACACAAGCCCAGGCATCCAGTCGACGTTGGAGGGTGGTGATGCAAGTCTGCATGGTAGCCTTCTGCTTGGCTGTGGGATGAAGAGACACATTAGCAATATCCATTTTTAGGCACTGTCTTGTTGGGATCTTTGTTATTGTGGTGAACTTGATGAACAAAAACACTCACTGTTGGTCTTGAAGATCAATGCCAGTGGTGATTAGTCTGCTTGGGGAAATGTCGGTATGCAGGGAGACATTGATCCCAGCCTGAAGTTCGTGGGCTTCAAGCTCAGCAAGCTGTAGATGAACTGCAGCCTGTGTAATAGCTGGCAAACGTTAATTCGCAAACTCCAAAAAATAGCATTGCTCACAAGCATAGCGGCTCTCGAACGGATTAGGTTGAGAGTTGTCCACCTCCCAAGCTTCAACTTCTTTTCTCCACTGAAGGATGAGAGCTGGCTGAACTGTCCTCTCTAGCTCTGCCAGTCCTTCCCCATGCTCCTTCTTCCACTTAACGGTGTCACGGATCTTGTGCAAGAGCATACAACCTATTCACAGATAAGCACGAGACTTCCACCAGAGAAACAACACTGACCCAGTGCCATAACTTTCTTCCAGTTCCAATCCCCAAAATGGTCATTGAGGGTATCTCGACATGACCCTGGGCCCATCTCCTTTGTGCTTGTTGTGATGTGATTTATATTTGACCAACCGCGCTCGGGAGCTTCACCATCCGTTCATCCCACGTGTTTTGACCTTTGACATGTGTCAATGTGCGCCTTCAGGTGAAACTTCGGCATGAAAAATTAGATGGTCATTGAGTCGTGAGGTATGTGAAACCTTGAGGGCATGCCTTCCATACGCATCCAGAGCTTCTTATGCCATTGACAGGCAATATTGTATGATATGTTGATCATAGTTACCGTGAAGGCCAACAGTGCCGAGAATATGAGGTAGTCCATATTAATATATCTATATACAGCAAATCAATCCATCAGTATGCACATGATATACAATGAAAGTACAACACACTTTTCACCCTTTTGTAAGTCTCCGACACCGTTGGCAAGCTTCATATCATGTCTGGCACAGTCTACTGTACCAACACCTATTGCAGCCAGACCATGTGAAGACTTTGTATCTGCCAAATTAACGGCATTGTGACTGACACACGTACTGCGCTGTATACTACTAGTCAGATGAGTCACATCACATAATAGTAGGGTCATGTACTTACATCTTGCTTGACGCCAGCTTGATGGGTCAAGTATGTTTTGTAGTCAGTCTCCTGAACAAAATATGCCCACCCAGAGTTGAGGCTAGGGTCGACATTGTCTGATGACACAGCCTTGTGTTTAAGCCTAAAGTTGGCGTCGATCGCAATGAACGACACATATTTCCACCTGGATTAGAAATAGTTCATCAGTATGAGGGTGTCGCTATAATTGACAATTAAGACTGACCTAACCGACAGTGTTTTGCCAGGGTGGGGACATGCTGGGCACTGCACAGCCAATTCACCCATGGTGGTGGCCTTGATGCTGCCAGTATCATATCCTCTTCCTGCACGCCAAAGTTGCTTGAGATGTCGCCATTCATGGACCATGCACATGAATGCAGAGTAGCAATCCTAATGTCTCATGTCAGTATTCCGTAGTCACAATATTTTCTAGATACATACCTTTATAACTGACAGGCCAGCATTATTGTTCCGTCTTGCCAGTGAGTGGTAAAATTTGTAGGCAGACACTTTGCTCTTGAATGACAGAAGTTGGAAGTGTTCCATCAGAGTGAATGTTGCAGCAGTATGAGGGTCCGATGTGGTTGCTGGATACCAGTATGTGCGGAGTAGCTGTTTGTAGTGAATTTGAGCGCTTGCACACCCACAAAAATCAAGGGCAATCTCATGGACACCGTGGACGTCGATAACAACAAACTCATCACCAGAGGATGGACGAGGATTATAGCATCCCTTGCCTGGGGTGTGACCTACCTACTGACATTATGGTCATCAGTTATTCTTGCTTCCCTACCACCGCTTGTGAGTCCAACAAAAAACACAGATAAAAATGCTAATCGATGCTCACAACCAGTATGCAATCCTCGCAGTCAACTTCACCTACAATCCCCTATGCACCTACCAGTGCTGCATCCCTGATACGTAAACGCCAAGGTAAGCAAATCAACCTACTAGGTATTGTCAGAATCAAGCTCATAATCAAATGTACCTACTAGACATCATTTAGACGTCATTTTGCGCGCCCATTACCTCGTAGCCAAGCATTATAAAACTGTATTGTGCTGCTGGGAGAGCTTGAAGTAGCGATATTAGTAACTATAAGATTGAGTAGACGTATAATAATCATTGCACGTGCCATGAACAATAACTTCAAGGAGAATCTTATCATTCACATGTGATCTGCATGAGCTTAGTCACCTGGTCTTTGCTTTATGTGCACAAGTCAGTTGCTGTTCTTTCTCTTATATCCAAGGACTTACCTACAATGTGTTTTTGAGGATCCGCCTGGGCTGCATAAATACCTGTCTTGGTGAGTGATGTATCATTCATTATTTCATACTCCTCTGCTCAATCTTGTTATATGACTCCAATCCCACTGGCAGCTCCTTCCAGTCAGACAGACACTCTGGTGTCCATTAGACTGGACAGTCTTATTGGTATCCTGCAGGGACTTGCTCTCATTGATTGTGTTCACTAATAATTTTTGCGCAGGGATGCTACTGGCCCCAAGGTGCTTGGAGTTTCATGTGCCATATATCACAAGGTGGAATCTGTTGAGCAAGGTGCTGGGATTGTGAAGTGCACTATAGAACGTGGTGAGGTGGCGCAGGTAGTTTAGTCTTAGCTGGCACACATCCTTCAGTTGTCAATATGTACCACTTTTCGATGGTGTCAGGAAGTGTCTCCTTCCTGTAGATTGCTTCGCGAAGGCTTGGGTTCAGGCCTTTCTCAAAGAAGTGTGAGAGTGTCACGCCTTCCTTGATATTGGCGATGGTAGCCAACGTTTTGAACTTCGAGATGTAGTCCGTAACGTTGTTTCCCATTCTGAGTTCAGCGATTTCGGTAAGGGCATTCACCTGCTTATCAACGGGTTGAAATGCAAGGTTGAATCCTTTCTCGAATTCTGCGAACGTTCCGAATTTCGGAGGGTTGGTGCTGAAAGCTTCGCGATAGAAGTTATCAGCCCATGCTTTAGCGCTGTTCTTTGTCATTAATGACAGGGCGACGGACACCATGATCTGCTCGCTGCAATAGACGGTGGGGTTGATGAGGAAGTACGTCTTTAAGCTGTAGAGCCATCGTTGTGCGTCGTCGGTGTTCCCATCGTAATCCGTTGGTGACCCTGCTTTGAGTTCAGGGGCACGAACTACGACGGCGGTGGAGGAGGATGATGGGTTAGACATTCTTGTCTTCGGATTGGCGCTAGTGTTTCGGGGAGGTACTTCGTCTGGAAAGTCCTCTTCAGAAGTCGGAGTGTTTCCTAGATCTTCTTCGTCGTTCAGTCCCTCGTCTGAGTGGTACTGCTCTGTCGGTGAGGTGGGAGAGCTAAACTGTCCGTCTACCTCTTCTTCGTCAGGATCTTCCTGATTCGGGTCGCGCTCCCAAGAGAACTTGCGTGTCCAGGGAGTGGTCGTCTTGTATCTGTTTCTGTCCTCGATAGGTGTCGAGGGCTAGAAGGTAACTTGAATCTTTTGTTACGACTTGGATGGTATCTGTTGGCGACGCTCAAACAGAGCTTGTGTCGTCAACGGTCTGTGGACGTCCTTGGGCTAGCCCAAGGTTAGGGGTCGTACTTGGCGTGTCTTCGGCAAGTACGATTTGACGCCTATGTCCAAATCGGGTAGCTTATGTCACGCGGGTGCGAGACGATAAGCTAAATCGGCCTAGGCTTACGACACCCGAAGGTTAATCGTAAGGATCGTCGTTAATTAGAAGGACAGAAGTCCGACTAGTTAACAGGGGCTTTGTTCGTCGACGAAGTCGATGAGCAAAGGTCGAGACTATAGGCTTATCCGCGAAGAGCAGATAAGAAGATAGAATATAGACTGCTGGCAAGGCAGAAGGATCACTCTGGTGAGAGTAGGAGGTCAAGAACCAAGTAGATTCAAGTTAGGGAATATGGTACATGGTAGCGAGTTTATATAGAGGGCAGGGACGTATTAGTGGATGATAACTCGTACTACCGGGAGAGGCAATCGGTAAAGGGTAAGACCATAATAGGAAGGCACGTTCGGTCTGGGTAGAACGTGCTAGATAAGAAAGTGAGTCAAAGATCGAAATAAGAAGTGAAACGCGCAGGGGCACGATCGTGCAACTGCGGATCTAAGTATAAGTCGCATGTGCGACTGCGCATCGAGTCAGAGATCATAAACGGGAAAAAGGGGACTATCCGCAGGATCAGTCAGGTGGTGAAACGGAGTATGGGTATGCTTCGTCAGCGAAAGGATCCGGCCAAATGTACTGGCTTTGCTGAAGCGACAGGTAGAGGGCGAAAGGGAATGCGAGGATGACGAGGATGACAAGGGTGAGGTCGGGGTAAGGGTATGATGCGAGGGCTGATACGAGGAGGATTAGGAGAAAAATGGTAGGGGCCCAAGCGTCTAGATGTTCTTGTAACATTTTTTGCTCTCATGTTCGGCTGTCTAAACTGAGCTTCGAGGTCATTATATTTGTTCGAGTGAGCAGAGGAGCACAGTGAAAATTTGAACCCACTCAAAAATAGCCCGTGTGCCATAGGCTAGCTATTAATAACACTTAATTATATGTTTTGGTCCTACCACGCCCCACAACATACCATTCTTGCCATTGCAAGTTTATATCTTAGCTGAATGGATCTTGGTGAAGGACCATGGTACTCTACAAGTCATTGTGCTTAGCTATCTCATTACAAAATCTGCACAACTAGTTGCTGTTGGTCGATCATCGGTTCAACCTTTTTCAAGGATCTGGTTACTGACTTTACTAAAACTTAGGGGGACTTGGGTATTCGAACACTAGGTAAGTCCAGAATGATATTTCCCACGAGGCAGCACTACCGTAGTGCATATCACACTCACAGTTATCTTTCTACTAGCATTCTACCTAGCTAGCAGGTCTCGCTCAGTCACAATGTCTTAAGATTGTGTTATGGTCCGACCATCCTTGCACATCCTCACAGGTGCTTCATTCACCGATCAAAGAGTTTTGGTTCAAACATATGTAAGTGCTCACTGTGATACATATCATACTGATTCATACACACATAGGTATCTTAATATTACCATTTCATTGAGGCAGCAGGTCTCTCTTGGACACGCCATGTGTTATGGTCTGACCATCCTTGCGTGTGCTTGACAAATCAAAGACTCATTGTTTTGGTCCAAACAAATGTGAGTGCTTCGTATTATGTGTTCTTCCCTTTGACTTTCACTATCCATCATTATGGTACGCCCAACTATTCATAAAACTCATCAAGATAGAGTACAGGCTGCGAGAGACAAGCGTAAACGACACTATCTAAAGTAAGCAATACACCAACAGTGTCTTTGAGTCAATTAATCGAAAAATTCCAGGTGTTGAGAGGCTATACTAGCAAAGTGGCATCAGTTGCGCCAAGAAAAAAAAAATTGTCTGGTCAATGATCCTTCGGATGATGAAGATGAGCCAATGTCGTATGGCTTTGACTTACACGACTCAATGTAACTGACATTACCAACAGTGAAACTTTACACGACTGCATTGCCACAGTCAAGCATGCCAAGGACGACTTTATGGCTTATGTCAAAGCTCCGTGAAGATTCTTTGACCTTCTTGTGGACAAGTACTCCAAGACTATGCCTGACCCCGAGTTATATCCTACTGGGCAAGGAGACAAATCTGTCTTCAAACACGCTATTGAAAATTTCGAAAATTTTATCGACAGAGCGAACAGTGGACTGGACGGTATCCTCCAGATGTGTGGTATTTGTGAGGAGTGGCGTGCTGCAGATGCCATCTGCAAGTTCATGAGGGAAATGGTAGGGATGGTGGAAGACATTTTGTTGCATCTGGCGGATGGCGGAGATGGTGAACTGGTGATTGCCTTCATGGAGGGTGAATTGTGGTACCAGGAGTACAAGTTCCCCGTCTAGTGTACCTAGTACTATGTACTTCTATCTATGTCCGAATTCTATCTATGTCCGTGGGACTATTGATTTGTGACAACAAACAGTGTGAAACATGCCTATATGCAAATCTTTCTGCAAAGATATCATGTACTGTCTCTATTGGTCTGGTCATGGTGCAATGGGACAACTATTTCTGGGAGTACGCACCGCATCTGTGGCTGAAGCAATCAGTATGCATCTGACTGATCTATTTCGTTTTGTGTCTGACTTTTATCTAGGGCATCCCACGCGACGCATCAAATCAGAAAAAGTGAGTGTAGATTACTTTAATGTTAGTGCGCTAATGAGTAGTTATTTAAGATGGCACCACATAGTTGGCTCTCAGAGGAGCAGCAGACCTTTGTGCTCACATACCATGAGAGCTTTCTTGAGTGCAAATAAAAGGGGAACTACAACAATTTCTTGCCCCCGTTTTTCGAGAAGTGGGAGGAAAATTGGCCAATCACTCTGGAAGACTCATCAGAGCCCCTAGATGAGAACGCGAGACTCAAGCAGATAGCTAAGGCAAGAGATGCCCTTCAGACAGTAATATTTGTATCCTAATCAGTGTATTCAAATATCGGCTAATCACATATGAACCTAGTGTTTGATGGTCAAACTATGCAATGACTTTGGTAATTTGAAGATAGGCCGCTGGGCAAACGCCGCTGGGAATACCATCATCAGCAAACTGATCGGCGACATCACCATCAAGTCAGGCAAGAAGAAATTGTGCTCCCTCAATGCAACCGAGGTTTACACCAAGAAATATCACGTGTCACGTGTCCAGCCTGCTGTGAAGGAGGAACTCAACACCATGAAGAACACACTTGATGCACCTGAACCCAAAACGCAAGTGATTAGGGTTGTTTGCAAACAACTAGCATCCTCCTGGGAGAATGAAAGTGCGGAGGTGAAGGAGGAAGTCATAAAATTGGCCCAAGAGATGAAGGAAAAAAGGGAGAAAGAGAAAGAAGTGGTTCATGACAAGGAGCTGCCAAAGGAGTTGTGAGTGATGCTGACTATCTCACTTCATCATCACTGATGGCAGGCAGGGTTATATGCAGACTTACAGAAATCCTGTCGACATTTTTCAGCAAGTTGCATGATTCGACAGGGTGGACCTTCAGTGTCTTACTTGCTGGTCCTGACCCTACAAATACAGGCAAACTCAATGTCAGTAGCTGCATATTGGGACCACCATTACTGGAAATCAATTCAATCAAGCATATCCGAAATTCGAGGAGACTATCATGGTGCCTTACTTTGAGTTCGCATCTCGAGCATTTCGTGAGTTGTCTAATGCTTGGTGTCTCTGTTTGAAGCTGATCAACATGTAGCCGATGCTGCAGTATTATTATCAAAGGGAACCACCACACCTGACCAGAATAATACATCACTGCCAGACACACAGGTGTGTGCTACTGTCTCTTCCGCATCCACTTCTACACCCAATACATCACTCACTACTGTCTCTTCCACATCCACTTTCACATCCGATACATTGCTCCTGCTGTCAGAATCATCCCCGTTGCACTCAGAACTGTCGGGTACACTTTTGGGACAGCCTACTTACGACTTCTTCCAATTTGCTCCCCCTGATCTTCAAGATGACAACATTGATTTAGATTTCAATCATACAATCCTACCGATGCCCCCCAACTACAAGCCACCATCTCCATTACCTTCATCTTCTCCATCTTCACCCACTTCCTCTCGAATGGATTGGTTTCCTTCTTCAGGATTCCCTCCTCTAACTTCTACCTTGAGAACTAGTCATGATATCTCATCCCGTGATGTGGCAGACTTTAATTTTTCTGGTCCCTCCAGACATGACTCTGACAACACCTTTGCCCTCACAACTTTGCCGACATCTCCTCCTCGTCTTTGCCACTTATTGTCCGCTCTCATAAACACTGCACATGTCAATTCTCACACATTTGCTTCATACAACAATGCCTCTGCTTCCATGGCAACTCCTGCTCCTGCGCACACACCAACTCCAGCAGAAATCCCTACTTCTGTGCAACCATCTACAATTGTGCCTGAACCTCCCACCATGGAACCTATTATGGCCACTCTTTTTCCACCCACTGTCACAACCCAATAACAAATTAACGCTGGGCAGAGACTAGGACTCAAACAAAGGTTATCGGACAAGAGAAGACAATGAGCAAGTACGTCTTGGATTGCTACAGTTGTAGATACAAGAGGTTTGAACTAAGGAACTATCGACCAAGACATGCTACCTATATACAACTATTGAGACGGAGATTGAAACTGAGTTACAACTACTAGCCAATCATAAAAAGAGAAAGGGAATTGTACCATAGAACATCGTAGAATATTAAAGAAGCATCACATGACCGTATCTTATCTTATTGTATCTAATCTAATCTATTCACAATCAAAGAACTCGTCTTCTTCATCAGTCACATCGAAGACATGTGTTGTGGGCGCTAAAGGTATTTCGGGAATGATAGACACTTTCAAGGTAGGGTTAGGGTTGGATTTAGACGCTGTGTATTGGCGCTTAGGAAGGTTCAGGAAAGAATAATGGTTTGTTAAAGGTACTCGTGACACCCACCACAGTTGGCGGGGTGTTACCAGTGACAACAAAGGCTTCCAAATGCAAGTCCATGAAGAGCAACACACATCTCAAGACAGTCTCTGCAAAGTGTCAGAAGAGGGAGGGTGCAGTGGTCCCATCCACTGAGAGCTCACAGCCCATTGAGGGAGGCCGAGGTAAATGACAGCGCTTCCAGTCATCCCGGGCGGCTGCTGCCAATGTGATTGGTACAACTTAGGTAAAATCTTTCATGTTCATTCATAGCTACTTTCATAGCTACTCTTGTTAGCATACCATAATTGGCTTCCTAGTGTACTACATGTATGTGTTGCTTGAGTCCGTCATGTAATGCCTCATTCTGTGTGAATGAAAACCATGTCATGTTTGCTACTTGTAATGCTACCACCATACTAAGGACTGAAACACCCAAGCTCACAGCCAAGCAGTATTGACTTTTGACTTGGCGGACTTGGCCAAATTTCTCAAGGTTGGACTTAGTCAAATTTCAGCAGTGTTTGAGCTCGACTGATACATTACTGACCTGGATCCTTAGTTGAATTTCTGCAGTGTTTGACTGATACATTACTGACTCAGATCTCTGTACTCAGATCTTGGGTCCAGTTTCATGGACTTGGCCTTTGAAATTTCTCAAGGTTGGACTCAGTCGAATTTCTGCAGTGTTTGACTGATACATTACTGTGCCGCTGGGAGGGCAGGATACTTGCTCACGAAATTCGAACATGTCAAGGACTTGATAAGCGCTAATATGACAATATTTTCAGTAAAGAAATAGGTAACTATGGTGTGTGAAACACTAAACTAACAGACGACTAAGATAATGGGAGTGGTGGGTCACTGTGGGTGGGATTCAGAGAATTTGAACGAACAAGTAGGTGTATCTGGCGGGCTGCATGACCCGGCACCAGTATAACTGAAAATAGGTGCTGACGAATAAAGGAAGCATAGGAAGATAGGATAAAAATAGATTTGAGCAAATATAGCCAGAAGTGAAGGAAGCAAGGCACATGCTTGACTAAGCTTGATGGAAGCCAAGAACCTGGACCGGCAGGCTGCTAGGTAGGATCCTCCACTGATACATCACTGCTATACCTGCTAGTAATTCTCGGTAGTACAACGATTCATGTATCACCCTCACACTGATATTACTAGTTTTATAATGTATCATTCTCACAGTATAGCCTGAATGGTGGCAAGTGTTGAGCCGCTTGAGCGGTGAAATGGAGGTCCTGAATCGGCAGATTCCGACGGCAGACGATTGGTAATTCTTACAGTACACTGCGGCAGAAATCACTCAACGCAATATAGGATCCCAGGTCATGATACAATGGTCTTAATCGATTGAACACGCTGTTGCACGTTCTACCGAAAATTCTTCTATCTGATAGCAGCAACAATTCTGCCAAACCAATCAGGATCGCGCCCATGAGCATAGTACATAGGATATAAATGCTGGTCGTCATCCTATACAGTTCCCCCATCCTCGGATATATCATTCGAGACTCCTTCCAGAATATTCCATATTACCTTGCAAGAAATGCGTTTCTCCTTCCTCGCCGTTATTTTTGCTTTGACAGCATCCATGTATGTCAGTGCCGCATGTGCCCATCCGGGACAATATTGCGTCCGTAGTTCAGATTGCTGTCATAACCATCCTTGTGTTCCTGACAATGTGAGTATGAAAAGGTCGCTGTGCATCCAGGATTCAACCATATGACTCACCTACATGCCTTAGTTTGGGGTTACGCTCTGCGTGTAGTATATTCCAAATAGCCCGAGGCCCCGAGCGGCACGTCGTAACAGTGGGTCGTGTTCTGCTTTCGCTTTGGTATCATGTTTGACGGTGCAATACCTAGTTCGGAGCCAATATTAGTACAGTTGTTTGGTACTACTCGAGCAATATGAATGTTTGAATTTATCTGAAAACGATTGACCGTGCATGACTAGTAAGCTTGGTTTCACGAGGCTGTTGAAACGAGTGATCATTGCTGTCGATGATCAATATTGGGAAGATGGAACTGACATTTCCTTATGATTTTGAATTTGATTCTGCATGTTCGTGTAACGTTCGCCTCAAAGGTCGGTTCATGTTGTGCAATCGAAGGGTGGCTCATGTCCGGTCCAGGACGCCCCGCCTGCCCCTCCGCCAGACCCAACCACGCATGAGAAATTAAAACCCACCACCGGATCCCTATCAGATATATGTCCGAAGTTGTGGTAGCCGAAAGTAGTCCAGACTGATCACGAGTCTAATAGGACCCCAAAAATCCTCATCAACGGCGCGCTCAAAATGCTACAAGGCGTTCCCTGTCCAAGTGGATCCTCCTCCAACAATCCCAAAACCAACCTCATTCCAACAAAAGAAGGTCGACCCTGTCTATATCTTTTAGCATCAGTTCTTTGAACTGGTTACTGACCAAGTGCTCCGCAGAAACATGTCAGTAGCCTGGGACATGAAATTAGACATGCATCTTCCACAGTGAAGTCCCAAATGTCAAAATTGTCCTTATGAATCACAGACAAGCAGTCCGTTATGCCATGGTAAAGTTCAAGCTCGATTCGAAGCGAGACCTCTCCAAAAGGGGGTCATCCATACATCAAGTAAGCTTTATGTACGCGGATGTAAATATTGACGATTCGACGAACATGAGAGAGGGGACTGGTCAAGCAGAATATATATAAGTGATGTTCCAGCGGGTCGCGCGTGAAACCCTTTGGCAGGAAGTTGAAGAAAAGTGGTAGAGTGATGAGGAAAAGTAGAATGAGTGAATGTACGCAGTGTTGTTATTACGTAACCCGGGTTATAACTGAATAGGTTATCCTCCCTTGCCTAATGATTCCCTCCATCAGGAAAACCATCCCGTCTTAACTTAGTGTTAGTTTGACCTAAGCTTGCTAGGATAGCAAAAATTTGCTCGAGTTTGACCTAGGCTTTCTAGTTTGCATATAGCTAGCGCAACGTCACAAGAATGTGTCTATCCAAGTATGAATTAACAAAGAAAGATTTGCACTCATCAAGGACATGTCCAGTCACAAGGAGCAATATGACCGAAACACGGAATTAAATGAGCACTATGATGTATATTGGTAATAGGTATGATATTAGCCCATTCGTGATGACGCGTGAGACTTCGACCTTGGTAGTTCCCTGATGAAAATGATTCCATAGCCAGGACTTCTCCCTACCCATCAGAGCAGCTTGGAGAGGCAATACGGTCCCAGGAGAACGGCACAAAGAGAATCAGACAGATCAATAATAATGATTAAATATCTGGCGACCCCCAATTAACCCTACTAACCCTCCCAAAATCGCGAATCCATTTAACTAACTGGGTTAAGTTAAGTTAAGTTATAACTCTTTTAACAGGTTAGTAACAACATTGAATGTACGAATGGTATGGTGGAGACAGAGTAACGAGAGATGTATAAAGTCGTTGACAGATTCCAGACTGATGGGCAACTTTGCGAATTTGAATGGTGACAAGTGTTGAGCCGCTTGAGCGGTGAAATGGAGGTCCTGAATCGGCAGATTCCGACGGCAGACGATTGGTAATTCTTACAGTACACTGCGGCAGAAATCACTCAACGCAATATAGGATCCCAGGTCATGATACAATGGTCTTAATCGATTGAACACGCTGTTGCACGTTCTACCGAAAATTCTTCTATCTGATAGCAGTAACAATTCTGCCAAATCGATCAGGACCGCGCCCATGAGCATAGTACATAGGATATAAATGCTGGTCGTCATCCTATACAGTTCCCCCATCCTCAGAGATATCATCCCAGACTCTTTCCAGAATATCCCATATTACCTTGCAAGAAATGAATTTCTCCTTCCTCGCCGTTATTTTTGCTTTGACAGCATCCATGTATGTCAGTGCATGTGCCAATCCGGGACAATATTGCGCCCATAGTTCAGATTGCTGTCATGGCCATACTTGTAATCCTGACAGAGTGAGTATGAAAAGGTCGCTGTGCATCCAGGATTCAACCATATGACTCACCTGCATGCCTTAGAATGGGGTTACGACCTGCGCGTAGTATATTCCAAATAGCCCGAGGCCCCGAGCGGCACGTCGTAACAGTGGGTCGTGTTCTGCTTTCGCTTTGGTATCATGTTTGACGGTGCAATACCTAGTTCGGAGTCAATATTAGTAAAGTTGTTTGGTACTACTCGGGCAACATGAATGTTTGAATTTATCTGAAAACGATTGACCGTGCATGACTAGTAAGCTTGATTTCACGAGGCTGTTGAAACGAGTGATCATTGCTGTCGATGATCAATATTGGGAATGGAACTGACATTTCCTTATGATTTTGAATTTGATTCTGCATGTTTGTATAACGTTCGCCTCAAAGGTCGGTTGATGCTGTGCAATCGAAGGGGGGCTCATGTCCGGTCCAGGACGCCCCCGCCTGCCCTTCCGCCAGACCCGACCACACATGAGAAACTAAAACACACCACCGGAAACGCACATCCCTATCAGATATAACAAGTGAAACAAGGGTAGAGACCTACTATAACCAGGCGTTCCCCGTCCAAGCCGATCCTCCTCCAACAATCCCAAAACCAACCAGTCTCACCTCAAATTCCAATAAAATCAATCAGTATGCCAGGAAGGCGTAGGAGCACAAGCGTGGGTGCAAGCCCATCACCCACATCAGTGCCACGCACCACCTCACCTACATACGGCCTGAACACGCGTCGAACACCTATCGCGCAAGAAGCAATAGAAGCACTTTCAAACCGAGTACGGGGAGGCCAAATTCCCTACCAATGTTTCGGTAAATTGAAAGCGTCTCGGAGTACGATAACTAACAACTCACAAAACTTGCGCTGTGTGTGGAAGGTCGACCCCGTCTATATCTTTTAGCACCAGTTCTTTGAACTGGTCACTGACCAAGTGCTCCGCAGAAACATGTCAGCAGCCTGTGACATGAATTAGACATACATCTTACACAATGAGTGTCATTGAAGTTCCAAATATCAAAATCGTCCTTGTGAATCACAGACAAGCAGTCCGTTATGGTAAAGCCTGCGAAGTTCAAGCTCTTCGGAAGCGAGACCTCTCTAAAAGGGGTCCATGACCCCCATGCATCAGTACATTAAATCAGTGTGACGTCGGATGCATGCGCATGTAAATATCGGCGATCCGACGGACATGAGGGAGGGGGCTGGTCAAGCAGAATAGTTGTCAGAAGGGATGTTCTAGCAAGCCGCGCATGTGAAACCCATTGGCAGGGAGTTGAAGAAGAGTTAACTTTGACTTTGTAATTATCATGGTAGATACTACGTATAAACGATGTTCTACATAACCTATTATAACATAAGTCACTGCTTGAGATACAAACTCGTGAATAGACCAAGAACGCTATCGCTGGGTCACCATGATGCATAAAGACTAACCCCCCGTGACCTCAACATACACAACTATAAAAGAACACACATCTCGATAAAACAATTAAACATGGACGACAGTGCTCACTGCCCTATTCGACTTCCAATAAGTCCTCCCCGAAATCCTCCATCTTGATGATGCGGAACCTATCCTTCCATGGCGTGCCCTCCCCAAACTCCTTCTTCCACGCACGGCTGAGGCCCTCCTCCCATGCATATAGTTCCACGCGCCACCCCTTCTTCAGTGCAATTCGCACAGGACCAAGGAAGCCTTGGTCGCTGAACTGCCCGACATTCCCATCGCCCGTTGCTAGCACTATTGTCGCACCTGGGCGCGGCACGTCCGCATCCGCGATCGCCTGATGCAGCTTCAGCTGCAACAACTCATCAACTCCCTGCTCTCGGTAGCGGACGCGTCCATTACGTCCGCCGCTCCCAGACGCAGCCAAGCTTGTGCTTCCGTTGCCGCCTATGCCTTTATCGGAGTCTGAAGACGCTCGCGCATGTCCCTTGCGCCACGATTCTGCATTGGTGTTGGCACTTGGTGGACGACGGTACTGCCCGTTCCCACTATCTGGCACACGCGCAAAAATGCAAACTTCGTACCCGAGTTGTTCGGCTGTGTCTGTTGGTTGATACAGTGGGGAGGAAGTCGCTAGGCAACGCCGCGTGATGGGGCGTCCGCGTTCAAGGAGGAGCGCGAGGGCTGCATGGGAGAGGCGTCGCTTCCTACCCGAGTGAGAGGCATGACGGCGAGTATAGGTTAAAAACCCGATAAGGATATTCGAGCTGAAATGTCACATTAGCATCTATTGGATTCAAATGAGAAAAATTCTTACTGGTCGATGAAAACATGAATTAAGGAATCTCTAGGTCGCGGTGCTGGACCCCTAGGATCCGAGAAGTCGGAATCGGCACCGCTAAAATCCTGCGTGAGTAACGCCGTGATGCGGTCGTAGTCCTCCGGGAACTTGAGTCGTAGTTTATGGGCAAGGCAGCGTAACTTGAGAATTTGGGGATTGGTGGGTATCTGTGATAGATGCAATGATGGGGTAGAACGACTGTGGCGCAGCCTATCTAATGACAACTTGTGTGCAGGCGTCGAAGGAATAGTGACAGCGCCATTGTCGCCAGACGACGACTCTTCTGTCTCAGGTTCGGGCTCTGGGTTTGAGGAAACAGCTATAATCTCGCTCGTCCCAGATACACCCAGAACTGTGCTAGTTCCTGTGGTGTGGCTCGTACTCTCTTGTTCCACATTTTCTCGATCTCGCTGCAGGAGTTGGATCACCCTCGGCTTCTTCCTTCTCCGCTTTCGTGTACGACGAGGTTCTGCCTCGTTTCTCCAAGCGCCATCGCTCGTGGAGCTATCTTTGCCTGTGCCACGATCGCGAGCAGCAATTCTGGCACGCTCTGCAGCAAGGAAGGAAAATGCGCCGCCGAGGTCACCAAGAGTGGGTTGGTCCCCCAAGTCAATATCGCCATCGGAAAGTGAAGGATCGTGACTCAGATCCGCATCCGAAGTATGAGACTGTGATCGACTAGGTGTCGTGAACGTGAACGTGAGTGGTTCAAGCTCGCCTTCCGTCTCCTCCCCGGAGTCATCAAAGTTACTGTTATTGTCAAGATTCGGAAGGGGCGGGCTTGCGGTCATGCTGGTCAACGTCGAGCGCGTGTGTGAAGAGCTCGAGGATGCGAGATAAGACGCTAGCATGCTCTGGTTCCATACCGTAGAACCTTCTATGAACTCCGAGTCCGTCGGAAGTGAAGAGAGCGGGGCAGCGTCGGTAGAGGGTGTATCAAACTCTGTGTAGATATGGGCACCTCCCCGAGGAGGCACGAGTGGCTGAAGGTGGTTGAGAGCCCTAAAAACAGTGGTGAAAGCCCCGAGGTCGGGTGACTCTAACGCCCACAAATCAAAATTCATTTCGTCAGATTGCACTTCACCAAAATAGAATAGAGAAGATCGAGATGGTGGTGACTCACCATCTGAAGTAGCGTCACTAGCGGCTGAATAGTTTGAGAAAGGACTGATCGGAGTCGGTGAGGTATTTGTCGTTTCCGAGCTGGAGAGGATCGTGGACATGAAATACGGTTATTAAATGAAAATTGATACAAATTGTGATGCAGTAGATGACCAAGGCTGTATGTCGTTGACTCGAAAGTATATCGTCAAACGGTGAGAGTGAGAGTGATAGAAGATAGAAATAAAAAAAATAAAGGTGATTTATATAGAAAAACAGTGTGGAAGAGAGCTATGGGGTGGCTCAAGGAAACGTGCTGGCAGCGTGCATTTCAGACTCGGGTGGCGGTAGTGGTTATGTCAAGAAGACCACTTAATGACTTGGACTAACTAAGGTGTGATTTTAGATCCACGTGATCAATCGCGTTCATATTCAAAAGAAAAGATTCTAATCAATTCATAGTAATGAGATTCGCTGGTACATCCTGTAATTTAAAGGTCGTGATAGGTGGGGTAGATAGTACATACAAAAGATGCAAGTGTGATATAAATAATGATAATTTCCAGTCCCACCTGTAATTGTAATGCTGAAAGATCAGAACGAAGATTTCAGTATACGTTGTATTCGATTATAGACGAGGGCTTTGCCATCGAATACAGTGCATGTTCAGGGTACTCACAGCGGCCTTCAAAAAATCCCAAACCCTATTTACCTCCAATTCCACCGGTAATCCATTGTTCACATCGGTTCTGGAGATGGGCTAGGACTGAAACTGAAATCCGGCATTGTGAACGTGCTTCGTGTGCGTGGCGGCAGAGAGTAGCTGCGGTTTGATGGAGACAGCGGAGAGATCGGCGGGGATGGACGAAGGTTGGAAGGAGTCCGGGGTGGGCACGGAGAGCTGAGAGGGCTGACCACATATGGAGATGATGGTCGCAGAGAGATGGGGGATGAGTTGGTCGAAGGTGATTGCCGTGAACTCCCCTGAGTATTGGGAGTTTTTGGACTCGGGAGGCGAGAGCGCACCCCAGGGCATGAGACCTGCATGCTCAAAAAATGTTAGGTGATTGAGATACAGCGAGGCTGGAATTCCTACCTCTGGCTCCACAAATCGAATGGAGGGATAAGGCGCAGCGGCGCCTCTGCGAGTAGCTTTTCCGTCGTCGCGAGCGCGACGTGCCTTGGGCTTGTAGCCATGTTCTGACTTGCGGTGTCGCGTCAGGCTGCCTGGGTCAGTTGTGGAAAACGGACATTCAGGACACTTCTTCCAGCGTTCACCAGTGTGGGTCCTGATGTGGGTCTGGAGGTTAGACCATTGTAGGGTCTTGTAATCGCAGCCATCGTATAGACACGCGTGCATACTGGTGAAGATAGTCAACAGGTCAGAAACTGTCTATAGAGGGTCACCTACAGTTCATCCTTGTTCTCAGCGTGCGTACGCATATGTCTAGGAAGATCGGCCTTGCGGCTAATGACCCTTTGGCAGACAGAGCATTGGGCAGTCAGCTGTAGAGAAAGTGCCATGAGTACGAGACACATGAAGTGTGGTAGGCTGCAAGTGTACCGTGTTACGTCTGGCAGCAGGCATTTTGTGATAGTTTCTGAGATAAGAGTAACGGCTGTGAATGATCTGCGAGGTAGATTTAGATTGCTGGAATGAATCAATGGTGTGCGTGTCGTGATAACTCCACCCATTTTTTTCCCTTCTTTTGAACCACCGGGTGTGATGTGGACTTCGAGTGCGATTGTTTTTTCTGCATCGCGTGTTTCTGCCTTTAGAGGCAAAAAAATGTGAAGCAATCGTATGCGATGGTCTGAGCATAAGGGACGAGCCACTCGGCTAGCGGGGAAGGCAAAAGAGTGGGAGGAGGCTCGATTGCGTCTCAACACTTTTTATTATTTTTTCCTTGTAAGGTAACTTCTATTTTCCTGCTCGATCTGGGGATGAGTGGCTCAGTACTCAGGCGTGATGAATGGGGAAAATATTAGGGGGCCGGGGTCCATGGGCCCTGCCTAACGGCGAACTCTTGAGCGCTCCACCTTACAAAGGCACGTCCAAAAAAAATTGATGCCGCTACCGAATTTAATTCCAGTATCATTCCCTAGATAGCTTTCGCCATCACCGGGGGTAAACCAAGCTTTCGAGGACTCGGAGGACGATAAAACCAACAAGACCAGTTTAGTGCAGCAACATCGCTTACGCTATCCAGGCAGGCGTTATCATCGAGTCTTTATGTACCTTCGGTCACCTTGTTTCCGCCATCCTCGCCAACATAGCCAGTGGATCATATGCAGTACAGGTGCTATCATTCGAATGAGCCGTATATCAAAACCTGCCTTAGCCTCTGACGTGTGACCAAGGACCAAGCAAAGTGGTTGTGCAGACGAAACATGTCTATGGGCATGTGGTCATGACCTCGGAGAACTTGCCTACATTTTGAAAGAAAATCAAGAGATAGAGCGTAAAACATTGACATACGTCAGTAAGTAAATCCCTCCCTTCTCACCTTCCCAACTACACCCTGGGTAACCTCTCGCTCGAATATTTCTGGGCCGCAAACATACACACATTCAGCTTCAAAGTCAGAGATAAACGAGGAAGTGACCCGTCCAGAATGACGATGAAGCGATACAGAAGAGGGCAAGGAGTTCTCGAACTGTTCAGTGGATGAGAAGACATGAACGACTAGTCTGACTTCATGGGAAGCGGCTTCGATGGCATTGGAAAGAAGAGCGAGCATCACATCTGGCTCGCGCGTAGACAAAATGAGCGTTATTTCATACTCGGCGGCGGAGGATGAGGAAATGCTGGAGAGCATAGCGAGGAAAGGTGTTATTCCAACGCCGCCGGCTATCCAAAGAAGCTTCCTTGGAGCAATTTCTCGGACAGACATTTGTTCTTCCTCGCGTGTAACCGCGATGTTGGCACCCTCGCGAGGGTCTGTGGCCTCGAGCACGAAGTCCCCTACTATTCCAACCAGCCTAACGTCTAGTCCAAGCGGACGTGAGTCCTCGAGCAACTCTGGGCGGACTGCTAAGAGTTTGTTGGCGATGTTGAATAGTGCCCCAGTAACAGTACCGCCAGGCTTCAGGCGCATTGTCAAGGATAACGTTGTGCCTATCCCGTCTGCAGCCGAAGCCCATGAGCTGCACCATGAAATAGTCCACGTCCTTATACGATCGTCATTCACTGAATTTGGGTTCTCAGGTGCCATGTGCCTGTATGTCGATGCACCGAGGAAAGAGGTGAAATCAAAGATGGCGGCTTGGCCAGGGATGATAGTAAGCTTGTGAGGACATTCAAATGTGAATGTGGCGAGATCGGAAGAATGAAGCGCAATACGGGAAAGCGTCGCATGTATGGTGTCTTCGGTGCTGAAGTACGTGGAAGAAGCTTGTTCTTCTTTGAGCAGCTTCACAGGAGGGGCATACTGACTCCTCTGCGGCCCAGTCCCTTCACGCTGACGGACAGGCAATGCGTCCTCGATAAAAATATAACCTGTTATTTCAATCGCAGTGAGAGCATTCTGCGAAGGCATAATTGCTTGAGCTGGAGCGCCAATAAAGTTATGTGCAGTTCCGGTAACGTATAAGAGTGATCCGTTGGTGAATGACGGGAATGTCAAAGAAGCAAGAGCTGTGGCTTCTATATTTCCGAGGGATGTCATCAATCGATTACCTGGGTGTTGATAGGGGATTCGTGATCGATTTAAGTATACGAGCACAACAGTGCTTACCTGAATAATCTGGCAAGATGAGAGTACGCCCATCGTTGCGTACACGAACAAACCCAGGTCTCCCACCGCGATGATTCATGCCGAGGTGAGATGGAAACCTCGGTGCGTCTTTTTCAGAGGCCGAGTATGATGAGCCTAGGAACACTGTGTCGGATGAATGGATGAATGAGATGAGATCCGGAGAAAGGCGGCCAGTTAGGGGGATATTAAGTTCTTGATAGGTGACTCGAGGTTTCGTGTGTGGAAATGGAACAAGGTCGCGGATTGTGATGTATTTCGGGCAATTTCTGCAGACATTCAGCATATGCCGTCTCAAGCAAGAGTTTTGTACGCACCCAATAGCTTCGTTAACAGACGTGCAGATATCTAATAAACCCCCTTGCTTTTCAATAGCCTTGACCGACCCTGCGAACTTATTCCTGCGCCTGGTTGAAAACTCAACACCAATACCAGCGATTAGCATCTTCCTCTGAGATGCATCTGTAGAATCAGCATGATAGTCCGCATTCGCCTTGAGCGGATCGCCGTCCCAGACCTTCGCCCGCATAGACAATTGATCATACGTCTCGCTAGAAGCCCACCCAATCTCTCCATTTGGACCTGCGAGTATTGAAGACCAAGGACGACCCCTAGAATCAAGAGTGGTAACAGGAATAAATGGGAGACGTGTGGAGTAGAAATTCCGGTGCTGCTCAGGAAGTTCTCCTTCGATTTGAGTCCAAGACTGAGATACAGCTCCATGGAATCCGAGTTTCTGCTGAATGTCACGTTCACCCTTATGCCAACCATTGAGAGAACTCATTATGAGATGCCAGAGAATGGAGATGCAGTACGAATGGTTATTAGAAAGCGAGAATGCGCCCGGGCCGTTTATGAGTCATGTGACATTTAGTGCCAGTGAACTTTGGACGGAGAAGATTTGCAAACAGTCTTGTCTGTACAAGCTCAGAGAGCGGAGAGAGCGAGACAACTATGACTGAGATGGTGCATTAATTGCAGGCAAGGTCAGAATTATGCAAAATGGGTAGAGCGGAATCAAACATAAATTATTGATGGTACGGGATTGAATATTGAAATTTGACGGTGCTGCAATGTCGAACGTGCGGGAAACAACTTAACAAGAAGTGAGGAAAGCGGAGATTGAACGTTTGAACGTTAACCTTGAGGCCCTCAGGCATCAGAACCGCAGCCACTGCATTGGGTACTAAGTGACGCCTACACTGTCAACTGTGCACCTCACTGCAGCTGTGGTATAGGTGTGAAAAAGGCGCACATATGTCACATCTGTCCTCCTTTCTCACTCAAAAATGGTTGGGTGAAGCACGGACCCCGAGACGACTTCGAACAACTGCAACATGACGTTCGGCCATGTGAATTTACCACGCAGAAGATACAAAAAAAAATCACCTGTTTATATATCCGTTTTTTCTTGTGAGTGACTGTTGACAACACCATGAAGCAAATACTGTGGCCGGCGGTGCCGCGGCGGTTGTTGAAACCACACTACTCTGGTGTTGGTAGATGCCGAACACCTTGATGAGACTACCTCGGGTATTTGGTAGCCTGGGGCTAGCTCATCGACAATTCTTTTCTTCGTCGTCACAGAACGTTCGCTCGAACTTCTGGTCCCCCATCCTGATCTCTCACTCACCGCTCAGTCATTTGATCCTGCAGTGACCCTGCGCAGCGACGAAGCTAAGAAGTTGATGCTCATTCTAGGCGCATACACAGAAAGACAGATCCATGAGCTAGGCTTCGAAGCTAACGTTAGACGAACAGATTCAAGATTGTAAGGAAATATCAGCGCAGTTCGTTCCATTTTTACAGTCTCCCGATATTGATCATCAACAGCGGCAATAATCGCTTGTTTCGACAGCCTCTCGAACTCGAGCCCAGTGGATGACGAGCAAGATCAGGCATGGTCGATCACTTTTGGATAAGTTCAACATCAACATTGCCCGAGCAGTACGAAATTCTATCCAAAAAATATCAACCATGATACCAAATCGAAAGGAGCAACATGACTACCTGTCGCAACGTGTCGCTCGGGCTGCTAGCTCGATTTGGATCATATGATATATGCAGGTCGTGACTCCGTTCTAAGGCACGCAGGTGAGTCATGTGCTTAGATCCTGGATGAACAGCGACCTGTTCATACTCGCTCTGTCAGGATTACAAACATAGCCTGAACAGCTGCACGTCTGTTGCAAACTTCCCTTCATTTGCTACATGCACTGACAGACATAGAAGGAATAACAGGCAAGGGAGAAATGCATCTTGCGAGGTACTAATATGGAATCTTCTGGAAGGAATCTCGAATGATCTCTCTGAGTATGGAGGAACACTATAGGACGATAACCGGCTTTTATATCCTCCGTATACTGGTGGGTATAATTCTAATCGTTTTGGCAGAACTGTCATTGCTATCAGATGGCAGAAATTTTGGCAGAACCTACAAGAGCTGTCCAATTGATTACAGCTATTGTAATCATACGTTGTGTTGTGATAAGAGTATAGATCATCCTGTGAATTACTGATTTCTCGCACTGCGCAGTACTACATCCCTTGCAATTCGAAAATCTAAATTTCTCCAAGTATCGATTTGCGTGCTGCTAGTAAAGGACGATGTCATTCTCTTTGATTTAAATTAAGTCGACACCTACGGGCGGCGCGAATTGTAGATGGGAACGTGCCACGGTGGCCAGGTGTGTATGTGTGCGCTGAGTCGCAAATTGCAATGTCATTTTTAGTAGCAGGCACCCAAGGAACCTTGCAATTGCAGGTACGGCTTCAATTCCTTGAAGTTGTACCTGCCGGATCATCATTCCCACGAACAGTCGAAGTGTTCTACATATTCTTATTTTGACTGCGCTTTTCGAACATCAGGATGGAGCCGAACTGTCGTGTGAGTGTGAATTGGGAGGCCCACAATATTAATGATGGGACCAATTGCATTACTCGGGCTCCGGTTGTTACTAGTAAGTAGAGCAGAATTACTGATCAGTGTCTAGGGACCCCTTCCCACATGTTCTCACTGACCTTCTCCACACAACTAGTACATCCAAACGTGATCTGCAGGGATGGAGTCGACATGTCAACACGTGGTGGATCTCATTGAGATTCGGGAATGTATGTTATTCAATCATCATATCATAGACAGAAGGAGCCACACGACGATGTTTTTTTTCTACATGATGTTCAGATTGATTTACTTCACAACCCTCATAACAGTCTGACCGTGTTGTCCATGACTTCACTATACTGTATCTCAACCCATATTCGTCCTGGAACACGAGACTGCTAACTCGAATCCATCTGGGATTTGGGCGCGAGCGATCACGTATCATTTCGAGGCAGTTGCTCTAATTCAGTGCACGTCACCCATGGAACCATTACATGATACTCCGGGAAGCTGGACCTACAACTGCAGTGCATCCTAGAAGATCCTAGGGTCACATGTTCAGCCTGTGTCTGATGTGCGTTATCTCTTGATTGAAAAAGGTCACCTTTGTAGGCGTCGTACGCACTGGATTTGGATCAGAAGCTGTGTTGTCGTCGAGTCATTCTCAATGAAGACTTGGCTACCCACAGCTTCCTATCTCACCTGATCGACTGATGCTTCTAAATGCTAGGATTGCGCGACTGTGCTTGTACTTGTGATTGAACGTGTTATTCTTGAGCAATCAGAGGGACTCTTTTAGTCTCGAAGTGCCGAACCCGTACACATAAATTAGGCGATATCTGACAGCCTTTCCAGATTGCAACCCACAGCTTACCACCAATCGTCTGAGCCCATACTATCATGGAGACCGATTCTCAGCACGGCGTTTCGCATGTTCAGCATCACCCAGAGTTTTATCTTCCAGACGGCAACATCACCTTTCTCGTACGCTACGATGTCCTGAACGTATCTCGCGAGCGCTAACCGCCACTTGTACACAGGTTGAAAATACCTTCTTTCGCGTTCACAGGTCCTTCTTCGAGCGCGAATCTCAGGTTTTCGTCCAGGAACTTGCACAAGTTCCCCAGGATGGAATATCTGATGACAGCGCGTTTCGGGTCGAAGACGTAACTAGTGATCACTTCGCGACACTCCTCTGGGTCTGGTACAGCCCGTAAGCCCTCACTTAGTTCTCCTACCGACATTGTCCTTGACTTCGGGCTACAGGAAGTACAGACTGGACAGGAAGTCATCAGACAACTGGCTCGTCATACTCGAGCTCTCTACGAGGTGGCAATTTCCTGAGATGAAGAAGCTGGCTATTGATCAGCTCCAGAATCTCAAGATGGACCCCGTAGAAAAGATCGCCATTTATAACAAGTATGAGATCGATAGATCGCTGCTTTTGCCTGAATACAAGCACCTTTGCACGCGGGAGGGTCAGATGTCGATCGAGGAGGGTGAGAAGGTCGGGTTACTCACTGTCCTCGCTATACATCAGGCTCGCGAGCGTGCAATGCAGAGTGCAACGGCAAACGAGTGTCGTAGCCCGACTCCTGCTGATGTCAATGACGAGGAACTGGAACAGATATTGAGAAATATCTTCAATCTCAACCCAGATTCTACTACCAGATCACGACGCGGCGCAGATATTCAGGCACTCTCGGGAGACACTAACTTCCAAGGTGCTCAGGCGCAGGGACAATCAAACGCACCTCCTATCATTGGCACTCCGCGGCCCGATGCAAGCAGAACTACGAATGGGACGTCCGGGCTAGGTTCGGTAAGTCAGGTCTTCCACCACAAGATGTGTTATTTAGCTCTTTCAACAGTCCTCTCAAAACGTCAATAGGGGTAGAGATACTACAGGAATGGTGTGTCGCATGTGACTCACTCAGTACAACTGACACTCAAGGAATATAGGATAGAACCAGATAATTGATCAATCGGAGGGCGATCTGAGTCGCTCAAGTGAACGTTCGACTTGTGTGACCGAGGTTGGAGTGACACATGTGTTGTCAGTCCGTGGTTTGATTTCAACATTCATCGAGTCTGTGATAGCATTGGTGCTTGTCTATATTGTCATTTATGTCCTATGAACTTCATAAAATTTTGATTCTAGCAATGGCGGTCTGTTCGTCCTGTGGACACAGAACATGCACAATTCTGCTGATCCTCGAATCTAGACTGTAAGCGCATCCAGTGAGCATAAGAGCATTTCCCACGAGTAAAAACCGACACATTCGATAGAACCCCGGCAGATGATGTAAGTACTATGTATGTCATATGTCCATGTCAATCCCAAAGTTGGCAACCAAACAGAGTCAGTGATTGAGTGTATTACATATATAGCTGATGTAAGTACTTGGAGACTCATCTTTGCTGTGACAGCGCTTTGCAGCCTTGGGTTGGTGGCAGAATCCTGCCATCCTGCCAGTGGGGATTGCTGGCAGTAGGTCAGGGGTGGTCGGCAGAAATACAATAACATGGACCCCTGGTATTTGTTCCTACTAACAAACAATAAAATTTTGACGTATGTTAGAACATATCTCTTGGCGTGCACTTGGCAATTACCATCAAAGCCCGTCCAAAAATTGTGCTTGACAACTTTGCTACCAAAAACAACTTGAATCATCACTTTCCATATGTAACTAGTGCTTGGCAACTTGGGGCTTGCGACAGCAACCACTTCGAACATTTGATCGACCAAAAAACATGTCGCAATATTGCCGGCTTCCATCGCAGCAGACTCCGATGACCACGACTATCTTGTGGGTCCGAAATTGATTGGTAATTGCTGGAAGAGTTTGAAAGATCTGAGTGCGAGACGTGGGAGGCTGACCATTGACAGTGACAACTGCCAGAAAATAAAGAGATTGGTGTACTCAGATTATCAAGGCTCAGAGAGTGCACTGGAATGGAACAGTGATGTACTTTGATATCAGAAGATATGACTTGAATTCCGTAGGGGCCAAACCTATTTTTGTCGTAGTAGAAATATAGTCAAAAGAGTAAAACACTCACAATACATTTTGCCGACTTCTGTCAATGATTCTGCCAATCGCCATTCTGCCATTTTGCTAATTGCCAAGAGGTCAATTCCTTTCTGCCCCCGATACTAACGATAAGCACTTTTGGCGGTGCGACTGTAAAATTTGGATGCAAGGCACATCTCTAGCTTCTTTTCACTCGTCAGACCGTCCGCGTCAGTACTTTCACACTCTGATACTGAGCCGCTAAGAGTTTGACGGGCATCCTTCGCATTCAGACCTTGACTTGTCAAAACACACGCCACTGAGCACATTTTTTCAATGCCCAGATTAAGGTTTTTCGTCCCTTGTCCAGCTGGTGTGCGTCTTCGGTGATGTGGCTTGTGGTTGACAGGGTCAATAAGGCATGTAAATTTTTGAACTCGAGATAGTTACGGCCGCTGTGAGCTTTCAAGCGACGTTGTGATCATGACATCGTGAAGTGATCATATGCAGCGGAATTAAGCTTTAGATGTAGTTAAAATTTGTGAATGAAATTGAATGAAGACGGGGACATCATATAATTTCGTCGTCGGTTTTGTCCCAAAAATTGTCAGGATACGCGATATCAGCTTTTGTTCGCCATTTTGTTTTCTGGTGGGAGACTCTAACACGAGAGTCGGCTTACCGCTAACAACTACGTGTGTTCTTGGCCGGTAATGCATCAAGTTCGATATCGCTTGTCGGTGGGCATGAGAATGCCGGTAGGTCGCAAAAATTGCAAACGTGACTTGCGAGCTGTGCCATGTGAGCGCTTAGCCTATGCATAATGAATCTGAGAGACTGCAGTTGAGGTCGCATGGAAATTTATCTATCGATAATCCTCGAAATTTTTGCAGAGCCTCCGAGTCGTACCCGTACCCGTGTTACTCGGCAAAACTGGTTGTACCTAATCCACGGTAGAACTCCAGGGTGTCCTAGACTAGGTGACAACCGGGGATGTAATATAGGTCCACAGTTTGAAATTCCGGCATTCAAATGCTCTTGAAGCGGCTGCTTCTCAGTTCAACTGCCACCATCAAGCTTCAAACCCGGATGCATTGATCATCCCTTGGACAATTCAGAGGATTAACGAAGTTGAAGTGCTCGAGGGGAATTCTTTTTTGATTTCGAGAGTTGGGTAAGGAACAATACCACAGGCTCAGGGAGGGAGTCAAAATGGCGAGGCCGAGTCTGCCGACAAACCGTCATTGATGTCACGAGTTAGATTATGTAATATCGTACTGTGACATGCCGGTCAGCTTTTATTCAACCGACAGAAACTGACCTTCCCCGCTCCCGGTCACACCAGTACCATGATACCTAAGCAAATATCCACATGTCACACCCTAAAATCTGACTGCTCATCTTAGTGCAGTCACTGCGGCCGCATCTTATTATACTGTGTGGTTCAGAGCTCCAGGCAAGTTGCATGCCTACATCTTATTGCTTACAACAATTGGACTACATTGCAGTATTATAAGCCTAAGTTACTCCCAGGGACACGGCTACAATACGGCGCTTTAGTCGAACGGCACCGTAACTTTCCCCCAAAGTAAACTCTCACTGTCGGCATCATGAATAGTCACCACCGGTTCAAACCGTTGTGGGGAGAAGACAAAGGTCATTTCTTGATTTCCTGCTAGGCCGCCTTGTTTTTTAACTCATGTCAAAGACAGTTTCTCACCATCTCAGGGTTTTTGCGCAGATATACAACTTTTCTTGTCGCATGCTCAGCCTGCAGGTCCAGAGCTTTCCGTATAAATAATGTGTAGAGTTATAATTCTCGTAATCCAACTTCCTTTCATTGATAGAATGTACTTCTCTGTCTTTGCTTCGCTTCTATTCTCAGGAGCTGCGACCATTGCGCACGCTGAACAAGCCAAGCGTGACGCAAGTCAGCCCTACTTCGATATCTATCAAGGTCCAAATGTGCAAGATTCGATCGTCAATGATCCTTCTACTCAACTCGACTACACCCTATCTGGTGGAGAAGCGTAAGTTAGCTACTCCCCAACCGTACTTCACAAATAACAAGCATGTTACGTGCAGATATCCCAATCCGTACATGGCCGACAGACTAGGAACGACTGGACCTATTCTGATTTCATCTACTAGCCTGGCAAGGGATCGCTTTGGAGTAGCATCGAACTTTCCTAACATACATCATAGATCGAACAACTGGCTCACTTTGTCCGAGAGAGAGTGGTAAGACACGCAGGATTCTCCACAATGCCACTGTTAATGAGCTTTTTGTAAAGCCTGAGCGCACCATCCATGCAAAAGGCGCAGGTGCCCATGGTTGGTTTGAAGTAACCACACCCGTGGCAGCGAACTACTCGATGGCGACACTCTTTTCGGAGGTTGGCAAGCGTACCCCACTTACTGCCCGGTTTTCTACAATTGCCGGTAATTTGGGCAATTCGGATACTGTTCGAGACTTGCGAGGGCTCGCGTTTAAGTAAATGCGTTATTTTTGTACTGCCGCTGAGTGCTCACTGTGTTGCTATTTTAAACTTAGGATGCGCACAGAAGACGGAATCTTGGACTGGGTATTCTTAAACCACCCTGTTTTCTGGCTTCGCGATCCGGCAAAATTCCCTCGTTAGTATAACGAATTACTGCATGGCTTGTTATATTGAACGTGTATCCAGACTTCATCCATTCTCAGAAACGCAATCCTCAGACAAACCTTATGGATTACAATGTATATTTTCCTTATTATATCATTAGCCTTCACTCACACTCACTTTACACCTCACCAGAATTTCTGGGGTGAGCGACAACTCAGCCACTCTGATGTGCAGGCTTTACATTTTTTTAGATTACCTTTCCGCGAATAATGAATCAATGTACCAGGTACGTTCCCGCAAAACTTTTCCAATCAAGTGATGATCTTTGCTAACATCAATATGTGATAGGTCATGCGCACCATGTCTGACCTCGGGACCCCTTACGGCTACAGGTATGTATCTTATGGACTATGCGTGTACTCTCCTTCACTCACCAGTCCCCAGGCATATGAGTGGCTGGAGTGGTAACACGTTCCGCGCTGTGAAGGGAAATGACTCATGGGTCTATATCAAGTAAGTGGTCACTGCCGTGCTTGGTATCTTGACCGTCGACATAATACAGGACCACTGTAATGACGGATCAAGGTATCAGGAATAACACTAATGACGAGGCCATCGCGCTCGCTGGCGTGAACCCTGACTTTGGCACTCAAGATCTTTATGACGCCATTGCAGCTGGAGATTACCCAAGCTGGACAGTCTACTGGCAAACCATGACGGCTGAGCAAGCCGAGAATTATAAATGTTTGATGCCCGGTCTTATCTGGTTTCTTTAGGCTGACGCTTGTATTTTCTCTCAGACAACGTCCTAGACCTTACCAAGGGTACATTTCACTGTCCTCAACTATATTCTTGACACTCACATCTCTATTTCTAGAATGGCTCCCAGAAGATGTACCTCTGCAGGAAATTGGTCGGATTACCCTTGTGCAGAACCCGTACGGATGTGTGGTTTTCGATGTTCATGCACCATAACTGACCTTTTCTCATAGGACTAATTATTTCGCCGAGATCGAACAAATTGGCTTTGACCCTGCCAATATGGTTTGTCTTTCTAAAACCCCGCGAACCAACAAGGCTGATTTCACCTAGCCTTATGGTCTCGAGCCTAGCGCAGATCCCACACTGCAAGCACGATTGTTCGCTTACGGTGGTAAGTACTTGCTTTCTGACATAATTTTGAAACCTTCTACTTAACTTCATTCATCTAGATGCCCAGCGATACCGCACTGGAATCAACAGCAAACAACTTCCTGTAAGTAGCATCGTGTGACAACCTGGTCGTGCCTGAAACTGTGAATAACAGGTCAATGCCCCTCTCAATCCCGTCGGTTCGTAACTTTGCTCCACCGCGCTGTGTGATGCTAAATCGAGTTTATCCAGCAAATTTCTTGCGTGACGGTGCCATGAGCTTCAACAACCAGGGAAAGCGCCCGAACTTTTGGTCGCAGCAAGATATGCTTGGGCTTGCTCCTCGGCCATATAATGATGACAATCACACCATTTGGACTGGCGGCGCCGTCAAGTACCTCAGCACACCCAGCGAGATAGATTTCGATCTTCCCAGGATCTTCGTACGTAGCAATCGCACTATGCGCAATTTGCCTTTTAATCGCTGATTGAACCATGACAGTGGAATGGTCTATCTGAACGTGATCAAAACAACTTGATCTCCAATGTTATCTTCCATCTCGGTCAGGCTAGTGACATGGCTATCCGCACCAAGCAGTGCCAGCTCTTTCAGCATGTGAATGAGACCTTAGGTCAAGCCATTGCGAAGGGAGTAAATGTCACGCTTTAGACCCAAAATAATGGGTATTTGCGTCTTTGCAACTACTTCCACATTGATGGACCAGATTTCATTTTTTCGTCTTACTGCTTCTCTTTACTTGTGGAGCTGAAAAGACAACAGAGTCCCACCATTTACGATACTATTCAGGTGGAAGGGTAGGATACTCTCACTGGGCATGATGGTAAAGGATTTGGAAGTTCGCTACTTTTGACAACCTCCCTCAGCTCGCGACTGTCACATCTTTTGATACATTGTACAGCTTTGTAGTTATATAAAACAACAGTTAATTTATGAACGTGCAGCAACGCAGCATGATATGATGGATGCCATATATGCATGGCACCCAATGCCAGTGGTCTCTCTTGCTTAAATATTGCGAAAATCATAATTACAACAGCCGCGACATGTGAGCAGATGCATTAATGACCTATTGCTGTTTGACAACCACTGAATCGTCCATACGGTGCTTTTCAAGTTGTTCATCCAGGGAAGCAGTAAGACCAACAAAATGAATTCTGGTCTATCGATATGAAATTAAGTATTTATCTCCATCAAATACACACAAAATCGGTCGAGTTCTGACGGGCTGTTTACTTTTACAATTTTGGACAAGAATCTTGTAATCATCATCATCTTCGGATGAATATAATGGAACCAGAAACTTCGATGTAGAATGATGAATCAGTTTTTGACTGTAATGCTTTCAGACTTCGTAAGGAGCGTCGATTAATCAGACCCATCGAGATCCATTGGACTAGATTACAACAGTAAGCGAGTGCAAAGTTATGATATCATCCTCGCGCTAGGCCGATCGTCTCGAATACCAACAGACGCGATGTCCGATGATCTATCAAGGTTTGGTGGAATAAATCCCAACTTGTTCAATGCGTGTGACACCCGACTCCGGGTCAGACAACACCATTCAAAGACACAGGTGCAGAGCTATCCAGGGACTTCACACTGGACTGTGGTTCCCAGAGCATTTTTGTCTTCACCTGCAAAAAAAAATAACCCGAAAACAATGTTGTTGTAAAGTGATCAAAACATACTACAATGTCCCAGTTGTACGAAATCCGGACGTCGCATAGTCTTCTTTAGCCAGAGCTATCAAAAGAAGATAGACATTCCTTCGTATTAGGGACACCGCTTGGAATGTCGATTTGATTCGTCATTCACATGTTAGCGGTCAACCTCCTTCAAAGGTCTGTGCTAAACATGGTCTCGACATTAGACTTTTCAGGGAACACCGAAGCGCCCGGACAAACAGGATGACGTGTAGGAAATGGACAGTCTTTAATGAATCGGCGGAGGCCCCACGCCAAAGTCTGGTGGATACGTCTGGGCAATGTCTGGGGATGCTTGGTCGAAAAGGTCCAGCCGGTCAAAGATCTGCCTCTTGTCTTACATCATTGCGACTGCCCTGTCGTCTAGTACATCAGCCACCATCACACATCCGGTCATATATGTCATGTACCGTCACGCCAATCCTGTGATTCCCGTCGTCCTTGTCAGCTTGCCGTCGCTGTTCTAGTCACCTGGAGTGGCAGTAGTATATACTGGGAGCAGATATTCAACGACACCATGATGGTGTTTACAGGCAAATTTAATAGACTTGCAGGGATCGGGAGAGATGAGGGCAAATATCCTCATGGCAACTGCAGGCAGGCAGGACGGATGTTGAAGTTTCGAAGTGTTGACTCAGATCAGTGGGCAGGCGGGAATCGCGGGATGATAATATGATAAGGTAGACTTTGCGCAAAACCAGCAAACCTCACGTGGTGTGACCAAGGTGTGACATGTACGTTGGCCGGACGGGTAATCCTTTCGAGACCGAGAAATCCCATTATGGACAGCGCAGATAAACTGCGAAGAGTAAGTAAGTAGTAGTGTAGTTTGATGATAACGTAGATGATATGTATGTGATATGTATGTGTTGTATACTATATGCAAATGCTAAACAAATTTTACCTAGATTATAAGTGCTGCATCGAGCTCGGTGAGAATTGAATCAGGAAGAACACGATGTCCACGATATTTCTTCGCTGCCCAAGCAGCTTGGCTCCCGTTTAGTTTGAGTATGTCCTATATTCACCTTGTTCTCCTTGTCTGCTTGTGCTGAAACCTTCCTCTTCTTTGCATACTGCCCAAGGTTTTCAAGGGCCGAGCGCACCTTTGATGAGCGCTTGGGCATCCTGGTGGTGAAGAGGGTGGAAAAGACACTCCGGACATCGCTAACGGCATGCACGGCGGCAGGTCATTCAAATTTGGACTTAGTGGAACTCTGATTACCTCTGTAGACTAAAGAATACACATCTTCTCTCTCAACACGGCATTAACAAACAATCGGGAACGGATGATTTGTAGTTAGAGCTATCCTCTACAATGTATCCGTCTCTGATTTTCTTGAACTAGTCCTGTTTCCCTTCGTATACAGGATCAATGGTTTTGTCACGCTTTATCACGCTTTATCACGTGAGGTTTGCTGGTTTTGCGCAAAGTCTACCTTATTGATTGACTTCCCGGCATTTTCCGATAAAACAAGTCTGCAGACTTGTTTTATCCGCTTCTGGATCTAGACGTCTGTTACAATTGTTATACATAGTAGTAGTCTCTCCACAGAGGAAGATTGCTACATAAAGCCTATGAGGCTATTCGAAAAGGTAGGAAAACCGACGACACTGCATACATTTCAATGGTAAAGATCTTCAGACCAACTTTCAAAGTTATTCACGTCCTCAGTCAGGCTCTTGATTTTCTCCCTTGCTGAAACAACGACCCTTCTGTGCAGTGGCAGGCGCATAGGAACATCATCAAGGTGGGTCAACTTCTCGATGGCCACCACTGCCTTGTCTGCATCTCCATCGATATTGTCCGACGCGACGAATTGTCGATACTGGGAACTGGGCAAATCGGGATTGGTGTACGCAGGGTGCTGGGAAATTAGGCGTAGGTTGTCTTTGAATATCTTGGTACGGAATGGACCTGGCTCAATTATTGTGACCTTGGGGAAACGAAAGGTTGGTAAATCTTTATACGTCAAATATTCTAAAGTCACCTTTATGTTCCACGCAGGATCAAGTTCTTTTGCCAAGGACTCGCTCAGGCCTTCCAGTGCTAAATGATTTGGTTAGCATATCCACTCTCAAGAATTTGATTACACCTGCCAAATTTTCTGTCGCAATGCTATCGCTTAAAAACAGCATGCCACATGATTTAGAATACTCACGATGCACTATAGAAGGCGCCCGCCGCACCGCCTGCCAATCCGAGCCTTGACGAGACCTGTAGTAGTCTCCCACCGATTGGCTTGTTCACTTCCCGGAAGAACTTCACTGCTTCCTTGCTCACGTGCACAGCACCCCAGAAGTTCACTTCGAACATCGGACGGGCTTCTTCCTCGCTTACGGACTCAAGCTCTCCCATTACAGATTGGCCTGCATTGTTAAACACAACATCGATTCTTCCAAAAGCTTCTTTTGCTTTGGCAAACGCAGCCGAAACTCCCGCGCTGTTGGTCACGTCGAGCTGAATGACTAAGAGCTGGGAAGATGGGAATTGTGCTGCTAAATCTGATAAAGCGTCAGGGTGGCGAAGAGTCGCTATGACTTTGTCGCCCTTGTTGAGCAATAGTTCAGTCATCGATCTCCCGAATCCTGACGACGTGCCAGTAACTAGATGTGCCAGCGAGACATCAGTATTCATGAAGATTCTGATGGGTTTTCTTTCACCCACTGAACCAAACCTTTGCGTCTGCCATATCTCCAGTAGAGCTATCAAACAAGAGGAAAGAAATGGGCGTGTGAGATTCTACGGAGTCAGTACGCTATTATATTTAGTGCACAATGGCGTAAATGGTCCGTCGGTGTGGTATATTATACCGGCACGCAAGGTGGGCGCCGCTCAAAGGCCATCATAAGATCATCTGTCTGAAGTCGTGAAGATCTTGCTGAACCCTCAGGACAGCAGGGGGTCGGTGTCTCCTATGAGGGCATCTGGCACTGCTTCAGGTTAATGTCCCGTGTTGACACACATTAGGAGTCGAGCCATACTATGGTAGATCATCTTTCGAATTCAAAACTACTGATGTGTCAGTAAGCTGGCATTATGGTGTATCCAACTGTCGTATTAAAAACTCAAGGACTATCAAGTTGTTTCCACATTTATCTTGCTGATTTCCAGGACGCGATTTTGTCCTTATGCTTAGGCTGTTATGCGGCCTTGCGTCTCAAAGCTGGCTGGCGTCATTTGACACAGTCACGCATTGGTCATACATGACACGATCAGTGCATAGTTTGACATGAGCCCTACCTTCAATTATGTTTCAATAGGAAATCGACCAGATATATTTTGAACTGAACAAGAGTAAGCACAAGAAAATAGGAAGACCGTGCGAGTATGGAGACAAGCGTGGGGTGGGAGTGTCTCACAACGCAGAGAGCCTCGGGTCTGGATGGGCGGAAGTGATGAGAGAGGATCAACTCGCGTAACAACTTTGGTCACCGAGGAGGATGGCCGCATTCGACTTGTCCGCGGTATATGCCACACCAGTCTCAAATATATCGGAAAATACAGTGTCAATCAACACACGGAAGTTACAATTGATGAGTCAGGGCATGCGGGAGGGACGGCCCAGTGTACCGCTGACACCTCTTCATGACAAGGGTCCAAACGACAGCACAAGAAAGTGCGCAAAAGCCCAGGCAAAGTGTCGGATATGGGTGACTTGGGACGTAGTAGATCTTCAGATTTCAAATATGAGAGCTGCTCCTTCAGGAATGAAAGCGGAACGCCGTAGCGATGCTCAGTAACCTAGAGCTTGGCTTGCTATCTTACCTGTTTGACTCGGACACGTCAAACTCCCGTGCGAGTCGTCGCGAGTGCAGATGGGTTAACTTGATCTTTCTAGTTCCAACAAGGGAATGAAAGCCAAATGTGACCACCGCAATTTGCTAACGCACCTAGAGTATGTGCGTGCGAGGCTTGAAAACATTTCATCAATTGAACATCATGCATTACTACATGTTCCACGGAACGAAGCTGAAGCATCGGTGTTTCCGGATTTTATTTCCGTTTCTCACGACATCATTAATATTCTCAGTGTATTACATAATTGTTGACAACGAGCTTTGTTCGGAGTACTCACAGAAACCGAGTTTTCTGCCAATGCATTTCATCCTTTGAGACACAGAAATCATCCTACGAGTCTTCAGTAGTATGCCATGGTCATACATGCTCTCAGTCAAGCAGCCGATTGTTTCTATTATTACACTTGTCAGAATGGCAAAAGCTATGTTGGCACGTTCGTCCTTTTCTTTTCTTCAACGGCGGCCACATCACTCCTCCCATACGGCTACTACGAACAGCCTATGGACCCTTTATGTGTTGCCTTCAGCTTCAATCTACCCCGCAGACGGTTTTTGTAAGCCGTCTTTTCGCAAGCTTATTCTTAACTTCAAAATCATGTGCTCTGAGACTTGCAGTCCGTCGCGCATGCACATCGTGACCTGTGAGGTTTGCACAGTAAGATGGAAGTTCGTAATGGCTTCGTGCACGCACAAGCAAGCGAACCAAATGGAGGAGGTTCGACTTGAAGAGAATGTCACTGAAAAACGTGTAATAAATGCATATGAAAATTGTAGAGACTACATCTTCAACGTCAAAGTTGCCAACCCCTTTGTTCCAGCTCATTTCATGATAGGCTTCTATCGCCATATTTGCGAATAGTTCGGCACATGCTGCAATCAGGTATGAGAAAATCAGGTCCAGTACTGCCGTAGGAATATTATGGTCGTATATACCTTTTGGCGTTACCTAGTACCACACGCCTAATGGAGTCACCACTCACCTGGTTCTCAAGCTCAAGCTTTCCCCATACTACGAAATCCTAATTGCACTAAAAATCAGCTTGGTCATGTGGGGCTTTTTTGGAAGGTCGGCATGTGCAATAATAGCGAGTTCGAGGTAGCGAGTGCTGCCACGAATGTGGGGGCCCGGAATTTCTGATTATCATCGAACTGACGATTCAAAAAAACGGCTGTGATCCGAGTCGTCGTTTTCGTTTCCGCACATGCAGATTGCAGGTACTGTTGCAGACAAACCATCTGGCGATGCACCTCAAACAATCAGGGAGGGGGTTGTGATGGCAAAAATCCGGCATGGTCCAAGGTTGAACTGGCGTTACGCCACAACGCCACGCTTGAAACTGATATTATTGCTTCCGCCAGGGCACATATATTCCATACTAGTTTGTTCTCCTCGGATAGACCCATGGGTGGACCAAATTTCTTGTCCATCCACTGCATCCGGTGAGCCAACGTGCATTCTTTTCGAGTTGTTGAATCCGCTTTAAAAGGGGCTGGTGTTCTCAGGGAATTAGGTACGTTTCTGGTTTGTGATCAGTGTCGGCTTGTTTTTGGGATCTTGATGATATACCGTGAACGTTGTTCGGTCCCGGGTGTAGTCAACCATCGTGGCGCATGTGGTCAGCAGCTCCTCTTGGCTTGAAATCATGTACGAACTACTGGAGTAAAGTAGGTTACCGAAAAGTCACGATCTCGGACGCCAGATGTTCACAAATTGCAGTACGTGCTCAACATACATGTATATGATAATCTTTCTCACAGGCTTAAGCATAGCTAATCAGTCAAAACCTTACTAAGTGAAAGAGTTAGTAAGATCTCCCAAATGAAGATGTAGCTATCACTACGTCGACATTCTCACTGTTCCGGCGTCATTGATGATGCTCTAACATTGCAGGACTTATTGTATGGGAAGCACGCCCAGTGAATCATTTGCGTGCCGTCATCCGAGGCCTACAGTCTGTTTCACAAGGCAATAATTTGACCTTGAGTTGTAACGATGCTTCTCAGTTGGACAACAAATCAGCATCGTCCGAGTTGGACTTTGAGACCTATAAAAACTCTGCCAACATTACCAGACATTCCTCAGTACATTCCTCAGTACATTCCCCAGTTCTTCAACTTTCAGCACTTCAGCTTCCAGCACTCCAACTTTCAACACCCCAATTTCAATCATGTTCAACGTCTATGCTCTAGCTGCACAGCTCATTGGCGGCGTTTTGATTATACTTCTTGCCAATGTTGTCTCGATGAAATCTCGAGGTGTACCGAAGACGCTCCGTGATACATTATCCTCCATTATTGTTCGTATCAGGCATTTTTGGTCACCAGTTATGAATGAACTGACAATCAACGACTAGGATTTTATTCAAGCTGTATTTGGTGGTAAACGAAACGACCAACAGAGTGTTCCTTTGACAAGGTACGGATGTGTGCACCCCTTCAAGGGCGCAATCTGATATTTCATCCGTTTCAGAGCCCAAGTCACTGCTGCATATCCACAAGGAACGTGGCAGCGTAATGCTTACGAAGACTATAAGGCAGTTCTCCTCGATGAAGAATTAATATTCCCCTGCATCTACGCTACAAAGGGCTTTAAATCAGACGACCAGCTCTATTTGTTCATCGACTCAGACGACCTTTCAGACCCACGCCATATCCGCACCATTGCCAAGGGGCTCTCCACATACCTCCCTCAAGCTCACCAGCTTGGCCCCAACACCTCCCTCGTTCTTCTTGCCAAACAAAATGAGAACAACACACGAACAGTAGAGGAATACAATACTCTGTTCTGGGAGCTCCTCAACGGTCTCGCCAAGCTTGATGAAAAACCCTGGCCTTCAAGTGTACCCCGCGACATTGACACAGATAGATGGTGCCTCTGCTTTGGCGGAGAACAATTCTTCACTGTCATCCAAACCCCGGCCCACCAAGTGAGGCGCACGCGTTATGCGCCGGGCCTGACCATGGTCTTCCAGCCAAAGTGGATTTTTGACATTCTCTTCAGCACTGATGCAAAGCGCGCGGGTGCACTTGCAAAAGTTCGCGCCCTCCTCGCCAAGTACGATCCCATCCCTGTCAGCCCCGAGCTGAAGAACTACGGCGATGAAGGATCGCGGGAGTCCAAGCAGTACTTCTTGCTGGATGAAAATGTTCCGGCGCCATGTCCATATGAAAGACTCAGTGACTCTGAGGTGATTGCCGCGTAAAGGTGAGGTGATGGCCCCCGGTCAACCAGTTGCCTCCCACTAACCATCTTCGCAGTAAATTGCAACATCGTAGTTCTTTAAATTTGGAATTTAGTAGGCGGCAGGTTTGACCTTCTTGTAGTACTACTTCTTACCCGATAGCTTGAATTTGTGTTTTGTAACTTTTGTTTCCGACTTGTGTTAATTAGAGATGTGCTAAGATGCATGATGTGATGATCGGAGATTAAAACCGAAGACTCCAAGACCCACAGCTTCTTAGCTTTATATAACTCTGGTTCAGTCATGCGACCGTCCGCGATTGTCATGAAGTCGTCATTATTTTCGCACACACACGTTTGTCAAAATCCAATGTCTCTAACAGGTTCTCACCATCATCGGACGAGGCGAGTGCTTGGACACTAGCTAACTAGCCGCTCTTTACCGAGATGATTAAAATAAGCTGAGTAGTCCAATCGATCACTCCAGCACCAGCCATGACCCAACCTATCTACACTATCATTGGGACGCCATTCAGCACCTTCACCCGATCTATCACTCTTGCATTGAATCATAAGGGAATACCCTTCACTCAAGTTAGATGTGTTCCACACTCAGACACAGCATATGACAACCATCCATTCGGGTTCCTTCCCACCCTGATCATCCACCAAATTGATGGGAAGACAGTCAACCTGAAGTTGCGCGAGAGCGCAGCCATCGCGCGTTACATTGACAGGGTTGCACCAGAACCCAGCTTGCTTGTTTCAGCGGGCCAAGGGAAGGCAATCATCGAAGAACAGATGTGGGAGTTTGTGAGTCCTTGTCGGAGCGCATGGTCAAATTTTAGTCAGATAGATGGAGCCTATGGTACTAATTTCATGCTTTAGGTTTCCCTGCTGTCGAGAAAGGGGTCGTGAAACCCCGTGTAGCCGCCACCGACGAGGGCAAACTTACAGACTCTGCGGTTCGCGAACAAATCAAGCCGGGTGTAGAGCATCTTAAAAGACTACTTGGTAAATTGGAAGAACTGATGGCAGGCGAGGGCTACGTGTTCGGAAGCCAGCTGAGCTGGGCGGACTTCTTTTTGTTCCCGCTGCTTGCAGACCTGAAAGCAATACCGGAGGGTGAATTGCTTTCTCCAAGAATGCTGAACTGGATGGAAAAAATGAACAAGTTGGAGGCAGTCAAGGCTACCACTCCGGGTACCTTGAGTGTTGGTGCAAGACCCCCCTAATCACCCAACTCGAACAGGTATGTATTAACTTTCATTCGCGATTTTTTTCGCCCCGCTGACTCAGAGATAGTGTGCAGGATTTATTTTTTTTGAACGGAACTCGAGTCGTATTAAATAGAAAAGTCGGCGTTCGATTTAAGCATGATTTGTAAAACTAGTATCCAAGCAATCTTGACGTGTCATATGTATTGAGAACGCCACAAGCCCTTTCTCACTATGAGTATGAGTAATTTCATTATCAACTACTAAAATATCATGGGCGCGCTTTCGCGATGCAATGCTGCACAGCCTCGCTGCAATAATATCACCTGTCCCATGATCATAGAGAGCTAGGAGTAGTTCCCAGTCAAAATCCACTAGACGCACATAGCACACAAACGTCCATCTAGTGTGTATGTACAATGATCTAGCGTGTAAGGCCGTCTATATTAACTATATTAAGAGTAGCGTGTCACAGTAAGGCCATGTATAGAGCGATTGTGAATATTGCAAAGCGAGTGCAAAACTCATGCTGAGATGTTCTACCTTCGTGCTGTCATCCCCATTCGATGCAGCAAAATCCTCTAGATATCGAGTGAGTTGCAAGTGGACTACGACACGTTACGGTACAGGTGATTCACTTGGCCGCTCAACGCACCTGTTGGTTTTTACACAACTAAAAGTTCCCTTTTTTCCCATTGTTGACGGTCATTGATTTGGGAAGGGGCACGTCATCGGGAGTTTCATGCAATACATGATTGAGGAAGTGGGAAAAATGGCCTTGATCTTTGAGTGCTAGGCAGCAGTAGAACGTGTGTCGCCAGAGCCATCAAGTAACATTGACCGGTGCATTGGCGCCACTGCGACCGAACTGAGCCGTGAGATGCCCTGGTGAATTGGCGGTGCTACTCCGAGGCTGGTATGGTGGTACTGGGAATGTTCAGGGTAATGATGGTATCTCGACAGTTGTACAAGTAACATCTCAATTCGGCCCGAAAGACTATCTCGAATGATCTTGTTCGAAAGGAGCAAAGTCATCACCCTGATTCCTGACAAACTGGTAAGCAACTATCTCTAATGCGAAATAATACAACCTACGGGTCTCGGGCCAGCAACAATGTCTCAACGGCCCATTGAGTCAGTTCTCTTCAGCTGCCAGCGCACCGTAACCTTCGACTTGGTGCTCAAGTTCATTCATACGGCCATTATCATCGCGAGATGACCCATGGGAATGTTTGAAGGGAGGCCAGGAGTCCATCTCAGAACGATCCCTAGTACTGTGCGACCTGTAGATAGAACGGCGACTGGGAGTTACTTGTATTGGTGTGCCTCCAGTGTCCACATTTCCTGTGGGAGGAGCAAAAGTACGTGCGACGGTCTGCTGGCATGTCACGTATGTTGATGAACTCTGCAGCTTTGAGGTGGATCTGGAGATAGTGAGTTCCGCGAATCTACGTCATAACTTTGAGGCCTTGGGCTGATCGGCAACTCGAACGCGACAGCGATCATTGTGAAGCGCTGGGATATAAAATAGCCAAAGTTGTGGATGAGCGTGCGTGTACTACATGTATTCATTCTGTATCAATGCCATATCAACGTGTACTGGAACTTCGTTCTACAGCGTGACTCACAAGCCTCGAGTGGTCCATGGATCATATCGATACCTAGTCAAATCACAAATATCTCCCATCCCCGTAGAATCCTGGCCGCATTTCGTCACTGCCTCCGTGCCGTACCGCGTACCGCACTGCGCAGCAGCCTACTAGGGCTGTATTCATTCGATCGTCATTCGGAGGCTGAAGTTGTCTATCGATATATGCAGAGCCAATACATGTTGGCGCCAACTTGAAAGTGCAAGTACATATTACATAAAAGACTAATCGAGTTTACAAGCTCTCTTTCTCAATACGTAAATCTCTCTCGCTTCACCCGCTCCGGATCCACTCCAGCAGCTTGGAGCGACTTCATAGCATTCATAACGAAAGGCAGTGGGCCGCATATATGCGACTCCCGACACTTGGCGTCTACACTGCCAAAAAGAGTTCCACTGTCGTCAAGGCGTCCTTCGTGCGGGATCAAGGAAACGAACGGCGGAAAAGACTCAGACAACTGGAATTGCCTTGGGGAGTAGACATGAATGGAGAATGTAAGGTTGGGGGGAGACTGGTGTCCATCTATTTTGCTGGATGACGTGCTCACAAACGCTTCCTGAATTAAGCCGAGCATAACTTCTGGCTCCCGCGTTGCAAGGACGAGTGTCACATCCCAGACGCCGAATCCTCGGGCAGCGAGGTTTGCAACATGGCGAGCCAAGCTCAGGAAAGGCGTGATGCCAATTCCACCAGCAATCCACAGCAGCCGTCGCCCACCATCGCATGCTGCTAGAGGCTCTGGCACAGGAAGATTGCCTCCGACACCTCGTAGTCGAGCGCAGACTTTCAAGTCTGCGACGTCAATGTGTTCTCCAGTCAGCTGCGGATCCACACTCCTAGCGAACTGATATAAAATTGGAGTGATAAGACCGCCTTTGATCGCTCTCATCGTGATGGAGAGAATGCAGGGTGCATCTGGGGTTGGAAGCGTGGAGACCGTCCAAGTACGGACACAGTCATCGTTAACTGTGCTCTCATCTTCCTCCCAGTCTAAAAGGGCGTGTGATCGTTCACGCAGGAACTCTGACAATTCCAGCACGCAGTTTTGGCTTGGATTGATCTCCACAGGTCGCGATGACTTAAAAGTGAGGGTCATGAGAGTATCATCCAGCACTCGCGTCTTTATCAGGCTAAGTGTGATATCCGCGAGTGATACAGATGGCGGCTTTTCTTCCGCTAAGTAGCAGACAGGTGGGCTGTAAGGGCTACGTTCCGATGATCCTGTCTCCCTCAACGGAATGGCGTTTTCGACGAAGGAGAATCCAGTGACGCAGATGGTGGTGATGATATTCATATTTGGCATTATTGCTCGCGCAGATGCGCCATACAGGTTTTCAGCTTTCCCGGTAAGATACAGGATTGATCCAGTGGAAAGCGAGGGGAAAACAATTCCAGCAACTGGCGTGATGTGTACATTCCCAAGTGAGTTCATCATGCGATTTCCTGTGTGTTATATATAAATATACTAGACATTCCCTGCAGTGTATCGTTCTTCTTACCGGCATAATTCGGAAGCACAACAGTCTTCCCATCGGAAGGTCTAACTCGAACAAATCCGGGGCGACCCCCTCTATGATTGGTGCCAACTTGAGAAGGATAAGTGTTTTCATCCTCCTTGGCGGCTACGTAGGACGTGGACAAGAAAGCTGTATCAGCTGCATGGATGAATGCAATTACATCATCGGGCAGGCGATCCCCATCCCCTAGGTTAAACTGCTCATAGATGACCCGGGGCGATGGACTGTGAAACGGCATAATCGACCTGATATTGATGTATTTCGGACACAATCTACAGTTTGTGAGACAGAGCTACAGCACAAAGAAGCCACGGCGCTCACCCCAGGGCTTGAGTAACTACGAGAGTAATATCGACATCCAGATCTCTTGATGAAACATTGGATACATAGCCAGCGAATTTGTTCCTCCTCCTAGTCGAAACCTCAAGCCCAATTCCGGAAAAAAGAAGTTTTCCATCATTAAACTGGGATAAGTTCCGAATAATTGGATCTCCAGGCCATAGACGCGCTTTGACCGTCAGCGAAGTATTAGTAGGAGATGCAATGAAGCCCGGCATCCCATCATTTGAACAAAGAATAGATGCCCACGGCCTCCCTTGCTGGTCCAGAGTAGTGACTGGCAAGAAATGTAGTCGACTTGTGTGGAAAATGCGATGCTGCTCGGGCAACCTATCCACGATCGCTGTGATCGCAACGCGGTCAGGGAGGTGAATGACTGCCTGAACGGCTTGTTCTCCTGGATGCCAGCCCCGTAAAGCAGGTAACGGATCTGATGATACCATCAGGGGACAGGATGATGATGTGATAAAAGATTCGGTTTAAATTGCGGGAGGGTACGCGTAGATGATCAGTGATTGCGATATGTACTGGTCCGCATTCTGTTGGCACGTGTTGTCCAGAAAAGAAACTTTGCACATTTCAGTAAAGTGTTTCATTGCCCCACGGAAAGGGTTGTATGTGTGAACATGTGAGGATCCCATCAGTCATGGGTGGTCACTTTCGGGAGCAATGAGGAGTACATCAGCTTCTGGTTCAGTAAGATTTGACATCTCACCGGGTTCAACTGACTAAGCGAAAGTACGCGACGCATCAACACGGGACTCTGTCTGGGTGTGACTCGCAAGACAGAAATAGCCTGATCCGTGAGCGTCGTGGCGGAAAGGAAAACAATGGCGTATCTGTATAACCCTCCAAATGACTTATTGCGTGATACGTGCGTGATATGCTTTGTCTGGAAGTGGTTACAGGCTACTGGACGACCAAAATCCTTGAGGCGGCTTAGCCATCAAGTATTTTGCGAGACTGTCAGCTGTACAAGCGATGGGTTTTTTCCAAACTACTTTGAGCTTTCAAAATGTAAAACACGGCCACCTATTCCATTCCACGACAGCTGATTCCAATCTTGCTTCGTACAAGCTCCCGTATGCACTATGGTGGTAGTGGCCAGGTCCAGTTTCTGAACCGCGATTCGAATTCAAAGTTCCAATAAGGAGAACTGCCACGACGGCCCATCATGCGATTCAAGGACTGGCATAATCCTTGAACCTCTTTGAACTGATTTTTGTGCGCATGCCGCAGGTGCAACGGGAAGAAACCGAGATACATGTCTATTATGAGAAAGAAGACTAGGCTGGTGAAATTGTATCATAAACTTAAACGTGAGTAAATCAATTTCAAGATCATTGCGGGACTTGCCGCCAATTTCCCGAAGCGATGTCCAGCTTGCGGCCGCTGCCAGCGCGGAGACCGCCCATTCTAAGCTTTCTATAGATTAATGGCAGCTGTATCAAATCCACGGATTTGGGATACCATCCGAGCATATCATCCGATACCCTAGTACTAGGAGATATATTCTGCCCATCCTCATCAAGATCAATGGCATACTCTTCATTGGAAGCTTTGTCGTAGGTTTCTGTAGCTCTGATTTTTAGGTCTTTATGTGTTCGGTTCTTGATTCAGGCCCTTGGTGAACAGGAACAGGACCATTAACAGACCGAATTGATGTTTCGGTTCACAGTTCTGCTTGTTGGATCTATCACTACTGCTGATTGACTTCCATTTTTTCCAAGTGTTTTGTCTTATCGCCATGCCGCCTGACTTTGTAGAGTCTCAACCATCCAATATAATCTTTGCGTGGTATCCGCGACCCTGATAGCCTCATCTGCCCCTCATGTATTAAATCCCTCTTCTAAGGTGTTGCCGTCTAATCTCTTGTGTCCTCAGGTTTACCAGTGCCATCTACTTTACCCTGACCAAATTCTTCCTGCTGTGATACAACACAAGACTTGTAGACAGTGTTGCACACTTTGATATGTTGTGTCATGCACTCAATTGTTGTTACGCTCAGTACGTAAGGAACTGTAATATTAATTGTTGCGTATCGCACACCGGATACCGTACTAATGTGCAAATTATTAAAGTAGCATTTTGACGTGAACCTAAGACGAGAAAAGTCAAAACAGCTGGAGATTACCACTCCGTGTGCATGTGCGCACACTGTAGTTGACAATGATCATTCGAGCTGCCATACCGCCCGCCAGTAACGTTGCATCTCTGAGTAATACTATGCCCACTCGATGTCTGCAACTGAGGCACTTAAAACATCCAATAACATAGGCAGAACGAACAAACAGGGTAAGAGTCTCAATCAATTTCAATCACGTCGTCCTCTATCTTGTCATCCTTGCTGCTCAACATCAGTAGCCCGTCCTCCTCTAACCTCCTCCTCTTGTTCGGACTCGCGATATCCGGTATTGATGGTGCGCCATTTATATCCGTCTTTGCGCGTTTGGCAAATGGCCCGACTTCCACAATTTCGTCATCTGGGGCGGACCGTTTGCGAGATGGGGCGGGAGGGGGTGTTGACTGCTGCTTCTCTAGACGGGGAGGCGATGGTAGTGGTGATGGAAGTATGTACGCTGGGCCATCAGATAGATGATTAGGTCTGCGGTGCAAATTAACCAAAGACTCAACAGAAAATTCACGTCACTTACGGTAGTATGCTCAACGCAACTACAATTGTTCCCCACTTTTCATCCTCATCCACGATTGTCAAGAACTTGCCTCTTCCAACATTCAAGCTCTCTAGTGTCCGTTCAAGATTATCGTCCCAGTCGGGATCACTGAGGATGCGCTTGTCCTCGTAGACGCTGACCTCCCTTTTGTCACTGCCCAGTACACCATCTACAAGTTCACTTAGTGTTACACGAGCAGGGTCGCACAGAACTGTGGTGTAGGTGTCTCGGCAGACGCCGCATTTAGGATTCGGTGGGCACATAGTGCTTGTGCTAAGAGGATTGGTTGGTTTGAACTGCACGTGGACATTGCGCAGTTGCGCATATGATTTGCGAAGGAGGTGGACTGCTTGCAAAACTATAAGGCCGGAAATGATGGCGTTGGTGGTCGCAATTGCGGGAATGATATTTCCTGCCATTTCTAGGGAGAGATGAGTGATAAAAGAGAACCAGCGACAAGGAAACAGACCTTTTATCTCCCAACGTGTCTTGCGATCGATGTAGTATGCAGCAGAACGAAGATTTGCAGCAGCGGTAACGAAATCGAGCGTATCGTCGTCATCTTTGTCGAAGGAAATGGTGTCTTCACCTTTGCGAAGCCGCTCGGCAAGTCGATTCGTACTGCAATTCTCGTTAAGGAATCTAATTAATTGCATGACGCCTATGCCTACCTTGATATGAAAAGCTCCAAGGTGTCGTGCAAACTGAGTGCTCGTTGATCCCTTAGTCCCGAAACTCCGTTCGACGAACTAGACGTCGAAGGTGTCTTGCCGTTCACGTGGCCATTCGCTGGCTGGAAGTGAATGGTCTGCGCACTCCCGGTAGCTGTACTCGAGTTGGAGGGTCGTTGTATGAAAAATGTACCTTCCTGAATAGCGTTGAAATCAAGAGGCGTCGGTGCCGCACGTGCACGCCACATGTCAGACATCGATAGCAGATTGAGGATATCCGAGTGGAAAACCTGCAGGGAATCAATACTCAAGGTAATCTCTGAATATGGTGTAAAATAAGACCTTCTTGAAGACACGTTGAGCCACATCCTCCGTCGTCTGCGCGGAGCGCAGTGCGCTTCGAACTGCTTTATATGCGAGTGCCTCTTTGCGCAGAGCGGCAATTTCTTCGGCTGCGTGAAACACCCCCTTAGCAATACATACAGACCTTCAGGGTAATCAAATTTACCGTTTTCTCCTTGCTTCTCCGCTTCGTCAAGTTCGTCTGTCCCATCTTCGTCCTCACCAAATAGTTGCCTAATATCACAGTACAGTGTCTTCTCATCAAAGACACATTAACAAACTCACGGTAGCAGGTAGCTCTTCGCCCAGACAATGCAGTGAATGGGTTGAGACGGTGTAGACCGGATCGTGCACACCGGGAAAGTCGTCGGAGTAGGCTTCGGCACACAGTCAAAGCATTCTGTGCGATCCTGAATAAGAAGTCCTTCAACAACACAGCCGTATCGACCAAAATATCCAATACCTTGAGCAAAGGCTGTACTTGACCAAGGTATCCGGCAGTGCCAGACTCGACCAGAGGAACACCAGCAGCCATGCACATCTTATTAACATGTCTTCGCGCATCTGGAATGCGATTCCGTCAAACTACGTTGGATTTGAACCGTCGGTTAACATTACCGAGATTGTCTAGTGCGTTTAGGACGATGTCAAAACGACTAAACCATTCGATGTCAAACTGTGCTTCTTTTATGTTTGCATGAATGGGATGAATGTTGACGTTGGGGTTGAAAGCGCCAGCAGTTTGGGCTGCTACCTTGCAGGACGACACTACGATGTTACCCCGGAACGAGATCTGTCAATTGAGTGGCTTACCATAGCTTTGCTATGTTTGATATCTTTCTTTTTGAAAAGAAATTGCCTATTCAGGTTCGAAAGGTCTATGGTGTCTAGGTCAAGGAGGGTTATGTGGCCGAAGCCAGTCAAGACGATATTCTTCACTGTCACATATTATATCATAATCAGAGTGCGATATAGAAATATATCCTTCAAAGACTTACAAAGTTCGCATCCTATTCCTCCTGCCCCAACCAGTAGAACTTTCGTCTCAGACAACCTCTCACAAAGCTCGGGACCCAAGATGGCTTGTGCATGAGTAGATCGAGATGATGTATTGCGAGCGCCGTTCATAGAAGAGCTTGACATTCCACGGGAGGCAGCAAAGTGAAGTTTCCTCGAAAATAGTTCCGAAAATGTCAGCCCGTGCTCTGCTGACGACTGCAAGAAATCAAAGGTAAGGCAGCGCCGAAAAGGCGGCCTCATGCGTGACAACGATATTTCTCGGTCACGCGTCGGACGTCACGCGTTCAAGAGCGTCACGCCACTTGCCTAACTCCGGCCTGACCTTATGTTTTAGGCTTCCAGCCCATGACCATGCCCAGCTATCGTGCACCAAGCAATCAATCAAGCAAGCTCACAAACTTGAGTAGTGGAAATATTACTGCTAGGTATCTAAATCTGGTGTTTCCATCCTACTTCGTGACCATTTTCAATCATTGGCTCCACAAACCCTCGGAATGTCCATGAAGGAAGTTCAACAACAACTTCCCCGCCGCTCTCTATGATGCTATGATCTTGTGACCAGCGCATACCATAGCCTTCTGCTACCCGTACTTCATATACCAAGACCCGATGCGGTAGCCAATGGAGATTCCTCCAAGTCGAATTATCCACCACTCGTTCAAATAATGTCAGCGCACGCTCATTGATGGAGGAAACTGAACCGGAAGGGAGGCCCCACCACCCTGTGTCTGTTTTTATCTGCCCCTTATTGTTTCTTTTTACTGGAAAATCCTTTGCTCCTGGTGTCTTCCCTTGGGAGCGGTGCGAATGCTTTGACCATGCACGAGCACCAGCCGTGAGTCCCGCTTTGTTGGGTATGCTGAATGCCGTGAGGCATTCCTCTCGTGTTGGCGGCTCAGAACCTAGTGCAGAACCAATGGTATATGCCAGGCCACTCAATAGGTGTCTCGATAGTGGGTCAAGTGTTTGTTTGAGTTCAGCTAGCGGTTGATTGTTACATCGAATCAACTCTTGGACTCGAGAGCGTTCAAATGTTGCAGATGGTAGTTCTTTTATATTGAAACAATGAGGAATGGGAATCAAGAAGATTGACCGCATACCAACATGGGCAATTGGCAGCTGCAAAGAGTTTCTGCGTCGTCGTCGGTTACATAAACGAGATAATCGTCATAAGCGATCGAACTACCTCGGATATAACCGGAAGCATGTGATTGGTTAGCGGCTTTATTTCCAACGCTCATTCGCGCCCTGCAGTACGCACGGTGCACACGACTTTTCTCGCACTACTTTCTTCAGTGTCGTTGACACCGCCAACGACGAATGGCTTCGTCTATGATCCTTCGCTCTACGCTGCCCAGAACCTTTGCTTCCGCAAATGGACGTAATTTCCTGCGATCCGCGTTGCAAGGTAGAACCTTCCTATTTCTCATGTGTGGATCAAGCTTACCTGCGTTTGAAAGTGAGAGCGACAAGCTCGACTACGCAATATGTACCGGGCGGACGTATGTCTTAGTAACTCTATTTGATACCGGGGAAACTCACTCATATGCTCCACAGCTATCTTGAAGGGCACGGTCAACGACCCTACGGAGTTCCCCCCTCCATCAAGAACGCATGGCTCATATCACTGGGCATTTGAGCGCCTTCTTGCTGCCTCCCTTGTTCCCATGACCACAGCCGCTTTTGTGACCTCTGGGTCATCTTACCCCGTCCTCGACGGACTGCTTGGTCTCAGCTTGGTGATGCACTCTCATATCGGGGTACGTGACCGCTAGAGATGGTATGCCTGAGGATATAAATGACATATTTTTTTAATGCCAGTTTGACTCGATGATTGTGGACTATGTACACAAACGCAAATTCCCTGTCCTTGGCCCTATCATGACCTGGACACTGAGATCGGCCACGGTCGGCGTGCTCGTCGGCGTCTATCAGTTCAACACAAATGACATTGGTGCGACCAATTTTGCTGGTCGTGTTTCCTCACCTGACTTATTTTTTAAAGGCTTGACGGAGTTGATTACAAAGGTCTGGACAGCATAAGAGTAGACTTCGCGCTACGACATACTGCCAGAGTGTTCAGAAGACGATAAAGAACACGAAAATACTGAGAGTAGTAAAACATTTTCAATATTTTAAGTGGTGACTAGTCCACGCAGATGACGCAAATTCAAATCGTCAAGCTTACCGCGCTTGAACCATAACCCAAATTGGTTGTCAGAAGCTCCATAAAACAAGAGAGAGACGCTCTGCATTCATCTTCTTCCGTAATATCCATTTATCAGCGTCGGAGGCCACTCCTCCATTCCTGCAGCGCCCCCCTAACCGCTATCGTGGCTGTAAGCTCTCCTTACCAATTCAATTTGTCACCCTCGCTTCCTGGAATAGCTGGATGGCATTGAACAAGATCACAGTGTATGAGCTCGACATCGAAAGACATTCCCTGGTGCGTTTCAGGAATCATGACGCCAAGCGCAAGGCAATTTTTGAGTCGATAATGGGTCGTCGGTGTCTGATTTCGTCTCTCGCATCAGTTAGGTTCTTATCATCGACTTTTTAGATGATGTGGCTGAATGTTGGCCTCATTTTCCAGATTCGACACGCGGTGTACTCGAGACACTGGCATCATTTATGGTTTGTTCAAGTTGGCGTTCTACAGTGTGCGAAGGTCCTCGATGCCTCGGGTAACCTCGACGTACAACGACTTCTACACTAACACAATCCAACTGAAAGTAGTGTAAATCTACATGTTTTCAGGTGTAGTTTAATCCTTACTGGCCCGAATTTTGAAAACATTTTCATCACAATAGTTTGAAACATCATGAGAAAAACTGTATTTGGAAGCCCAGGAAGCATACCAGTGACTAGAAATGATACTCCAAAGCTATGGGAGGCCATTTTGTGCCCGCGGCATTGCTCACGCATGCGAGGACTTCAGCCGTTACACCGGGCCCCGATGCGTCGATCAGATTCCACCGCATGTTGTCAAAATTTTCGGACATGTACAATATTAATCCAGCGTCACTTGAAGCAACGACCCGGGGCACTCGGGCAAACCATGATATATATAAGGTTTTTCAACCTACGAGCATTGCAAGAACCGCAGGATGGCATCATAAACAAGCAGCCAAGCCGGTCATTGCTTGGGAATGGTCCTCGTGTCAAATCGATATCATTGTAGATCTTCTAGAGTCTCCAAAGACACGTGGTGCTGGTTTTAGTTTTCTTCCTGTGTATAACTTTAATTAGGACGCGAGGTGCGTCGACGAAGCCACTAGGAGAGCGTTCAGTGCGAAGTGACAAACCTCGGGGGAAGTCGACAAATCTATGTATTACTTTACTCCACCTAAGTTAAGTTACAAATAACACACAAATCTAAATGATACGAACGAGCTCTATACCAAAATAATCCGTGACTAGTTCTATGGGCGACTGTTTATGACCCATTCTGCATAGGTACCACTGACAGCCGGTCATAGTAGGCCTTGACTTCCATCCATTTATCCCTTAGTTCTGGGTGCGCTTCAACATACAAAGTCCTCATATTCGGTATAATCGCCCGCAAAAAATGCGCGACAAGTTCAGTGTGGTCGATGACCGAATCTCGGATATTGAGCACCTCCAAGGACTGGGCACCAGCCCTGTTGGTGGGTAGTTCAGGGATTTCCCTTGCGTTCAAGGACAGGTGTACGCGGGTAAGCCGTGGGCAGTATTGGGTCAACGCTGTCAAGGCGTTCAAACTGATATTGGGGATTATGGAGGACCAAGGTAGGCTGCAGAGCCGAATGTCCTCGAGTTTGTTCCAGGCTTTAGCCACTGAAACGATGAACTCATCGTCTAAATTAAGCGTACCAAGATTGTATACTTGGATAGTGCGGAGATTGCGACAAGCGAGCAGCGGTGCAAATGTGGAAGGGTCGAAAATAAATGGGGCGTCGGCAATTGTATGAGTTTGCGTGTTGTGTCGGAGAGAAATTGATCGAACCGACGTGCCGATGGCACTCAGGAATGAAGTAATGACGGAAGATCGTGCTTGGACGTCGTATGAGACAGAAACATCTTCCAGTTGTGGCGAGGATATAAGCGACACGATAGATGTACACTGGGAAAGGTCGTGTGCCACGAGGCTGAGACGCTGGAGAGCGGGGAAGGTCCTCTTATTTGCCCTATAGCGTAGCACGTCGGCGTCGAAATCAGGGTGAAGATTCAAGGCAAGCTCTTGAACATGACAAAGTGACGCGATATTCAGCACGCTCTGTGCAGATATACGAATAGAGTTGGAGACGACCAACCGACGTAAGTCTGGCAGTTCATGGGTCGAAATATTCAATTCAAATGTCACCACTGGAAAGAACGATGAAATTGCGAGGTTTTCGAGTTGGGTAGCCTTCCGAGTAAGGTCTTTTAATACACAGCAAATGTCCTGAGGGCACATCTTTCGAGGGAGAGTGAAAGCGAGGTTTGTCAGTTTTGGGGAGAGAAAGTCTCGGATTAAGGTGAAGTTGGAAGAGCTGCATGACAGGATGGAGAAGTCGAGCGAGGAAAGTGACGGGAACAGAGACTGGGGAGGGCGTTCAGAAAAAAGGAGTGGAAGCGCGTCCTCGTGTAGTCTGATCATTCTCGTTTGCTTTGGGTATGAAAAACTCTTCACACGACGTGAATACACGTCAAATCGTGCCCACTCAGATTCAGCAGGCGGTCTCGTGAGATACTATAGGTACTGTAATTATGAAATTGCGTGCACGAAGCGAGATGGGACGTACGAGTATATTACTGGAGCGAATCTCCCAAGTCCCTTTTGGCAAGCACATGATAAGAGGACTTAACGAATGTTGAGTGCGCCAGAGGGTGTCAAGAGCACATTCCATAAAGCAGCGGCATGTACGAGCAAGCCTAGCAAGGCTGCTTGTATCTTCCAAGCGCTTCAGGTCCCGCTGACCGTCGGCAGCAACGAACTGAATGATGTGAGAAAGAATCTCGTCAATGAGCAAAGACCGATGCATGGTAAACCACAGTATTTGGGATGTTCAAAATTCTGCAGAGCCTTCAACAGAAGTGGACCTGACCAAGTAACTATCTCCATTCAGCTTAGATTCAGAATATGAAATGGGCTCACCTATGACAGCAATGTCCCAAAGGTTGCTAACGTTGAGATTAAGAACGCCGTCAGGAATAAAAATTTTCTCAAGCTGAGTTACCACTTACCTCATTGTAAACAAAGGAAGATACCTTCTATTTGGTCTGCCGCAGCTACGGGAGACTATGACTGACCGGCGGGCGATAAGGCCTAAGGAATCGCATGTTTACGTGGTCCGTGACTCTGAATCTGCGTCGATAACACGAGCTCGCATTGGCCAAGAGCTCTGTAGAAATTCCCACCGGTGTTAGACATTTCGGATATAGCTGGCCGTCGATGAAGCCTGCTGGTCATGGGTGAGGCCTATAAGGCCTACCAGGGCTCGAGCCTTGGCCCTACTACTAGGCCGCAACCGAAGTATTATTGAACGCACCGCGGACGGTGAATCGGATAAGAACAACACCACACTTATATCTATTGTATTAATTAAAGTGCAACATGTTTTTCTCATCTATTTTCAAAATTTTCAAATCTCGGAGCCTTGAGCCGAAATACTTCGGAAGTCTCGGACGAGAACAATACCTCCAGGAACAGCAGTGTTGACTGTGAACAGGTCGAACGTTCAACTTTCTGGTACTCGCCATCGCTAATTTGTTTACACGAAAGGTGTCGCCTGAACCTCAACCTGCAACTCAAATTCTTCATTACCTATCTCTTCACTTGCCCAGAATAGGGCCCGCCATCCGTGCTCACCCAGCTCCCAAGTCAAGTTTCATCAGCGTCCTCAACCGCACCAAACTCCACTCGCCCGTCACCTTCGCTGCCCTTGTCCTTTTCGAGGCTGTCTTCTGAACCCGACGGGCCCATGACCATTAGCTGGCTGCTGGTAATGACATTTTTAAACGATGAACAAAGTAAGCAGTTCTGCTTCAACCCGAACATGATTAAACCACGTGCATGAGTTGCTACAGAGTAGATTCGTTCACAAATCGCTATGTACATTAATTAGGTGCCAAGAGGCGTACATGCCAAGTGACATATTAAAATTATACTATATCAGTCATATTATAATATTAATGTTTCTAGGTATACCCAACTTCACAACATGCATGCCCAAACTTTTTCCCACCCATCACGAGCATACCAGCATATGCGAGAATCAAACACCTTTAAACGAATATCCTCTGATCGAATACACTCCTCTCCAGGACCAATCTCTGCAAATCCTTTGATTTCCTTGGGGATGCAGTCATAGCGATCCTCAGCAGGGATGCAGACAACGTCAGCAGTTCCACGTATGAGTCGATTCCCGTGAAGATCAACGCAAATGGATCAGCAGAAGGTTCGATACGCGGGTACGGCAGGAAGACGGTTTTAAGATTCTTGAAAGAAGCCCATGGAGTCATCTCCATCCACTGGGGCAGGCGGTAGTTTCCACATATGTTCGTCGTATGAGACTTGTAGTCGCATACGTATGGGTTGGTCGAGAGATGAGATATTGAACCAAGGAAAGCAGATCCCTGAGGAGTGCTCGTGAGACGCTCCCACCGTGGGCCGGTGGCGGGGGGCGTACACGATAGTGTCAGAGTTTGTGTGTTCCAGGGAGGAAGGGAATGTTCGTTGTTGAAATTTGTGGTTGCACGAAACTTCCATGCATGTTCAAGGCATTCTATGAGAAGGTCCAGACTTGTCCAGCCGAGGGCAAGGGACGGTGCAGCGAGTAGTATCGGAGCTAGGAGGCTAATGTCGAGCGGAGGTTGAGAAGGTTTTAATGCATGAGCTCGGGGTGTGTGGGACAAATGAGCTGGCGTGGAACTCCCGCCATGAGATACAATCCAGATCTTGTGCACACGAGGTGCGTACTCAAAATGGAGGTCGTTTTCTTTCTCCCCATACGTTTTCTGCATACGTAGAGCATGCACGAACTTTTCTACGTGTGGAAAGTCCGGTAGCAATATGGTATGCAGGAGTTCGGGAAGCACGACGCGCCTGACAAGTTTTGAAACATAACAGAGTGTGAGTGCAGATGAATATGGATTTCTAGCATCATATAGGTCAGCCTGATCAAAGGCTGGTCGCGCGGCATATTCGAGGATCATGAAGGCAAGCTCAACTGGAAGGTCAGTAAATGGAAATTGGTGGATAAGTTCCATGGCGAGCGAGTAGGATGCGAAGCAGGTTTGGAGGAGCCCTGCTTTTAATACTCGTATCATAAAATATGCATAGCCTCACCCGCTGCAGTTGTGAGACCACACGCTATGACCAAGTGGTCCAACCCGGTCCATAACAGCGTTCATTGTTCCTTCTAGGTCACAGCGAACTAATCAACAAGGCTCGGGTTTGAACCTGTAGGCTTACAAACCTTGATGATGCACTGCCACGAACCATATCTCGACCTCTTGGCCCGGCCGGTGATGCTGCATCATGCCAATCGGGCAGAACTGAAAATTCAAATGGACAACACGGTTACGCAAACGACTTCTAGCACCAAGGTGGAGCTTTGACGTCTTGACAGGCAAATTATCTTCGCATTTGTTGAAATCAAAAGTATTTTCTTACTGACACAACTGACGAGCATAGTTAAAACGAGATTCTAAACAAGGTTCTCAGCTCAAGTCAGACGAAGCCCCTCGTCGAATGAGGAATTGCTCACATGGATGAAGCCTTCTACATTGCAACGACCAATCGTCAAGGCGGGGGGTAGCACTTTTAATGCGAATCAGCACAAGTCAACCTTGATAATATATGTGTATCGGTCAATCTGAATCAAGGTTCACTGTGGCTACATCCGATGAGCATTATAATAACAATGCATTGATCTTATCCAGTAGGACATTTCTCCCTTTGGTCTCGCTCTTTTTTAATCTCTCAGCAACGTTCCCACCAAACCAGCCCTTGACGGTCTGTTTTTCATCAGCGCTTCCCTCTTCCTTTATCCGCTGCAAAAATTCTGCAATAATAAAGGCACCTTCTCCCCCAGCCATGCTTACTGCCAAATCTTCACCAACGACGGACATGAATGCAGACGCGAATGCTGATGGGGAGAACGATGATGAGCGAATGACGGATTTGCTAGCATGCGAGAAATGCCCGCCCTGGAAAAGGGATTTATACATTCGTGACGTGTGCGGGAGGTCAATTGGATGAAGCTTTGAGGCATCTTCTGAGGGGTATATCGACGCTAATGGTTGAAGGAGGGACTGCATAGCCGAAGACTTGTCTAATAAAAAACGTTAAAATTGATCAACATCGAAGGAGATGCAACCAACCTCCGTCAGCATATAGCATGATTTCCAATATTACCAAACTTCCACCGGTGTCCTCGCGCAGCTTCTGCGCCGTTGTTCTCGACGAACTTAAGTAATCCCTCACTTTGCTGCTGTCCGGATTTCACCTTCGCGGACAGCCGCCACTCTTCTTGCTGGTTTTTGCTGCGTATATGGTCTGTCTCAGCAATTATCGATATTTGGGCAGGTGTGAAATGTCGCCGTGATCGTGGCACAAGCAAGTAGAAAAGAGCACGTCGACCTTGTGGGGTGTTGATGAGTGTAGGGGCGTGGGCGATGATATCCGAAACAAGTGATTTGGCCGTCAACTTTGTATCACTATAAGAAAGGGTTTCAGGATTCATCAACACTGAGCCAATAAACTAGAACACAAACTCGATCACGTCGAAGGCAGTGAAAAGGACGAGCTGAGCCTCATCATCTGTACACATCCGTTCAACATGAGGTTTAATGACTTTAATAATCTGTTTTCGGTCCTGTACGACAGACATCAATATTCGCCACCTGAGCCAAAACACCTGAATGCACCTTGGCTGTCCCATAAGCAATGAAGTCTCTTACAGCCCTGCTGCCGTCCTTTGTATGGACCATCTCGGCAAGGACATCTTGGCAACTGTAGATATAGTGTTAATGGATGGTACATCAGCTGAGCCTGTATTTACCTTTCAAATATCTCTTTGCGAAGTTTTTCTCGTTCTGATTCATCTTCCGTATCATTGACAGCAGCTAAGTATTCCAAAAGTGCCCTGTGAACGATTGCATGGGTGATGGCGCCTTTATCAGAATTGTTGAAACTGTCGATAACGTCATCGATTATGGAATTACACGATGGTCAATTTCAAATGGGCTTACATCGTGGTTAGATTCTCTTTTAGTGCTACCAATACGCGTTTTCTTCGCTCACCCTCAAGGCCTTCAAGAACGCCAGAAAAACCTTTTCTAGCGTCCGCCTTCTCGGGTTCAGAACCTCGTGTATGAGAGAACAAAGCGACTTCCTTGCCGTAGAAGTCGCGAAGAAGGATTGAACGCTCGTATGCATTTGCGTAAAGCTCGAAAGAATCGGCGAGAACCGCAGATGCCTCCCGGTGCAATAGTAGACGGAGTACGTTTGACTGGAATTCGAGCAAGATAGATGCACGATGTGCTGGACAGAGTCTGATCAACTTGGTCACTAAGAACTACTACCGTCGTCAGGAGGCTTAGTGACGAAGATTGACCGAACAAACCTTCGAGTACTTGCTTTGAGCTAATGCCTTGTAATGACCTTTAAGCTCCATCGCGACCTGGTCTCTCTCCTTTTGCCCACCATATTTCACAACAGTCTGGATAATCCTGCTTGCGTCGTGTTTTAGAACGATATCCTTGACTTTTCCCTGGGTAACCTTCATCAGTTCTTTCACATGTTTCTGTCGCTCCGCAGAGGGTATGCTTTTTTGCCGAGCTAATGACCAGACGCGCTTTGCATCTGCGAGTAACTGGGAATGTGGTTTAGCCGCCCGACGCTGTTCCTGCAGTACACGTTGGACTTTATGTGATTCTCTTGCAGCTATTCAGAACGTTATGAATCGTTTACAGTTAGGTCCCTGTAATCGTCGACATACCGTTGGGGTCTTTGCTGAAAGCACCATCCACGATCATTTCATCTGGGACTATCTCCTGGTCCTCAAGTTCTTCTTCCTCAAAATTCTCTTCGTCCTCATCTTCGTCCTCATCGGACAACCCGCTGGCTGATATTATTGGTTGTGTGACAGGTCTACTTCGTTTCTGGGCTTTTCCTTCCTCGAATTTCGTTAAGGAAGGATTTTCGGAGTGCTGTTTCTTGGATTTTGGGCCACCTTGTGAGACCGCTGGTCTTTTCTTTGATGCATTTTGTAGGCCAGGCATTAGAAAGATAAAGACTGAGTACAGAGCACTTGGCAGTGAAGCCCTATCAACTTCAGCTCTTCGAAAGTTTTTGGGTGATCTTGTCCACGTGACTGTAGCGGTAAGTCAAGTCCATTTGAGGCAGCTGAAGTAATATATTTTTTCTACTGTGGTTGAATGGTCTCTCTATCAGGTACTTAGTTGTTCTGCCATCACCATAGTCAGTACTATGGATGAGACCGCTCAATAGCAACACGGAATCAATATTCCAAGTCTCATCTTTCTTAGCATCATGATCACTGATCAATCAATCTTATACTCTATTACTAGAGGCACTACTACTAGTAAGTAAGTTCTTTCTGCGAAGCTTGGACTGGCCGGGCCGAGTGCTGCCGGAATATTCCAGCAGGCTGCATTTCCCGGCATCTAGATCTTCAACAGGGAAGTGGCTGTCAGGCCTCATACTGTTATGACTATGGGAGTATATGACAGTCGATTGACGATTTCAGATAGGTTGGTGGTTGGCTTCAACCTGGAAAACGAACTTTGAGCGACAGTGAACGGGCAACTCGGACACCATCTGAGTCGGTGAAGATGTAATGCTACGAGCAGATGCAGCTCTGGAGCTTGGCGAGCTGTCGCAATAGTATCTACCTATTGGTCCTGTGGAATTGAATCGCCCGTCACGAAAACCAGAGCGAGCACGGACTCTGCGTATTGGTCCAAGGTCTAGACGGTCACGTTCCGCAGCCTTTGTGACAAGTTATCCTGGCCCTTGCCTCCCCCTATCCGTCCTTTACTAAAGCTTGCGTTTGTCAGCATGGCACGTCATTGTGGAATAGAAATATATAAGGGTGTTGTGCAGAGTTGAAAAACCACACACCATTTTCTGGCTAACAATGTCTACAGTCTCTGCAGAACTCGTGTACTTTACCCCGCCCTCTGACGGATCCCGCCCATTCACCACTATAAATGCTGATCCGAAAACAGGCCAGCGTGCACGTAATTGGGAGGAAGAGGTTCATACCGTCGAGATTGAGAACGTCAGGGGCAAAGAAAGTGATTACACCTTGGACACTGCTGGCTTTCAATACGTCATGAAACCCTCCAAACATATTGCATTCATCAATGACGAAGGGATTAGAGGAGAATACTATCCAGAGAGCATTGAACTTCTCAAGGACATTACGGGCGCGAGCAAAGTCGTCCTTTTTGACCACAGTACGTGTGAAAGGGGTGCTTAATACTCTAATGTCTGATTTTATTGGATCTTAGCGGTCAGACGCCACCGCCCTGGAGATAAGGAGACGGACGAAACCAAGCGCCAGCCTGTTAATCAGGTTCATGTAGACCAAACTCCTGAGTCGGCTACTGCTCGTGTGCATCGTCATCTACCTGTCGGCGAAGCGGAGAAGCTTGTCAAAAAGCGTTTCCAGATCATCAACCTTTGGCGACCCATTTCTCATCCCGCACTTGACCGACCATTGGCGCTGTGCGATTATAGGACTGTCGACGTAAAGAAAGATCTCGTTCCTCTCGCATTGGTTTATCCGGATCATGAGGGCGAGACTTTCGGGGTCAAATTCAACCCGACCCATAGATGGAAGTACGCAAGAGGGATGAAACAGGACGAGGTAGTCTTGATCAAATGGTTCGCTCACTATTTTTCGATCTGTGATGGTGCGCTTACCTTGGTCGTAGTTACGATTCGGCTAAGGATGACAACATAGCTAGATTCACTCCACATACTGGGTTCAAGGATCCCTCGGCACCTACAGGGGGCGCCGCTCAGGGAGTCTATTGAACTCAGGGCGCTGGTTTTCTATGAGTAGAGAGCATCGTTGCTACGATGACCATGTTCGCTCGTACTTTCTGCTTCATTTCTCATTCCTGCAACTGACCGTTAAATCACGGAATTGAACTCGATCGGCCTAGATATAAAACGATTGTAAATGTAGGGTTGTATTGTTGACACCTGAATTTCACAAGTGTCTCAATAGTCAAGTGGTTCCATTTCTGCGAAATGCACTAAGCCCTTAGGAGAAAACTACAATTCAGTCGACTATATAAGTCAGACATCTTCATTTTGTCGTTAGAAGCTACTGGCCGGAGATATATAATGATCATGACGGTACTAACTTAACTATCTCGTATTTCTTATCGTTTATTTGCCCCCTCAATCCTAAAAGTCCATTCCAGTATACCCCTAAGAGAATAACTGATGAAGTTGTGACTTCGATTGACAAACTGGCTCGCTGGATCATGATTTATTTGGGTTCGTGCCTCATCTGGCGGTTCAACGTTCAACCATCATATCAGAATGTTGTCTGTTCTTTACCCGCTTTTGTGATTATCTGCAGTGACCGGAAGAAGAAGAGTCTGGAGATCTGCGGGTCGCTGAAGGAAAATGGTACCAACAGTCGGAATGGATAGAGCCATACATAGAGCGTATGATTTCACTCGTTACATGATGCGACTTGTCACAATGCTGACTGGTGGTGGAAGGACAGAGTGGTTGTCATCTCGGTTCCCCAGGAAACCCACGAGCAAGTCTAGTGATGGCGAGGACAAATATTTTCGGAAGAATGAGCAAGAAGCCCAGTAAGACCGTCAAGATCGAATATTTTAGCAGGGGGTATGAAGGCAGGCCAATAGTGTGACAATCCATTTTCTACGGTGCTTGCTAAGTCAGTTGTACCGGGAGGTATTTGACGAATCGAGGCATGCATCGTCCTCTCCTAACGCATGATGTGCTTCATTGAGGAATCGCTGATCATGTAATATCTTGATACCGGTATTGCATAAGATAGCGGCTGATATTGATATTGCAACGTGTATGGAACACCAGACAAATGATGTCAGATCTCGAACCACACTGCCTTGCTCATGGACGACAGCAGTCGACGCCAGCAACACATGACAGTCAAACGAACCAGTGATTCGATGGGTTGTGCATCTTGAGAGCCCGCTCACCGGATTAGTACGCGACTCCAACTCGGAAACGGCTGTGTATCCGTACCCATCAATTCATTAACTGCATTTAGCACCTGTGTATTATCCACGTTGAGACGCTGGATCATCATGGGGCCGTTCCACACAAGTAATTTGTTATGGCGATGCTTGTCAAGGAGCGCTTAGGCTCCACATGAAGCGACAAGAGCGGGTCAATGTCACTGTAGAGATTCCGATATCTGAATCATCAATTAAGCGGTAGTCAGAGGTATTTTGATGTGAGTACATCATGTTGCCTTGATGATATTTGAGGTAGATTGTCAATGAATGACTCGCAATTTACCGGTATACCTTCACTTTCACACTATGCTTGCTCCAGAAGTACGTTGATGAGACTGCAGAGGGCTGTTCGCAGCAGTACGTACAACATTCAACAGCCTGAGAGAGGATGCATATGTCTGACACAGTGTTATGATGCAACAAGCCGCACCCCGAAGGACAGTAAACAAGGATTACAAAACAAATGCATCAGAACGTAAGTCAGAGAAATAGCAACTGGACCATCAAAAAATGATAACAATGATGACAAAAAGAAAGGAATGGAAGCACATGACTCAACAATCGTACCAACGCACCAACCATGCACACTTCTCCGAGTTGGGTTCCATTAATCCAAGATGAGTTCCCTGCATAGATATAGAGAACATATGGAGACCTGGAGTTTTCGAAGCAATTTTGAAGTGCATCAAAACCTATGCAACTCAAATACAAATCGGTCCTCGGGTTTGAAGATAATCCAACCGCATGGCAAAGGCGCTTGACGTTTGAAATTTGGTCTTCTTGAATCAAAACAATTTTAAACAGAATGATGATCATGACCAAACGCTGGTCGACGTCGGCCTCAGTCGGAGTTGGAAATTAACTTTTGCTCCGCTCGCTCAGTGACAAGTGTGCACTATGTGTACATCATCTTAGACCTTGCCTCATAGGTTAGGACTGGTCACGAGTCTAACATCATCTTAGCCGGCAGACTTACTGTACAATTTCAGCTGTTTACTAGAATGCGAGTCACACCTCCTTCCATCACGCATCATGGCAGTGCGACCATCATACATCATTTACAAGGCACCCTCCGCTGAATCTGCTAGATCTAAGTCACACACTGTAATCATGGCTGTGTCACTATGCACACTGTACGTAGTACTTATCTTCAGTTGCTTATTGCATTATTCACCCGTTCAACGGGCCAAAAGAGATATGTCAGTCCCAGACTCCTTCGGTTTGCAGCTAGCCAAGGTAATTCAGTCGTGCTTTGTCCGCAATTCTTCTCTAATGTCTTTCCTCAATGAAGTACACTAATGGTAAGGTCAGGCTGATGACAATGCATATCGTTATTTACGAATCGACTTTAGTCGCTGCATCAGCAATTCTAGTAAGTTGTGCTGCTTCAATAACATCGATGGGAATTCTGATCATCACCAGATTTATGACTACTTTGTCACGTTACACTCTGAAGTCAGCAAAAATTGGCCACCCACTGGCATATCTTGGTGCTGATCTTTCTTGTAGGTCCAATGGTCCTGGGGACGGAAGTGGGGGATTGTTCGCATTACCTTCGTGGTTTCGCGATATGTGCCTTTTATTGGTGCACTCATGACATCATACTGTGAGATACTTATGCCGGTGCGCACCACTACGCAAAGCTGATCCCTGACCAGCTGCTGTTAAGACATGGGGCACGCAAGATGTGAGTGCATCTTCGATCTGTGCAGTAACAATTACTCCCGCTATAACTCACATCAATGTAGTGTGTGCCATTTAATGATGCTGTAAATGGTTGGTCCAGACGATTTTGATTACACGGATCTGACATCATTTTGCAGGTATGCATTTCTTGGGAATCATTGCCTCGGAAGGTTGGCTATTTCATGCGACGTTACAGCATGAAACTACATTCAAACGCAGGATTATTAATTGCCAGGATCTACGGCTTCTCTGGGAATAACAACTCTTATTTGATCGTTCTTCTCTTTTTTTGTTCGGTACGATGATATCTCTATTTCCCTTGAGCACCACTAACTCGTGTGGTGCAGGCCATTTTAGTGACGGCCGTGATTTTAAGCGCTGCCCCTATCAATTTGAACATAACAGGCGGTGAGATCTCAAGGCTCATGTCCTAGTCATGGTATTCATTCTATTTCAGACTCCCCGCCATGCGTGTTCGAGGGAAATCGTCGTAATGCCCTTCCGTATGGACTTTTAGTGTTCCTCGAGATTGGTGAGGCGATCATTGTTTCAAAGTTCTTTACTTGACAATTCGCTTATAGTTCTTATGTCCACTACCACATTTTTGAGACATCGACACTATTTTGGTTCCCACAGCACGCTGATGAGGAGTATCTATCGTGATGGGCTGCTCTACATGTTCTGCATTATGAGTACGAACGCCATTGAGTTATTGATTTTGTGCTGATATCTCAGTAGTGATATCCTCAGCGAACGTAATTATAATCGCTGTGCTACCTGTGAGCTCTTTCTTTGTTGAGTTGATCCCGAAGAACTGAGTAGATCCCTAGCTCTCGTACAGCGAGATGCTAAACACGTTAGTCTGGTCGATCATCCATGTAGATTTCGTCAAAGCTCATCTCTCATTTTAGGCCTCAGATTGTTGCGCATAGCGTTCTTGCTTCTCGCATACTATTCAATCTTCCAGTGAACAATGTGCCAGTCTTCCCCACGTACCAATCGACGCCTTCGACGGAAATATTATCGTGTCCACATGAATTTGATGCTATGTCTGGAGGCGACTAGACAGTTTGTTGGCCGCGATTCAGTCTAGATTGCTAATTCTGTAGGTGGTGTCATTTACGGTGATAAGCGTTTGTCACTTGAGTTTACTGACTATGAATTCTTTAGTTTCAGTTCGTTTCTCTTTGTCGTGTCTTCCACATTGCGGTGCTTATCTACTCTGCTACCATTGGTGTAAGTGTCTTCAGTGCTTCGAATTACGTATTAGTGGCCATAGAGGGGTAATTCAATTTGTCACTCCTTGTGAAATTTCGTCCCTCTTGATCACATGGGCATCTAATGGGAATGCACTTACGGTCACAATGTCAGGCTCCCCAACGACTATCTTAAAACCGCAGTTCTAGTGGCTGATATGGTACCAACTTCTCGACAAATCAGGTAAAGGTCCAGGGTCTCCACAGATAACTTACGAAAGAATGTTTAACAATTCACGACATATCGTGGAGAATTTTTAAGTTCCTTCAATTTGGAATTCTAAGCCCTATATATGATGATCATGATAGTCCTTACTCCTCCTAGCTACTGGGTATACGATGGCTTCTGCTGCAGACTTCTCTCAACAGGATTTTGATTATATTGTCATTGGTATGTCAAGTTAAACCTGTGCGATGCGTTGATATAACATTTTTACAGGGGGCGGAACAACTGGGCTTTCATTGGCCTCGATGTACATCCTTATCATGAGATCCTTGTTCTTCTTTCCCTTCAAATCTAACTTTTAAATGTTATAGCCTCTCAACTAACGCTAGCATTCGTGTAGGAGTCATTGAAGCAGGCGTGAGGAAGGACGATGAGATGATTCTTGTACCCGGTAAGTGGTCCAACAGTGACTGATTGACCTAGTATTCATGAAGTTTCAAAAAAAATTCTCTTGGTAAAGGCCTAGTCGGCAAGGCCGTTGGAAGTGAGTCCAGAGTTGACTTGTGCTTTAGAGACAGCGCATCACAGTTCAAGCTTAGACGCCGAATATGACTGGAATTTAGTCACAAAACCTCAGCCATCTGCTCAGAATCGGGTGATGCCAATCCCTAGAGGCAAAGTCCTTGGTGGCACATCAGCATTGAATTTCATGGCTTACTGTCGGTGTGTACATATACCACGCGCTTTCACGATCACATGCTAACATTCACCTTCATAGCGGTTCCGAACTCGAGCATAATGGTCAGTACCCGGAGCTATGCAATTCAATTGATAACTTTCATACTCATCTGTCGGAAGACTGGGAGAAACTCGGCATTAAAGGTCAGGAGTACATCGTTCAGTACGGAACAGAACACATCATTGATTTCACTCGTTTAGGATGGAATTGGAATGCCATCAGTAATGCAATTAAATCTGCTGAGGCCTGGAGCCCTCCAACCAGTCATTCCAAGGCGCACCACGCAGACAACGTTGCGAAACATCATGGCAGGTAAGGACTAGCATTGTGGATATAAATTTGTGTGAATGCTTCATTCTCGAGCCAGGTACGGCTATGTCAAGACCACTGCATACAGCTACTTTTATGATCTCGTTTTACCATTTTTTGAGACCATGAATGAGATGGGTGTGGTCACGAACCAATCTGAAGTGCGTTTGAATATTGACCAAGTGAACGTAATTGAAGTTGTTATTAGGCCTCTGGAGACAATATAGGCATTTGGACGTACACAGCGTCCATCGATCCTCAAACCAATACGCGCTGTTACAGTACAAATGTAAGACAGCAGTTAATTCATCTTGAAATAATTGACACCTGGTCATTTTTTCAGGCGTATTATGATCGGGTCTCTAACCGACCGAATATCGTTGTACTCACTGGTGCACAAGCCTCTAAAGTAATTTTTAAACAAACCTCCAGTAGTGACCTGCAAGCCACGGCAGTTGAATATCGTAAAGGAGGGCGAACTTACAAAGTCCCTGTGCGCCGGGAAGTTATCATATCAACTGGTATGTGTCGATTGTGATGGTTGGAATGTTAACCCAAATGAGGAGAAAAGGTGCTCTGCAAACACCCCAGCTCCTGGAACTTTCAGGTGCGAAGCTCTAGCTATAGTATCAGATGGTCTGCTTAGTTTTTTCAATTTCTACATTACTAGGGATTGGGAATCCCGACCTCTTGCGTAGGCTGAATATTCCTGTAAAAATTGACTTACCTGGCGTTGGCGAAAACCTTCAGGTACTAGGTACCACCTCCAATTGAGAAGCGAATAGAGCCTTATACCTGCCTTAGGACCACCCCAGGGTATCCATGGGCGCAGAGCTGAAAGGCTCGCACGAGACCGCGGATGACCTCAATTCAGAAAGCTTTGCTAAACAAAGACTAGAACAATATCGTCTTTCCAGAACAGGGATGCTCAGCAGCACACTGTCTACCGTGGCTTTGATTCCATCGTCATCTTTCATCCCACCCGAAAAGATGCAGAGTATTCTGTCAATCCTGGACGATGCCCTGAAATTACCGCAAATTCAAAACTCGCCCTGGAAAAGTGGTACGATGTCCAACGCGCCTGGCTGGAGAACGATGGCATTGCTCAGTTAGAGGTGATTTTATTCCCTTGTGCGTCTTTTATCTGTCACGTATAGATGTAGTATTGATCACCCGCAGCTTACAACCACGTCGGCTGCACAAACGAAAAATCTAAGCATTACATGATATCAGTCTTCCTGCAGCATGCTTGGAGTCGAGGACATGTCTGTTCTTTTTTTTTCAAATTGCCACTTGAACTCATGCTTCCACCGCAGGTGCATGCTACTTCTTCATCTGTGTTGGATTCGCCAGAAATTGATCTGGCAATGCTCGAATCTCTGGGAAACATTGGTAAATGAGTCCTTATTCACCGCAGACAGTTCACTGAATCTTCGTCGAGATATGATGATGCTTTTGGAGGCTGTAAAATATGTTTTCAAGGTCATGGAGACGGGGGCTCTTGGCGAGTTGACTGCAGATATCGTTGAACCTAAACCTTCTTGGTCTGATGAACAACTCATGGATTATATCCGCTCAGACATTGGAAGCGGATTCCATCCTATCGGTAGGTCGTGTAACTTGAAAGCTGCAAACTTTTCTTATGCAAGTTACCCTTCAAAGGGACAGCATCGATGCTCCCTCGTTCCGCCAATGGCGTCGTCGATAACAAACTGAAGGTCAGTTTTAACCTAATTGTCTGCGAGACGAACTCACGGATTTTCTACAGGTGTATGGGACAACCAACCTGAGAGTAGTGTGTATATCTTTCTTGACAAACTGAGCTCGGCTTCCTTAACACGCGCTTTACAGGCGGATGCTAGCATCTTCCCAATTGTAAGGTTGAAAGTTGTGACTTTAGACATACTAATACCGGATATCTTAGCATGTAGGAACTCATCCTCAAGCCACGCTTTATGGGTGAGTCACCAACGACGATCGTACAACTTGCTCTGAGAAGATCTTTCTAGGTTGGCTCACAAAGCCGCGGAAATCATTCAAACCAGCGAAAAAGCCAAACTTTGATATCCTCGACGAAAAGTATTGTTCGTGGATGGCTATTTACGCAAGTAGTAGTGTTTATCGCGAAAACAATTGCATAGATATCTCAAGCACCGATAGTTCCTGTCCACGTTTCGATCAAGTCGATTACACAGTAACCCTTCACAGGCACGTATTGCTTAGTGATCATCTTTATCACCTCTTGAGCAACCATGCCGCCAAGGAAAGCTGCAGTGTTGGGCAGCTCGGAAAAAGGTGCTCGAGCACTACAAAATCACATAAGCCATAAATTTAAGCCAAGCTGTAACCTTACTCACATCTCACCAATTGCATCGTCAGCCTCATCAGGAAGCTCAGTAGACTGTCCGACAATGGACTGAATCTTTGCATGAATGGACTCTGCTGATGGTGACACCGAGGTGTCGCTCGCTTGAAGCAACGAAAGCGCAGAAAGTGCTAGATGTATACATGTCTCCTTTGGCATCGTTGATAACGACTCCACTGACCCAACAGACGAAAGGTTAGCAGTCTGATCCAATGCAAGGTTCCAAGGTGTTACCTAGAGCAGCTTTATCTTCATCAAACATACCCCAAGGTTTGCCTCTAAGAACGACCAGCGCATGCGCATTCTTGACAAATGAATTCACCATGCCGTCGTCGACCGGTACTCGGAGATAGCTCTTAAAGGCCTGTTTTTCTTCCTCCGCCCTCGTTTTGTAAAGTCGCTGCAAATGTATGTAATTATGGGTGTCAGACTTCATATCTGGCAGGGTTGATGCGAGAGGAAGCGTGTGTGTGTCAGATTGTTCCGTGTACTCCTTCAGGGCGGCAAGGAGATGGAAGAAAGGCGATTGATTGCTGTCCAGTGCTTCGGTTGATAGCGCGGGGTCGTTGAAGAGGGCCTTTATTTCTGAAGGAACCTAATCAAACAGTCATGCCAAAACTCGAAATAAATGGAACAACAAAAACCTTGGTTTCCGTCCAGCATCTGTATGCTTGTGCTTCTGCTTCATCAAAGTTTTCTTCGTCTCCTTTCACCTTCAGCGCGAGCACGCTTTTCTTGAACTGTTGTCTTTCTTCGTACGATTTCGGTAGAATTCCACCGTGCTGTAAGATCTCTCGTGAACATGCATTCAACCTGAACAAGGACTAACTTACAGATTTCTTCCAATAATCAAGCGCACGAACTAAGATCACCACGTATGGTATGTGTCCGTGCTCTGTGGAATCCATCTTATCAAAGTCCAACGACAGCGCATGTTCTCTCAAAGCTGGGAATGGTTTGTCGATGCGGAGAGAGGGAGATGTTTCCGAGTGACTTTCGATGACTTGAAAATGTCATGAGAATATTCAAAAACACAGATCCGTACGTACTTGTGTGCTCATGAAATTGAATATAGAAATCTGCCAAGAATCCAGCTGATCGGACGACCACGAGAGGCGGGTATTTCGCATCTTTCCAAAGGAGTGCAGAGAGTTTGTTCAAGAGTGCATGATCTATGTTATGGGCAATGACGATAGTGAACGATGTGATCCACTCAGGGTGCGACTCGAGGATGCTCTCGAGAGTTCTAGTGTCTGCACGACCTTCAACACCGTCATTTAGCTCGCTCAGAAGCCGGACAGCCTCCTCTGCTCTAGACTTTCCGATACTATTGTACCCTTCTAAGAAGAAGTTATTCCCTGCATCAGAGTGTGACACCTTGGCGTGATCAAGGATAGTGAAGTGTCCGATGCCAGGAAGAACAAGGTTCTTCAAGATTGAAGTTGAAGTGGCGGATCCAGATACCAACAGTACCCGAGAAGACTCTAATGCATTCTGTCCAGTTGCTGCCCAAAGGCTTGTTCGCAAATGTCAATTGGGTCTCATTTGTGTAGTTCTCCTGAAGTAATCTTACCGGAGCTGACGATCATATCTTCGTGTTTTGGTGTCTGGCGCAGATCTATGTCTGGTCAGCCGACAAGTCTTACTTTTCTAAAGAGATCATACTCTATCGCAGTGGTTGCAGTTTCGATGTCCTGAGAGTCCTGACTAGACATGATGGTTGAAAGTAAAGACTGGCTGGCAATTGATAAGTAATGGTGACAAATCGACGCGTACAGTCACATATCTGTCACACTGTCAATGTGACAGTGTCTCTTTGACCTTCACCATGACAGACACGCGTCAGTTCGGTGATCTTGCAACTCAACTTATCGCAGAATCTCGTAGATCGACTCTAACAGACACTCTTCTCAAATACAATGACAATCTTGTCCGATCTATCATCCGGGAACAACGCGATCTCGAAAAAATGACCGAAACCAGTCAGAATGTCACTCCAGCGATGCTCATCTTTCAAACAACCATCGTACGAAACAAGAGATGTCTCCTAGCATATCACAAGCACCGTATGGATAGGCTGCGCGATATGTACTGGACCGCAGGAGGTGCTTTACCGCATATCCTGAGCAATCAGGATATTCGCAGCAAGCTCTCTCCTCATGAAGTCGACTTCCTTCGCCAGTACAGCACGTCTGTGATGGATTATCGTGCTGGATTTTCTAACGAGCTCGATATCACAGCCAGTATTACCCATCCGCCCAAAGACTTGCATGTGCTAGTTCACGTTATCAGGGATTGTGGGATCATACAAACTGAGCTTGGGACCATCAATTTTCAGAAGGGACAGAGATTCATGGTCAGGAGGGCTGATATCGAACACCTAATTGTGCAAGGTTATCTCGAGGAGGTTTAATAGTGCGTCGCAAATTTTTCAGTAACAGGAAGGATTTTGACCATGATCAAAAAGGAGACACGTGGCGGTGTTTGCTTCTGCGCCAAACAACTCGGCACTTTGTCAAACGTGCCTACCCATTACATCAAGTACTCCACCACTATAATGCGGCGTGGTCTCTACAATTGCTCGAGATTGTCATCAAGTGCATTGATCCCGCAAAATCGCTTTCCTTCATCTCCTAAATACCTGTCTACACATTTACGATGGTTGTCAACCACAACTCCTAAGGCTTCTCGGTCCTATACCGTCCAGCCAACAAACGAACGTTATGATCTTTTTTTTTCTGAGGGCTCTAGTCCTCCCATGTTTACGCCAAATAAAGGGGGTTCTGTTGGTTCTGAAGACATATCCGACCGTGAATGGCAAATCCGGACAGGTCAGTCTGGCATGCTACTCTGGGGAGACACACTGATGCTACATCCAGATCTCCCTATAATCATCATTCTTTTCGATCGTTTGTTACCGTATAGGCCGGGCCATATATATCCTGCAGCAAACGCTTCCTGATTTCTTCGATGTTGGCCTTGTCTCAAGCATAGACCCCATAAAGACACCGGCTCTCGTCGATTCCAAAGAATCCGATTCACTGGAAGTAGAAAACATTTACAGTCCAAAAGTGAAGTTGACGTACACGCCCCCTGTTGCCCTTCCCTCACCATTTCCAAGAACACTTGGCCTGGAAGGTTAGTAATGTCCCTATATCAAGTTCCTATCGTTAACAATAACTTTCCTCAGGGCTACCGCTGTACCTGGCCTCGTCTGTCTTTATCCGGCACACAATGAGAACATTGTACTCAGACCTTCGCGTAGAGTTACGCAAGGTGGCGGTACAAGGATCTCCGTCTACAGATTCAGAGGGCACTACAGCGGGAACACACTCGACTCACCAGCGAGACAAGAGCCTCTTTATTAGCCTAGATGTGTATGGCACGACACGCGTCAGCGGTGGAGTTGGGCAATGGCAGATGTCAGGATTTTTACCATCAGCATTGATTCTTACTGACCATGATCGAGTAGAGACTCGACTTACAACTTTTCTCCTATTTCTGGTCTGATACAGACGCATACCATTAACTCAATACATCCAGCGCCGCATCAGGCTGCATATGATGCGCTAAGAGCCTCCCTCAATAGTGTGTTTGGTTTCGGCGGGCCTGGTCCAGGGGATATTCAACCAGGAGAGGTTAGGGCGGTTAATAGCGATAAATGATAACCTAGAGCTGTTTTATGTGTCTCCTACGTTCATCTCTTTCGCCTATATTGATAGGTTGTATCAATTGCCTAGCTAACCAGGAGATGAGTCCTGTCGTCGGCTGGCGCGAGAGTCGGCAAATAGCGGATATTACTTGTTTCCATTATGTCTAGCCAGACTTGTAGAAGGCGGAACAGCAATTGAGTTGCACACAAGGTCTATGAATTATATTTATAACGCAGGACGGACTGTGATGAAAGTCTGGTGCCACGGCCCTGACAAGCCCTGACAGTACTAATATTGGCGAACGTGTCGACGGTAACAGGGCACAGCCATGAGTCAACCGGTCATGAGCTGGCCTGAGACATTCTGAAACTTGATGGGCTCTTGTTTGATTTCTTGGCTGCAGGATTAAGAGCCTCCGAGTCTGTACTCAGGCTGTGGATGTCTTCAAGTCTTTGTTCAGACATGAGTGTTAAATCAATATGACAATCTAACACTACATAAGTTTGCTACGTGGTGGTGGTGGGGGCACGCGGCTATCTCTTTCTGATGATAATTAAACAAGTGATATCGGAATCCGGGAAATGTACAGGGAACCGTTGCCATGCATTGGTCCCGCTCACCCGAGTATAGAAAGTATATGTATTCAATCCAAGTTTCTCAATCTGCTCCGCCTCTTTCATCTCACGTCCCTTTAACTTGAGCTCGCCGCCGACCTCGTCTTTCCTTGATTACACATTCATTTTTTCAATTGTTCGTATTATTTCAAACGCAATGTTCACTAAAGCAATTGCTGCTATCCTAGCTTTGCCCTTGGTGGCACGATGTCAGTATTTTATTTTTTTGATGCACCCTTACGGTTGGTTCATCACAAGATTTTTTCTGTTTGGTCGTTTTTTTAGTCGTTTCTGCGCAAACCTGCACTCGCACTTACACCGCTCAGGCTGGCGATATCTGTGACAGTATTTCGGCAGCCAACGATGTTTCCACGTACGCCAAGCCAAGTTCCAGTCCTTGTTAAAAATTCCCTGCTCATAATTTTCTTTCTGCAGCTACCAGCTTGCTGTCGTCAACGTTGGAATCATCGACGAAGCATGTGACAACCTTGTCATTGGCCAGAGTTACTGCCTTGGATGGCAGGGACAGGACTGCACGACCACTTATGTAGTCCAGCCAAACGATGGTTGTGACATGATCTCCTATGCCGCAGGCATTAACACCACCATCCTGTACGAAAACAACCCGCAGATCAATGAGGATTGCAGCAATATTTACATTGGAGAGGTACTTCAGTGTTTCCCAGCTTTATATCAGTTTCTAAGGCTGTATTTAGGTGTTGTGCACAGCGAACACTGTGCAAGTCCCTCCTGCCCCCTCCGGCACTACCCCCGCTACGACAATCCCTGCGACCGCTACTCCTGCCAACCCCGACGGCGACCTCCCTTGGTGTGACGAGTAAATTCCTTGACCTCCACCATCCTGCTACAGCGTAAAGTGTATGTCACACGGATCCTCAACTGTGATCAACTGTGATGACAGGCTGGTCGTGTCGTCGTTTTGGTCATCTTATTCCCTTTTTTTTATTCTGAACTTCATATCGCCTTGTTTTTTTTACAATCAGAGCTACCCCCGGTGGTGGTATACCCAGCAATAGTGACTCCATCTTTGCACTTTATTATGTTGAAATCCTTCGCATGTGGTAATTCTGAGAATTCTCCTCGCATTCGAGGGAATAGATCGCGGTCTTATAGGGCTTGCTCTTGTGATGACCATTTACAAACGCCGTTGCCGTCGGTGTGATGAGGATATTCAGGAATGTGCTATTCCCATATTCGACCGTCTATAGGTAAGTGTGAGAGGCTTTTCTCACTCCATGACAAGGAGCCAGGAGCGAGTGTTCACCGGTCCACCTCGTGGATTTATAATTCTTAGAAAGGCACTCATTACTTGCAATGGGTAATTAAACACCCACTGACAGTGCCTCTTGGTTCCTGAAAGCGATGTACCTCGGCGAAAAGGAACAGGGGAAGATGATGAGAATGCTACTCAGCGCGCGGGAAGCTTGAATATCCACCTATCGGTCGGTCTCAGTGCATCCGCTTTCAAAGACAGCAGCCTTCCTTTGGGTGAGGGCGACCCGGGTCCTCAGCCTGCTGACATGCCACCAACTGATGCATCAATTCCAGTTATATAAATTGAATTTGTGCCGCGCGCTCTGCACGGTTACGTCGGCCGATGAGCAGTTTTAAATTCACCGTTGGACGCGCTGTGCCGAAGCAGAGCCGCTGTCTCACCCGTAGACTTTTAAACTGCCACCTATATGATCCTATATGATACCCGCGTACAGGTGCCACCCGTGTCGAGGCCTTGCACCACCTAGTTTTAGCAAGTACTTATCATACGTCCAGATGCATATAAGCCTTGCTGGCTTTGCATCCGGTATGGGAAAATCCACCTTGTTTGTCTGCCTCTCAGGCTGAGGCACGCTCCAGTGTAGTAACTGCCTGCATTAGCTCGGTGTCATTTTTTTTTGCCATCTACAATATATATATCCGAGTCATACCTTCAAAAAATTCAAAACATGCATATTGACACGAAATGCATTTCTCAAAGACATACTCGCAACTACTGCTCACATTACCCCCAGAGCTACGTGAAAACGCCATACAGTACCGCCAAGTAAGTGTAACGGTAGTCAATTCCTCAACACCAGTAGCATTAACCATCCGACAGCTCAAGAAACTAATCAATCAACTAGTCCAAGAACTTTCATCTCTAGGTCTTAGTCCGTTTGTGCTTCAACAACTGCTAGAACAACAGAATCCTGCGAGCTCGGCCCCCCAGATCGAGGAAATACGACAGCAATGTGATCGAGTCTCTGACGGCGATGGTGATCACCGAGGGCAAGCTACCGTGGTCTACGAGTTTAGCGGGACGTCTTCTCATATTGAACCTCGTCTCCGGCTGTCGGTGAAGCATCCAACGGACGCTACGGATCTCGTATCTGGTCACACGACCACACCGGACAGCATCCCAGACGCTTTCCGGCTTGATTGCCGAGCTCTAGAAAGAAATACGGCCTTGGTAGATATCTGCTATTCATCCACAAAGTACGTCCGATGTGTTTTCAATACCTTGCGCTCCAGTTGATAGCTTAGAACTCAGCACCCACGATCTTATCATACCATTACGGTCTGATACCGCGTTCTTTCAGCTATTAAATACCACCCTTGCATCACTCACTGAACACCTTAATACTGTGCATGGTGGATTCACATCTACGCTACAAAGTCTAGCCTATGCCATTAGTGCGACAGCACGGCCCACATCCTCGTCGGCACCTCGTTCCTTCTCGTCTTATTCAATGACTGTCAATAACGCTGCCACATTACGACCCAGCTCTGGAACCCGCAATACAGATCTATATTCATGGAGGGAGATATTCCAGATGTATGTTGAAGGTGAAATCTTCGAGAGTGTCGGGGAGAGAACTCGTGGGGAACGCAGTATCGAGGAAACAGAGATCCGGATGAAGCAGTTTGAAGAACGCATACAGGAGAAGAGAAGCAAGCTCAAGCTGTCTGGAAGCAAGGATGCACTGGATGTTTTTATGCGGATGAACTTTTTTATCTTAGATCTGAAGAGAGTAAGCGTGATTTTTTCTGTCAATTTGTTTACATATTTATTTTCTGATCTGCAGTTCCAATTTGCGAATGTCGAGGCGACACGCAAAATCTTAAAGAAGCATACAAAGCGAACCGCATTACCTCTTCCTTCTTATATCATTTCACTGTGGAATGGACCATTACCAGCATCCCCACCGCCAGCGGAGCTGACCTTGTTGCCTCAGCCTCCAGTATCTTTGCCTCGACTCCTCGTGCAAGCTATCGGCGAAATTCTACTCCCAATTGTGCCTCACGTCGACGATTATTCGTGTCTTATCTGTACCAGTCTCGCGTTCAAGCCAATCAGACTTGGTTGTGGCCATTTATTTTGTGTAAGGTGATTGCATGACTATTTTGAAACCAACTGTTACGACCAATGGACTAACTTGGTTCGTCATAGGTGTCTCGTAAAACTTCAAAAGCTCGGGAAAGGGAATTGCCCTATTTGCAGGGCCCCTACGGTGCTAAAGGCCGACCGCAGTGAGTCCCCTGCTCGCCCCTCATTGTGCTTTTGGGTGGCTTATGTTTCTCAGCCAACGTTGATTATGCTCTTTTGAACTTTATGGCTGACTGGTTCCCCTTGGAGTCGCGTGCGAAGCTGAGTACTAATGAGCGCGAGGCAGCCAAGGAGGAGCTCGAGGAGCTCGGTCTTGGTGAAGGATGCCGAGTGATGTGAATCACGAGCGGGATGACGGACCTGCCCAGACAGTTCGGACTTGGCCTCGAGAGGTACGTTATGATACGCTAGTTATATTGGAATGCGATAGTTTGCGGGATTGCATGCATTTCAGATATGGTTAAATTATGTCTATATTTAAGCAGAATGATAATGAAAGGCTGCTTGCGATGATAAGAGACGGCAGGTGCCATGTTTCACTCAGACTCTCCAACAATATCCTCCATAATTTCTTCTTGCCAGTTTCGGCGCAAGGCATCCAAAAAATCTTGCACGCCATCACCTTCCAGGAAGCTAGTTAGGTTCATGAGGGAAAGGCCAATTCGATGATCTGTCACGCGGTCCTGCGCATAATTGTACGTTCGAATCTTCTCGCTGCGGTCCGCACCGCGGACCAGATTCCGGCGAGTAGCTCGACGGTTGGCAATGTCTTGTGAAAGTTTTACATCCATTAGGCGAGCGCGAAGGACTTGGAAAGCACGACGCTTGTTCTGTTCATATTATATGTTGGATGTACCTTGACTACAAAATGAATGCAGATTACCTGATGCTGACTGCGTTCGTCTTGCATGGAAACAGTAATACCAGTGGGAGTATGGGTAAGACGAACTGCAGATTCTGTTTTGTTGACGTGCTGATGACGATGTCAAAGTCAATTGGTCTGCATGAAATCAAAAAGCCTACTTGTCCCCCTGCACCGCGTGCACGCATTACCTCTACCTTCACATCCTCCATTTTGAAGAGTTCATCATTCCCGCCCATGCTCTCAGCATCTTCGCTCAGCGGCAAAACCTTGAAGGGGTTATTTTACCCACAACCCAATCAATTTTACTAGATACTCACTATGACTGCAACAGTACTCGTATGAGTCCGTCCACTCGACTCTGTTGCGGGGACGCGCTGCACACGATGTACACCGCTCTCCCACCTCAGTGCATCGTAAGCCCCTTGACCTTTAATCTCCAGGATAGCATCGCGCATTCCTCCGCTTTCGGTTTCGCTGCTCTGTATGATACTTGTTCGCCACCCTACTGAACCAGCGTACCGAACGTAGACCCGCAGGAGGTCCAATAGAAATAGAGCTGCCTCAGACCCACCAACGCCAGCTTTCAATTCTAGTAGAGCATGCAAGTCGCGCGTAGACGATGGAGGAACGAGAAGAGAGGGAAAGGTTGTTGATATGTGGGTGGATAGGGTATGGGTCAGAGTGGTGAATTCTTCTGATGCTAGAGTGCGCATGGTTGGGTCAGGATCTTGCATGAGGGGTAGTGTTTCTTTCAAGGACTACTGTGATAGCATTGAGCCAGGGCCAATAGCGTTGGGATGCGACATCACAAACCTGACGAGCGTGAGTCCAGTTTGACCACGCTTCGTGCAAGGGTTCTAATTCTTTGAGTTGACGTGCGCGTGCTATGTCCTCTCGAGAGACCATATCCTCAGGCATCTAATTATCACTGAGCTAGAATTTAAGACTACTATCAATAGTAGTGGTCTCACTTTTGCTAGCAATTCATCTCTGACTTTGATGCGCTTCCTTACAGCCTGAAGGATGCGAGCACCATCTTGTTCAATTTCGTGGATGACATTGGAAGAAGCAGAATGAGCCTCCGCGAGATATGTACGGGTGCTAGAAAAGGAACGTCGGTAAGGTTTTATTGGGCTATGGCAGCGGCACAGGAAGCGGAACATGAAGCTTCTCATGAAAGTCACTGAGCGTGTTCTCAAAAAGGTTTTGTTTTGTTTAGAAGGTTTTGGCAAACAACCTTCTTCCAAAAACGGATGAGTGCACCTTTGACAACATTACAACAGGTTCGCTGCAGTTTGGAACGTATAGTGATACTATTGTACTATCATGTCATAACTACAAGCAGCTTTCTATCCTTTTGACTCTCTAGTTTCTCCATCCTGAGCTTTTACTATGATTCTTCATCGTAGCGATTCTGTGGGCATATCGATCTACCCTCAACCACCCGGAGATCATCTTCCATCTATTTTGTCTTATGGGAAACTACCTTTGAACTTTGTATTACGGCCCGCACTTCAAAAACGTTTATGAGTGGCACTGCTTCAAGCCCATATCTAAACGAAGAATCCATCTCATGATCTTCAAAGTTCAAATCACCTGATATGTTTGTCTCATGTTAGTGCGCCGCCGCGTGCAAGATCTGTACGGAGATTCCCTGATTATCTATAAAGCCCTTCAGTATCTGACACACCTCCCCGCTTGGTCTATCCCTGAACCATTCAGTACTGTCAATCAGGTAAGGTCATGTCTGATTTCGCTCCGAGATGCTGGATGTAAAAAATGACAGGTCGTTTATCAAGTCATGCCTGAACGATTTCTTGACCGGTCAAATGAAACCTGGTGGACTAATCGAGCCCGCTCTCGTAGTGTAGATCTCGTTCAGTTCGATGACGATCTCAAGCCAAAATCTGAGGTGAGTCTGCGACATGCAATATATCTTTCTAAAGTGAATATATCCGAGCAGGGTCATCCAATAACCAGCAGAAACATCGTCATTTTCGGAGAGACTGGAGTCGGTAAAAGCTCTTTGATCAACCTGATTGCAGGCAAGGATATCGCTCCCATATCCCCAGACGCACTTCCTTGCACCACTGAAGAGCGTGCCTACGATGTCGATATACGTGGCCAGAGGTACACTCTGCACGATACAGTGGGCCTCGGGGGAGGAAGTTATGGGTCAACGCCAACGGATGTGACTCCCATCAAAAAGTTGAAATATTTCTTGACGAAGATGTCTCAAGAAGATGGTCTGCATCTTCTAGTTTACTGTGTGCGTGGGTCGAGGGCCACCAGAGCAGTACGTCACAGTTACGAAACATTCGCTGCGGCGATTGCAGGGATGAAAGTCCCAGTCGTTCTTGCTGTGACATGCATCGATGACTTATCGGAAGCAGGTGATTGGTGGAGGAGGAATGGGAAAACTGTGGAGAGCATTGGTATTCGGTTTGATTCTCATGCGTGTGTATGCACGCTTTCCGGAGACTCCTATCGTGATCGTCGCTACCAGTCAAGAATCGACGTTTGCGAAAAAATATCCGAATTATGCGGTCATGACGGTGTTCGTGTGCGACGCCCACGACGCCAGAGGAGTCTGCCTTTTCCTAGATGAAATTTGGTGTTTGTAGACTTCCTTACTATATATGTGTATATATCTCGCTGGTTTGTATTTTTTCTAGGCTCTATTCATGACGTAACTTGTAATTTAGTAAAGTCGGAGCGGTTGTTTGGTTCCGGGGCCTTTGCCAAACACCCACTTATGGGAATCAGGCTTTGCATCGTTAAGGGCCACCACGTGCATTGCACCACCTTTCTCAACTTCATGGATGTCATGCAGTCCATCCTAGTCCGTGCGGTTGGCGACGAAGAGCCAGAACTGCCGCCGGGATCACCTCCTACATGTAGGTTTAAACCAGAAGTAAATTTATCAATCTTACACCATCACTACCTCTAGTCAAGTTCGAGGGTCCATGGTTTACGACACAAATCTTGCTCTCTTCCACCATAGGACTCTCATCTTTCCTGATTTTTTCGTACTGTCGAAAGCGATGGCCATTGTTATTTGCACCGAGAACGATGCTGAAGGGTGTGTTCTTACGTTTTTGCTAGGTTGTAGTAGAACTAATCTCCTTCAGACTTCTCCCCGCACGAGGCACATGCTCACCAGGCGTTTTTTGGATGGATTGTTCCAACTATGAAGGTCTCTGAATATACTGTATTGCAAATTGTTGGATTGGACGCGGCAGTGGCAAGTTTGCCACACAATGCGTATGCTAAGACATCACTCACGTGTAAAATAGCTCCTTAGCTTCTTCAAGACATCATTTTACCTTTTTTCGGTTTGCTCTTTATGCGCTGTTACGGTTCTTATGCCCATTAATTGGAAGGTACGTATTTTCACATGTCCGAGACACACCAGTTCATATGGCCTGTAGCATAATATCGGCGTCGGAGGAGGTGCTGACGAAGACGACAACGATTGGCCGGAATGGGCCACCACTAGTTCTGACGACAACCCTATAATACCCGGACGGGACTGGCTCGACCTCATCAGCGATGCTAACTCATATCTGACGATTCATTTTCTCTTCACGTACCTTTTCACCTTCCTGGCGTTGCGGTTCCTTTATACGAACTACCGTCGCTTCATTCGCTCACGTCAGCTGTTCTCCCTCGAACTGGTTCATTCTATTCCAGGAAGGACTGTCATCGTGACTAGGCTGCCTAACCATCTTCGGTCCGAGCGGGCTCTCGCTGAGTACTTTGAAAACATGGGGCTTAGCGTTGAGAGCGTGACGGTCTGCAGAGAAGTTGGTACCCTGAAAACCCTTCTTGACCTTAGAACAAAAGCATTGCTGAAGTTGGAGAGCGCATGGACGAATTACGTGGGAAATCCAAGTGTGGTGGAATCCTACGACCCGTCCGAGAACGTAATTCCTCCCTTCTCGGATAGAGAGCCGTCGCTACTAGAAAATCAGCAGGGGCGTTTCGTCGTACCGCATCGCCAGCGTCCGGTCATAAGACCAGGATGGTTCTCTAGAAAAGTTGATGCACTTGAGTACCTCGAGACAAAATTTACGGAGGCCGACGAGAAAGTCAAAAGGTGGCGCCGTATCGGGAAAACGAAGGCAACGCAAGTTGCTTTTGTTACGTTCGAGAAGATGTCCAGTGCAGTAAGCGTCGATTTAATTAACGCTCATAGCCCTTCGCTAATTACTTTATAGCAAATTGCTGTGCAAGTGGCTCATTCATGTGACCCAGGGGAAGTGGAAGCCAGCCCAGCCCCTGAACCGCGAGACATTGTTTGGTCGAACATCACTCATACTCCAGGAAACCTCTTGGCTCGTGAGGTATTTGTAATCGGTTGTGTATTAATACTGCTATTTTGTTGGATATTCCCGATCACCGCGCTTGCGAGTCTGCTGAGTTACAAGGAGATCAAAAAAGTGATGCCTTGGCTTGGCAGACTCATCGATAGCAACGACAGGATACGTGCCATCGTACAGAATTCATTGCCGTCCGTCGCCATGATTACGCTGAACGCACTTCTACCTTTTATTCTTGAAGGTGCGTTGTACTACCAACCATTTGACGCAGCTTATGATTGACATTACTAGCCTTGACGTATATTCAGGGGTACAGAGCACGAAGCTTGATCGAATACTCTCTGATGCGAAAGTCAGTTCATTCCACTCGCAGAAAATTCACTTTCTAAGACTTTGAAAGATACTTCTTGTTCCTCCTCATCAATGTGGTGTTCATCTTCCTCATGGCGAGCACGTACTGGCAGTTGGTGCGTGATCTGGCGCACTCGCCTGCAAAGATCCCAGAAAAGCTAGCTACAGCACTTCAACAAGGAAGGGCAAAGTAAGTGACAGCATCTTTATAATCTGCACCTCCTTATTTAGGCACGTCCTTTAGGCACTTTTTCCTTTCGTATGTTATACTTCAAGGTAGAATCGTCTAAGTTGTACTTTACGGTGCTGAATTAGAACGACAGGCTTTGGTATCATGCCGCTCCAGTTGCTCAGTTTGGGGGTGATAATACCCCGGATGTTCTTACGCATGTTCAGGACCCGCACACCTCGAGGTAAGCGCTACCGTATGTCAATGATAAACTTAATTCTTAGTCTGGGCAGATTTCGCTGAATTGAATGCCCCTCCCATGATCAACTATGGTGTCGTATATCCTCAAGCGATTCTCGTTTTTGTTGTTACTATCCTGTACAGCGTCGTCCAGCCCTTGATCGTTATCTTTGGTGCAATCTATTTTGGAATGGCCTACATCGTGTACAAGTACAAGTTGTTGTTTGGTGAGTCGATTTAAGCTCTGTTTTGCTGGAAAGTTTCTGAGCTCACTGGTGCAGTATTTTATAAGCCCTACGAATCTCAGGGCCAAGCATGGCCTCTTACGTTCGTCAGGCTCATTTGGGGCATACTCATTTTCCAGACGTTTATGATTGGCATCTTGACCTTGCGGAAATGTTATATTATGTCTTCTCTCCTTCTTCCGCTGCTTGCAGGTACTGCAATCTGGTCCTGGTACATCTATGAAACCTTCAAGCCTCTCAGCAGCGCAGTGTGTCTCAGTTCTGTGTGTGAGGTGGAGCGGGGCGAAGATTCGGCGGATGTAGTGAGGTTGCGGGAGGGACATCCAGTGACATGGTCGCAAAGGTAAGGTCTATAAATTTTTCTGTTGGACCTTAATGCAGACTTACTTCCAGCAATTTGATGCGTCGGAGATACGCACAGAACGACGACATGCTCTATGTTGCTCCAGAAGACGAACGGACTGATTATGTAGGTAATACGATATACGGAAAGAGCGTATGACCTACTCCTCTTCTAGTCACAACCACCTATGGCTAATTGGTATAATGGCGTGTTGAAGTGAGTCGCTTTGTCTCGATTAATTGCCGCGTATTTATTGTTTATCCAGCACCGGCAAACGAAGATACGGACATCCTGCTCTAACTGGTGTGCTTCCTGAGCCCTGGCTTCCATTGAAGAAAGGGCAAACCCTTGTCAATGGGCACCGTGCAGGAGCGTCAAGAGCGTCTCCATATGTCAACCAAGGCATCGTTCTCAATCTACGTAACCGTTACACCATGCTAAGAGGGAAGATTCGAGCATCGCGGCAATCTCGCCCCGCTACTGATGGTACTCTTACCGATATGAGTGCCTCTGAGAACCAGGATGGTGTTCGTCCTCCGGATGCTGGACCTTCGAACCCATGGGTGGGTACAAGGGCGCGAGGATCTCAGTCGCATAGCAGCCTCAATCACCGCCTGAGCTTCGACCCTGCTTCGGGTGTTATCATGTTACCAGAAGATGGCGATTGGTTGATAGACGACGACTCCGATGATGATTACGGGACTATGAGTCCGACGCCTGATGCAGTCCACAGCCCGAATAATGCATCTCAGGAGGATTTGTTACCTACAAACGGTCAATCACTATCCACACCTCTTTCTTCGCCCAGCAAGCGGCGTCATGGCACATACTACCATCACCCAGAACGTCGTCGTACAATACCTGGATCTTTTCCCTTGCCGACATGAACACGATCATATTTACCTGATTCCAGATTTGCTTCTGACATGCCATATTGCGCTCCTACCTTACATGCCCTTGTAAAATTCTGGTTAGAAGTTATCAATATATTGTAACCCTCAAGGAAGCGACATCTGAGTAGGGACTTCAAATTCGCATATACGTCTGTTGATACACCCTTTACGGCAACCTGGCACCCCATTCTTGCAACAAGGTCTGTCTTCTTGTTGATCTGCACATGGTTGGACCATAGTACCGATCGCTGGTCAACTGTCATTCGGATGGTTGTGTTTCCGGAAGCACCAAGGCATGTCGCAACTCCTCAAATGTTTTAAAGCAGGAATCTTCTGACATTTTTTGCGTACAGTAGCAAAAAGCTGAATATTATATTGTACCCTGCAGCATGCACGTACAGTCTCATATAACCCCTGTGATAAGAGCGTCTTGGTTCGGGTCCTCCTCGAGCATCAGAGGCAACTCGTAACTTAGGGGATAACACAATTCACTCGATGATGGATTTCCAGTTCTGTCCATACAATTATTCGTGCCCTGATACACTGATTGAAGAAAGCGATTGATTTCCTCATCGCAATTCAGGTCAAGATGCCCAAGATGGCTGATCCTCCTCAGTAGCGCTGTTGACACTGTCCTGTCAGGTGCATACGGGGTTTCTGTAGTTCAATTCTACATAAGACCTCTCTGCCAAGGTATAAAACCCCTACACGTTCTTGCTCAAGTTGTCTTTTCACGTCTACCCAGAAAACCTCAATTGACATGCAGCTTTCTTACTTGATCATCCTTGCCTGTTCCATCTTTGTGGGCGTCAACGCCTCAGCTTCCCCAGCATTTGCTACCACCAAATGCTCTAGCAGCGGGGACTTAGAAATTTGCACGGAAAATCAGGACTGTTGTTCTGGTTGTTGCGTTGCTTTTGTAGGTGGCCTCCAAGGCAGCTACGTGTAACCACTGATACTGATGACCTGCGCAGTTATGTACGCCTTGCTGAGGATCAGTGAATTGTAAAGGACATCATCCTTTCTGTCCCGTGGTAGGTGTTTTTTTCTGACATGGTGGAGTCATGTATGATGTTGAACGTGTAGTAACACAGGGACTTATATGATACTACGAGTCCTTGACGTCGGTGCACGTATGAAACTACGAAATTGTTGGATGGGGCACTTGGTTCTCCTTCGTTGGGTTATCACCTTGCTTGCAAGGTCATGAAGGTTACTTCGATCGTCTGTCAATCAGATAGATCATCGAATAAAGAAAATAATGTTCATCTGATGGAAAAAAACGCTTTGGGATCGCATTCTGAAAATTGGAATACTACATATGTTACAGACGGAGGCCGAGTCTTAGTATATGCCCATTCTATGCGCTCACAAAACTTGTCGATTCAAACAAGATGTAAACTATCGACTACGCAGGAGAGGAAGCGTGCTACCTGCGAACTGTGTCCTTAACTGGGAGAAGCAGCTTTATGGGATTCATGTATATTTGTTGGTTACTGTAGAGATACGCACTTAGCTTCATCACAGCGTCACACGTCCGACGAATCGAAGCTATTTCGTGTGACCGTCACACAAGATTGAAGTCATCGAAGGTAAATTGTGACACACGGTAAAACATGAATAAAAATGCAAAAAATGTTCTCAAAAATTCTTGTACTGATTATTTGCCATGCATCTCGCTTTACATGACCAAAATTTTCTTCATCACCATCAGCTGTGAGCTCTTGCTGACAGCAGCTGGTAGTGGTGCTGATTCGAAGCTAAGGTTCAGTTGGTCACACCCAGATGATGTCGAAGCTAAGTGCGTATCTCTACAGTACTATTGGGCTAAAGCTGGGCGGGCTTTTCCGATGGGTTTGTACCTATGGTGCAGAAAGGCGAGCTGTGTACCCAAAAATCAGGATGATGACGATGCATACAGCGAAATTTGACGCCCTAAAATCCAGGAGGTAGACTTGTTACCACCATATCTTCAACGTATTGTGTAGCGCATGAAGGTTCAAGAATTGGCGAGGTTTCGTGCCATCAGGAAAACCCTCCGATACAATCCTAGACTGATAAGTGTAACAACTTTTTAAAAGTTAGATTCAATGCAGAATAGCGCTAGATTCGATAATTCTTTCTAAGTTAATGGATAGTGTTGCTGATGAGGACATACTGATATAATTATCAATACAAACCTGACTCACAGTAGTATAGAAATAAGCTTCGATGCTCCAGAATTCTTGATAGCACTTGTCAAATGCCCTAGTTTCGTTCATTGGAGAGAGTTAAATTTAAAACGGCAGCGTGACACAATGACTTCTATGCGGGTGAGCAATTTTGCTACTGTGCTCATGAAACACTGTGCAGCACAGGCTTCTCTCTGGTAACGTAGCCTTGACATAGCCTTAGATTCTGTATTAAATAATCCTACTGTTTCCTTATTTTATGTTATGACTCAGAACTGGTCAGAACATTTTGCAACTCTGGGCCAGAGAATCTTATGTAGTAAGGCTGTCTCATAATGTTTTTAATTACCAATGACATCAATGTCAATTACTTATTTATTGGTTTTACAAGATAGCAGTGAGGAATACACTGGAGGGGATAGTGAGAGTCTCCTCTGAACAGTACAACTAAGTACACCGTAGTGAAATGTAAACTGAGACGAACATCACTAACACCATCCTGAGCTACACGGTGGCAGCACATCTTTGAAATATGGCTTCAAAACAGATCACGACTTGTGTTGACTTCTTTGTAGAAGCAAAGTAACACCGAATAAGCAGAGGGGATCCAGAAGCGAGTTTCTCGCAAATTGCGAGAATCTGCCTATAAAATACCTGCATGCTATGGCTTTGCATCACTAACTGCAAACTCTGTGATGTTCACTTCCCGCTTCACAATTCTTGCGCTACTTGCCTTCCTCGCCGGTGCCAATGTGGGGTGTGCAACGTGCCAAGAAACATTGGAGGTCAATGGTGTAGCGACCTACGAGCTAGTCAGCAGCTATGTTAAGTCTGACAATGGGTTCACAGAGTGCAGGTAAGTTGCTCACATATTTGTTGACAAAAGTGACTAATGGTCCAGCAGCTACGTGGATAAGAAGGGCGACGAGGTGGCCTGCGAGTATACGGTACGTGACGCGTGATTTCTGTATGTTGAACATTCTCGTTTGACGTATTGGGTGGTCATCAGGATGACAGCATGTTAGAAGATGGGGACTCAAAGTGTCCGAAAATATCAAGAAAGGACAAATATAAGTGCTGAGTAGGATGCGATGAGAGAAGCGAAATTGGCTTGCATGAAGCTGGATAGATTAGCAGATTTTGTAATTCTCTTTGTCCGTGTTTTTCCTTGACCAATTTGTATAATTGATCACTTTGAGCATCTCCAGAGTCTGAGACAATTAGTGTTTCTCCTCAGCCAGTCAGTATCTCAAATTCGAACCTGGATGAACCCGTCTATTCAATGCTATCCAGAAGAATGAGCAGTAAGAAAGAAAAAACTAAAAGTGACATGCACAGATACATCCCTGAGCTCACTCATATGAGGTCCAAGGGAGTTCAGTCCATACTGTCATAATGATACATCTGATATACTGTAATGACCGAGAAAAATCGGGTACAAAAATGTGGTGAATTACCATGGTGTTCTCAGCTATCGCATTGATGTATCCATGGGATCCTCCATTCTGCTTCTCAGTCATGTATCTGATACATTGGTTTCTCACCTGTCAACTGTTGCTGTTATCCTATCATATTGATATATCTGTTTGGTAGATCATGCTGGTGTGGGCAATTCCAGGGCATGTATCTATCCTTCTCAAGATGTATCTGGCTGATCTTACCTTGCTTCTTCCTAGGCCCTACCTATCATAATGTATCTGTGCTTCGGTTGTCAGCAGGACAATGTATCTACTAGTGCGGGCACTTCCGAGGTAATGTATCTATCCTTCTTGAGATGTATCTAGCTGATTTCCCTTTGCTCCGTCCCTGGGTCTTACCATTGTAATGTATCTGTGCTTTCGTCACTGGGAGGCCATGTATCTACTAGTGCGGGCACTTCCAGGGCATGTATCTATCCTTCTCAAAATGTATCTGGCTGATCTCACTTTGCTTCATCCCTAGGCCTTACTTATCATAATGTATCTGTGCTTCGGTCGCCGGGAGGATTATGTATCTACTAGCGCGGGCACTTCCAAGGTAATGTATCTATCCTTCTCGAGATGTATCTAGCTGATTTCCCTTTGCTCTGTCCCTAGGCCTTACCTATTGTAATGTATCTGTGCTTTCGTCACTGGGAGGCCTATGTATCTACTAGTGCGGGCACTTCCAGGGCATGTATCTACTTCTCAAAATGTATCTGGCTGATCTCACTTTGCTTCATCCCTAGGCCTTACTTATTATAATGTATCTGTGCTTCGGTTCCCGGGAGGACTATGTTTCTACTAGTGCGGGCACTTCTGAGGTAATGTATCCATCCTTCTTGAGATATATCTGGCTGATCTTCCTTTGCTCTGTCCCTAGGCCTTACCTATTTTAATGTATCTGTGCTTCGGTTGCCAGGAGGACTATGTATCTACTAGAACGGGCACTTGGTATTCATCTTCATTTTCAGATAGTCTTGTTACTCAATTATAATGTATCTGTGCTTCGGTCACTGAAACAACTATGTATCTACTCAGCGCGGGCCCTTCAAAGGCAATGTGTTCATTTTGAGATAGTCTTAATACTCATTGATACAAAGCTTGAGACCAGACACGGAATATATTAGAGTGTGAATATAATTGCAAACATTCATAGATACATTATTGAATAGGACTCAGGAGTATTGTACAATCACAAGGAAACAAAAGGAACTGTATGTGACGACTTAGGCTTTTTTTTGCTTCCTGCATGAAGGTAATGAGTGTAAGTCATGTGAAGGTTTGAGAGCACTGAGTACGACTTACTTCCTGTGCACACCGTTAACACCAGAACTCCCCTGTTTCTTAGAGCCAGTGTTCTCCAACCCAATAAAGTTAGCAATTTCATTGCACTTGGAAATCTGCCGGACTCGTTTGCTACAACTGCCAATTAGTGGCATGGTCGCTATGCCAGACGACGCAGCCTCTGCAGAGGTAGGTTCGGGGGGTGCTGCCTCTGCAGAGGTAGGCTCGGAGGGTGCAGAGGTAGGTTCAGGGGGTGCTGCCTCTGCGGAGGTAGGCTTGGAGGGTGCAGAGGTAGGTTCAGGGGGTGCTGCCTCTGTTGGGGTAGGCTCAGAGAGAGGTGGTGGATGGGAATCAGCAGGACTCTCCTCTGTGATGAAATCTGTCATTATGCTGGATGACTGCATACCTTGTGTCTCAGACTGAGAAGGTGTATTGTGTGAAAGTGGCTTTAGTGTGGGAGTAGAAGGTAGGGTGGGTGCAGGCAAGGGTGAAGCACCCTGTTGTGCTGTGATAGCATGATTTGCCAGCATGGTGACTTCATATGTAAGTGGCATAGGAGGTAGGGTGGGTCTATGTGTAGGATATGATGGTAATTGTAAGGTTGGCGGAGGCACATATGTTCTCAAGAACTCGTGGTATCCTTCTATGGACAGCATCAAAGAGAAACCTGTCAGGGCCAGAGTCCATCAGAGAAGCAGAAATCGGATGTGAAGGATACAAAGGCACCCTGAAAGTGAGGTCCTCACCAGTCATCAAGAAAAGGTATAAGCGATTCAGGATATATGAGGAAATAAATTTGAGGATGATGCCATTTCTGAAGTATCATGTGGGATATTCCCAAAGGCACCATGATCAGATGGATCAGGCGTCTGTGATGCATGTCCATCATTGCTTCCTTTCCACATATTACAGTGACATATTTCTGTATTATATGGGTCACCCAACCTACATAATATCCCATATAAGACAGGCCAGCGGACTATGGGCCGATGTTATGTATATCCCCGATGTTGACGGATGGGCCAGGAGGGATATTATTTCCGATGGAGACGGGTGGGCCCATCTATGCTGATATTATATATATCCTCGAAGATGTTGGGTGGGCCGATGTAATGGTTTATTGTATAGATGGGTGGGCCAATGTAAGGGTTTATTGTATAGACGGGTGGGCTGACATACTGGAATTATTTTGTAGACGGATGGGCCAAGGGAGTGGTGGAATATTTATTATATAGACGGGTGGGCTGATGGAGGGGGATGTTATATAGATGGGTGGGCCGAGGTAGTGAGATATCTGTCTGACATTCACGGATTACCAAGTCCCAGATGCCCAAAAACCGAATCCCATTGTGCAACATCCATTCCGGACACCCGAACACCCCAAGCTTGAGACTGGAAACTGGAAACTGGTGAAAATGTGTGAAATTTCTATTTCCTTACACCAAACACATGAACACCTGAACACCCAAAGCCTGAAGCTTAAAAGTCCAGTTATCAAATCACCGAGTGCTGTGTCCTGATAGACCCGAAGCCTGAGACCCAAAATCCGAAGCCCAGAACCCAAAAACATGTATGAAAAATGTCCATTGTTCATTCATTGCACAAATCACTGAGTGTCAAGTGACAAAACCCGAAGCTCGAGACCCAGTACACAAATCACCAAGTACCGAGTGCTGAGGGCTGAACCCCAAAGTTCGAAACTTGAAAACATGTATATAACATATCCATTTTTCAGTCATTGCACAAATCACTGAGTGTCGAGTGCCAAAACCCAAAACTTGAAACCCGGTATGCAACATGCCCATTTTTCATTTACATTAAACAAATCATCAAATGCCAAGTGGCTGAGGCCCGAACCCTGAACCCCGAACCCCGAAAATATGTATACAACATATCCATATTTCCCTCACTGCACAAATCACCAGGTGTTGAGTACCGAAACCCGAAACTTGACACCTGGTACACAAATCACCAAGTGCCGAGTGCCGAGGCCTGCGCCCCAATGTCCGAACCCCGAAAATATGTATACAACATATCAATATTTCACTCATTGCACAAATCACCAAGTGTCGAGTCCCAAAACACGAAACTTGAGACCCAGTACACAAATCACCAAGTGCTGAGTGCTGAGTGCCAAGCCCAACATCCAAAGCCTGAAACCTGAAGCCTGAAACCCAAAGATATGTATACAACATATCCATATTTTCCTCACTGCACAAATCACCGAGTGTCGAGTACCGAAACCCGAAACTTAACACCCGGTACACATGACTACAACTGGACATGAATTCTGTATTTGTATGTATTATTCATTGATGTAGGGTTCAAATAACTTGGGAATTGTATTGACTACCAAGGGTCGGGACTCGGGACTCACTAGTCAATATAGGAAAATGATAATGAAAAAATGAAAATTATTATTATGCTTAACTTTCTTAATGAAGGTTGTAGTCCGAGTCTATGTGAGTGTATTGGTGGTCCTACCAAGTATTGGTACTCAGTGTAGTGATGGTTGCGGCGCTGGGCTCAGAACCACTGATTTTCATACTCATGTCATTCTTGTCAATTGGAGATTATTTGAAGACTATGTTAAATGTTAGTCAGTGTCGAGTATGATAATGAATGTATAGTCATACCTCAGTCTGAGAACAAATAGACTGAGGTAGGATGATGCAGGTATGAGGATTATATATTTGTCTGGCATGTTAGCAATGATGTAAAGATGAGGCGTGCATTTGTACATGTGTACAGTAAGTGAGCATACAGATAAAAGAATGAATATTAATAGTGAGACTTGCACATTATGTTGAGATATCCAACATGACAAGCCTGTGATGGGATCAGAGACCTGGAATAACACCCATATATGTCCATTATAATAGCCCTAATAGTTTAGAAAGATACATGAAGGATTGATGTAATGACAGGCATATGTGTGAAATGTGACAATAGACATATTTTTACAAAGTCGCATTTATAGATGATTCAGTCCAAAGATTTCATTAAAAATATGTAGGATAGATTGTAAACTACCTAAGGAACCCATACTGCCTACTGCCTTGAGGGTAGGGGGTGGGTGGAAGGGATATAGTGAAAACATGAGTTGACTCAGCATTAAAGTCCTATTATTGCTTCACTGACCATTTTCGATGCTTTGGGTCTTTGAATTTTCCCACACTCCATTTCTTATCTATTTCACTTCCTCAGTACTCAATTCTTGGTGGATTTGTCTGTAAATTTATGTCTATGATACTTAATATATTTTAAATGTACTCCAGATTTCTGATCATGAAGATTCAATGTTTTGAAGGTATGGGCACCTTATCAGGAGAAATGGCAAGTATGCACACTAGCTCACAAACTCCAGCCTATTGTGAGCTGATCTTAGTCATAAGAGGCAATAATATAAGCTATGCTCATTATATATTAAAAGGTTGGATCATGGATGCAAGGGCAAGATACTGAAAATTGTGAAAAATGTCAAAAGTGCAATGGTCTATGCTTACATGTAATAACACTGTCTGTAATATTCAATAATGCGAAAATGAGTAAATATGCACCAGTGGGGATAGATACGACTAGACAGGACATAGGAAGGATGAGTCTAATGCAAAAACATTGGGTCCGAAACTTTCAGGCCGGGGTCGGGCGTCAGGATCAGGATCGGAATGTCAGGGATGTGTCGGACAAATACTGTTTAATGTGAGTATCAAAAACACGGGTTTTGAGCCCAGTGCCACGACTATCATTACACCAGGTACTGAGTACTGATTTCTAAGTACCGAGCACCAAGTAATGAAATACCCAATTGACAAGAAAAGACTACCAATACACTCACCTTGACTTGGACTACAACTTTCATTTTTCATTCTCGCCAATGTTTCAGATTTCTTTAGCTTATATATTGGTCAAATGATAACCGATGGACAAGAAAAGACTACCAATACACTCACCTAGACTCGGACAACAACTTCCATGTTTTTATTATCTTTGCCTATTGCACACCGGGTTTTGAGTTTTGGGTTTTGGCACTCAACACTCAGTGATTTGTGCAATGAGTAAAAAATGGAAATATTGCATACATGTTTTTGGGTTTCGGGCTTCGGAATTTGGGCTTCAGATGTCGGGTTTTGGGCCTTGGCACTTGGCACTCTGCACTTGGTGATTTGTGTACCAGGTCTCAAGTTTCGGGTTTTGGTACTCGACACTTGGTGATTTGTGCAATGAGTGAAATATGGATATGTTGTATACATATTTTCGGGTTTCAGGCTTCGGGTTTCGGGCTTCGGACATTGGGCTTCGGGCCTTGGCACTCGGCACTCGGCACTTGGTGATTTGTGTACTGGGTGTCGAGTTTTCGGGTTTCGGTACTCGACACTCGGTGATTTGTGCAATGAGTGAAATATGGATATGTTGTACACATATTTTCGGGTTTCAGGCTTCGGGTTTCGGGCTTCGGACATCGGGCTTTGGGCCTCGGCACTCGGCACTTGGTGATTTGTGTACTGTGCTTTGAGTTTCGGGTTTTGGCACTCGACACCTGGTGATTTGTGCAGTGAGGGAAATGTGGATATGTTGTATACATATTTTCGGATTTCGGGCTTCGGGTTTCGGGCTTCGGACATCGGGGCACGGGCCTTGGCACTTGGCACTTGGTGATTTGTGTACCAGGTGTCAAGTTTTGGGTTTTGGTACTCGACACTCAGTGATTTGTGCAATGAGTGAAATATTGATATGTTGTATACATATTTTCGGGGTTTGGGGTTCGGACATTGGGGCGCGGGCCTCGGCACTCGGCACTTGGTGATTTGTGTACCAGGTGTCAAGTTTCGGGTTTCGGTACTCGACACCCGGTGATTTGTGCAGTGAGGGAAATATGGATATGTTGTATACATATTTTCAGATTTCGGGTTTTGGGTTTCGGACATCGGGGTGCGGGCCTCGGCACTCAGCACTTGGTGGGGTGTTTGGGTGTCTGGAATGGATGTTGCACAATGGGATTCGGTTTTTGGGCATCTGGGACTTGGTAATTCGTGAATGTCAGACAGATATCTCACTACCTCGGCCCACCCGTCTATATAACATCCCCCTCCATCGGCCCACCCGTCTATATAATGAATATTCCACCACTTCGTCGGCCCATCCATCTACAAAATAATTCCAGTATGTCAGCCCACCCATCTATACAATAAACCCTTACATCGGCCCACCTGTCTATATAATACATATTCCACCACTCCCTCGGCCCACCCATCTATACAATAAACCATTACATCGGCCCACCCGACATCTTCGAGGATATATATAATATCAGCATAGATGGGCCCACCTGTCTCCATCGGAAATAATATCCCTTCTGGCCCATCCGTCAACATCGGGGATATACATAACATCGGCCCACAGTCTGCTGGCCCATCTTATATGGGATATTATGTAGGTCGGGTGACCCGTATAATACGGAATTTGTCACTGAAGGGGCTCTCCTTTCGATAGCTCAGGTTCTAGCGTTGGTTGTCAACTCTCACCCCAAACACTTCCTTCTCCCTTTGCTGCTGCGACCACTATCAAGCCCCAAGTCAGACACCTTTCGAGTTTCGGTTTTACAGACTTACGAAACACACACTTAACAAATTCTTTCCATGGCCGCATGATCCCTGAGTTAAACTCAGGATACGCAAGATCAAACTGATTCCCAATTTCAGTTGCACTAACATGAAAGCTCTGGACATCAACCTGCCCACCCATTGCTGGTGTTGGGCCACCTATAAGAACTGTGAAAATGAGACCAGTGAGTCTCTGAAGCTCGTCAAAGAACTCAGTGAGGACACCAGGTAGTTTATCAATATATCTGTAGATGCGAGTTGCAGGTGAGCACTTGTATCTATTCAGATATGTAGATGCAACTGACACTTGATGGTTGACTACCTCTGTGCCCTTCACCTCTTCCGACCCTTTCTTCTTCTTTTTCTTGGCTTCCTCGATGAACCCCGCTACTTGTTGTTTAACCTCATCAGACGCTGAGTGATACAGCAGGTTGGTTTGCTTTTTGATAACAGCTAACTTTGATGGCATCTTGACTTCTGTATTTTCAGTTGCAGCCTTTGCCACAGCTTCGGCTTTTGCTGTCTCAAAAGCGAGATCAAGAGTAGGTTTGATCTTGTCATTGAAGAAAAGCTTTGAGAACACCTCCATCACCTGCGGACCACGACCATGCTTCGTACTACCCATTATCTGAGCAACCATACTCTTTTGACTTTTCACAGCCGGTGCCAGGGACGTGCTTGCTGTAGCCGTCATTTTATGGTTATGGTTTTTGATGCGACGGTTCACTTTAGATGAGCCCATGTCATTTTTAAATTTATTCATAATTTGCTGATGAGTCAATGTTCTCATAATTGCTTTTAACTTAGGAATCATGGCAACATACCTGTCGATGGTGCTCAACAGCCTTGCCTACCTCGGTCTTTTGCTCAATGGTCAATCTGACATCAAGAGGGACATCCTTGAAGACACGAAGCCATTCCGGGAACATTGAGAACCATTCCTTGAATACTGGCTCCCAAAATCCAGTATAGTTACACTTTGCTTGACACACTTGGTATTTGGCAGCATGCAACTCAAAGAATTTCTCCTCCTCAGCGGTAGCCCATTTTGGCGGTGCCATCTATCATTCATGGTAAGTGACATAATTATCCAGATATTTCGTTAACACACACTTTTTGTCTGAGACGTCGTATCTTGTGCATCGATGGGGAAGCGAAATGAAAAAAAGAATGAAGTTTATTTGGCTAGGAAGTGGGTGTTGGTGATATGCGTAGTGCATGGACCATCGAAGCCTGATGATTTATATTCATTGCAAGATTTAGGTGCTCAATTTCCTATCTATGTACCATGTACACACTACAGCGCTGGGACCTATATATTGTTGCTTATATTGATTGTCGTTCTCCTCAGTACAGCTTTGGTGAATGCAAGAAGTCTGTTCTCTGATTATTGCCCTCCTCACAATAAACTAAATAATCAAAGGACAGTTTGTACAGTTGGTGGGTGTAAGTCTGTGGGTTGGCCATGGCTTTCAATTTTAGATGAGTTTTGGTCCGACCGCATCGAGTTCTATCAGTATAGCTTGAGTTTTATCACTGCGGCTTTGGTGAATGCGAGAAGTCCATGTATATCACAATAAACTATGACCTTAATTCAACTTGAATTTTATGAATGCTTAGCTGCTGCATTGTGATTGAGTGGCTTGTAGTTCTATGTGAGTTTTGGTCCGACTGCATCAAGTTCTATTAGTACACCTCAAGTTCTATCAGTACAGCTTTGGTGAATGTGAGCCCGGAAGTCCAGTGTACATGACCCTCGATTCAACTCTAATGCTTAGCTGCATTTCGATCGAGTGGCTTGTAGCTCTATGTGAGTTTTGGTCCGACTGCATTGAGTTCCATTAGTACAGCTCGAGTTCTATCAGTATGGCTTTGGCAAACACAAGAAGCCCACATTCACATATCTCACATAAACTATGATGCTTGATTCAAGTTGAATGTGAAGCTGCATTTCAAGATGGTAGATTAGTTAGTATTGGTGTCGCTAATCAACTACAAGATTCATTGTTTCGGTCCGACTACACAAGAAGCTATGGTGCTCACTGCTTCTTTTCAAGCTTTTCAACCAACCACTACCACACTGCTACACCTCTGCAGCTAGAATCATGCTGTGTCCTTGTATTCATAAGACATCTGAGGAAAGACTGCAAGCAGGTCGTGAAAAACAACGACACCATTATGCAAAGTAAGTCTAACCGCTTTCATTAATTGTCTCTGGCGGTTCCTGACTGGTCAACCAATTGAAGAAACAGAGACAGAATCCTGAGCCAGCAGAGAGAGCTTTGTGTTGAAAAAAACAACATGGGGCCATCAGAGCTCAAGAAAGCTGTTGCAAGAGCTCTGCATTGCTATGACTCAGATGAAGATGGTGATGAGCCAGAGACAGGCAATTCCAGCGACTCAGACAGTAAGGAGAATGATGACCGGGACCCACTGTACGTTGTTTTATAAATAGAAACTGAAATGAACACAAAATTAACATCCCACAGATCAGATCTTACAGGATGTATGCTCATGCTCAAAGTGATCAAAGACGAAATGTTGTCTTTGATTACTGAACCTCATGCATTTGCTGAGGGTGCCTTACTTCAATTCATCAAGAGCATTGTGTATACAGATGACCATGCCGATAATGGAGATCAAACCATTGTTACAAACCTGATCGCCACGGTCCAAGGCTTGCTCAACCACTCCATCGCTGTTCAAGATGAAATTCTCAATTTTTGTGGCATCTCAGCTCAGTTTCATGCTGCTGAGACGGTCACTCATTACCTCAGTACTACACTTGCATACCTGGAGGATATCAAATTTTTTATCCATGTGGAGGGAGTTTCTGAGCTGTGCGTCGCTCACTCAATGGGCGAATTGATGTACCAGAAGGGTTTTCGTGTTTGACCGGCCTTCATGCAGTAGTTGATACAATGTAGCTTAATTTCATTGCATGCAAATATAGCAGGTCATGTTGCCATCATGTGAGTGCTCTGTGTACTGACTCAGTCGAGGTCTTTTGGATGGTCATCCATGCTTCATTCCACTGCCTGTGTATAATGTAGTAGGTACGGTGAAAATATTCACATGCATTACCAGTTTGTCAGCACATGGTGAACCAGATTGGGCTGACAAACTGGTAATGTGTGTGAATATCTTCACCGTACCTACTACATTATACACAGGCAGTGGAATGAAGCATGGACAACCATCCAAAAGACCTCGACTGAGTCAGTACACAGAGCACTCGCATGATGGCAACACGGACTATCTTTGGCATCGCTCTTTTGGTGTTGGTGACAGAGCTTCTCTAACCTCATGAACATTTGTGGTATCTCAACTTGGCGCTATGCAATCAAGTCCTGAACTTTCATTTGATGCCTGGGAGGAGACTCTGCCAAGCGAGCCTGATGACCCATCCTTTGAGATTCTGGACTCAATGCAAGAAACCACCATGAAAAAAAAAAGAATACCAGTAAGTGTACTCAAATTCCTTGGTTATTAACTTAATGTTCAACAGAATCTTCCTTTGCTTCAATGGATACCAGAGCGGTCCTCATACCTAGATGAGATGATCCGTCTAGAGGGCCGCAGTGATCAGATCATGCGGGAGACATGCAGTTGCAAGGGTGAAGAACCTTTACTTTACCGCTGCCGGGATTGCTTTGGAGCAGAAATGGTGTGCCATGCATGTGTCCTTCAATGGCATGCACATAGTCCACTCCATAGAATTGAGGTATGTTTGTTTGTCAAGCATTGATTTGAGCTGCTGGACGTGGTTACTCACTTGCCCTTAGGAGTGGAACAGCACATTTTTCATGCGAGCCTCTCTGAAACTGCTCAGCTGCGCATCCAGCTTGGTCACAATCCAGGAGAGACATGTTATAATCCTGAACCTGCTGCTGGCAATGATTTCGTTGTCATAGACGTCCACGGTATCCATGAAATTGGCCTTGACTTTTGCAGCTGTGAAACAGCCCAAATTCATTACAAACAACTTATTCATACTCAATGGTTTTTAGCTACTGCTATGAATCCTCAAACTGCTGCCACATTTGCACTCATGGAGTTCTTCTACTTCCTCGCATTTGAATCAAAGGTATCCGCATATGAATTTTACCACAGTATCACTAGACGGACAGATAACACCAGCATCACACCAATTAGGGTAGGTCTGCATTAACATTGGTCTATTTTCTGCTCACCACTATTTCAGGATCATTATTCAGCATTTATGTGAATGGTTTGTCAATGACGCAACCTCAAGATGCTCAAGCGAGCAGGAAGAGGTCACAATCCCAGTGGTGTGGATGCAACTTCTGCTGGCAAATGTGCTGTACTCTGTCCAGCATGCCCTCACCCAGGAAAAAATTTACCCAAGGGCTGGGAAGATGCACCACATGATATCAGGTATGTTCGGATGCACAATTATTGCTGGGTGTTCACTAATAATATTCATTAGATGGAAGTATGCTCTTTTCCTGGCCATTGATGCCAATTTTTGGCTTAAGCGGAAGCTTGTCTCAAGCGACAATGTCGATCCAAGTCTCAATGCCAGCTCATGCTACTTTGTTGAAGATACTGCATACACACAATATTTGAGCGAGCATGGCTGTGAGCTGCAGGAGGTAAGTAATATTTCACTGTTGCGCACACTTAGGCTTAGTATGTTCCGTTCTTCTCACAGAAAAGCACATGTGTCAGTCATAACACCGTGAACATGGCTGACACAAAATCATCGAGGGGTCTTGCAGCCATGGGTGTTGGGACCATGGACTGTGCAAGGTATGATATGAAACTTCCTAACAGAGTTGGTGATTTGCAGAAAGGTGAAAGGTGTGTTTTTTTGATTGTTTCTCAAGCATCGTGGAGCTAAGCCTAGCACTAGATATCTAAACATGGACTATCTGGTCTTTTCAGTGATGGTCAGCTTTGCCATAGTTATATTCAATCTATCATATGACATCGCCTGCCAATGGCATAAAAAACTATGGCCTCACATGGCATCAATGCCACCCCGACTGCACCTCAGCCGCAAAAACAAGATCATTCTTTTTTTTGTTCTGAAATTTCATCTTAACAGCTCACATCCAATCATGTCAAATGGCCTTCTCATTCAACTTTGGGAAGAATGTTGGACATACAGATGGAGAAGCACCTGAGAGAGGGTGGGCAAACATTAATTGTGTGGCATCGAAGTACCAAAGAAATGGGGCCAGGAGCAGTGCTGTGATACTTTGGACGATCATTTTTCAGACTGGAATTGGAAAAAAGTCACCATGCTCAGGTAGGTTTCTCATTGGACTGTTTCATTTCCAATCTCATGTATTTCCAGGTCAAAGCATGCTCCGCAAAGTCAAAGAAGCCTCAAGGAGGGCTAAGCTCCATCGAGAAGAACTCGACAAACTTCAACAATCGATTCCGGCATCATCGCTCTCTATGTGGAAGTCAGAAATTGAGGCATGGGAGGAGGATAACACACAGCCCAACCCGTTTGAGAGCAGGGTCATTCATAAGTTATTTTCTCTACTTCATTTGTTCGAAATTGACATTTGACAGCTATGACTCAAGCTGCTACATGCCGTCAGCTGGCCGAAAAGGAGGCTACAGACTTACAAGCTGGTGCAGATGTCTCATTGCACGCCAACATTTCTCCAAGTGTCCTCATCGCATCAGGCATTGACCTACAGGATCAGCAGTAAGTATTGCAATATAGTTGGAACCTCTTCCTCTTCTAACAAAAAATATTACAGGCGGTGTTTGGCCGCAGACATTTCTTCACTGGGTCAGCATGCGACCGACACACAGAAGACCAAGGTACTCAATCAAAGCAATGCTCTACAACATCAATTGGATAATTGGGCTCAAATCCAAGTCCTTTACATGCCCACAGGTTGTGCCAATCTGGGCCAGAGAGGATGCTTGTCGTTCTGAAAGTGCTACAGCACTCAAGCCAGAGAAGTTTCAGCTCTGGTGACCATCCCAGCTCGACCCGCACCTTCCTTGCGACCAAAGACTTTGTGAATGTGAATGGGAACTCCGGTATGCTCAAGCCCATGATGCATTGAACGATGTTCAACAGCACATTCACCTATTCACCCACCTCAACGCATTCAGGATGGCAAATGTACAGGGTCAACGTGCCTCCACTCATGCATGCACCACTCTCAATCTTGCAGCTGAGAAGAAGCATGCAAGCAAGGCTAAATACAACGCTGCCCGGGATGCACTTACTGTTACGACTTGGATGGTATCTGTTGGCGACGCTCAAACAGAGCGTGTGTCATCAACGGTCGAGGACGTCCTTGGGCTAGCCCAAGGTTAGGGGTCTTACTTGGCGAGGCTTCGGCAAGTAAGATTTGATGCCTATGTCCAAATCGGGTAGCTTATGTCAAGCGGGTGCGAGACGATAAGCTATATTGGCCTAGGCTTACGACACCCGAAGGTTAATCGTAAGATCGTCGTTAATTAGAAGGACAGAAGTCCGACTAGTTAACAGGGGCTTTGCTCGTCGACGAAGTCGATGAGTAAAGATCGAGACTATAGGCTTATCCGCGAAGAGCAGATAAGAAGATAGAATATAGACTGCTGGCGAGGCAGAAAGGATCACTCTGGTGAGAGTAGGAGGTCAAGAACCAAGTAGATTCAAGTTAGGGAATACAGTACATGGTAGCGAGTTTATATAGAGGACAGGAGACGTATTAGTGGGTGATAACTCGTACTACCAAGAGAGGCAATCGGTAAAGGGTATAACCATAACAGGAAGGCACGTTCGTGTCGAGGTAGAACGTGCTGGATAAGAAAGTGAGTCAAAGATCGAAAATAAGAAGTGAAACACGCAGGGGCACGATCGTGCAGCTGCGGAGCTAAGTATAAGTCGCATGTGCGACTGCGCACTGAGTCAAAGATCAAGAAAGGGAAAAGGGCAAAGGGGATGTGTCGTGCATCATATCATAGGTTACCGTCTGGATGGTAAGGGCAAGGGGACTGTCCACAGGGTCAGTCAGGTGGTGGAACGGAGCATGGGTATGCTTTGTCAGTGAAAGGATCCGGCCAGATGTACTGGCTCTGCTGAAGCGACAGGTAGAGGGCGAAAGGGAATGCGAGGATGACAAGGATAACAAGGGTGAGGTCGGGGTAAGGGTGTGATGCGAGGGCTGATACCAGAAGGATGAGGAGAAAAATGGTAGGGGCCCAAGCGTCTAGATGTTCTTGTAACACTTACCGCCCTCGCTTCCTTGCTCGCAAAGGTTGGCTGGAGCGATATCTTGCACCCTCTTGCATGGACCGATATGAGACCCATGGGTGACTTCATTCAAGGACAATCCGAAGGTACTCATGATATACCGTGGATATGGAAGACACCTGGAGTGCTGCAAGACGACGACGAGGGACTTCAAGATTGTATGTATTACAATATATATTTTTCAAAGTGCAGTGAGGCTGACGGATGGCTGGCAGGTCTTTGCATTGAGTGGTGCAAGGCAAGAGCGCGAGAGGCACGTTGGTCTGAAGAAGTACTGCTGTTGCTTGAAGAGATGCAGAGGGTATTGACATTCTTAACTTGGCAGGGTACATGGTGGTCTGGGCTGGCCTCGGCTCGGCATTTCAAGAGATTGGCTGACAGCAAAGGGTCCAGGGCATATGCAAACCGGCAATCCGCGCTCCGTGAAGCTATGGTAGAAAAGTTCAGGCAATGCTGGGCCACTGTCCCTGCTATTGTAGCTGCTAAGCTGGATGACAATAGCACACTGGGAATGGCTGATACTGATAGCACGCTCACCATTGAAGGCCCTCCACCATTAGCTGCATATTAGTTATCCTGTACTCGTTATACCATGTGGCAATTATCAGTTCTCTTCAGGCTCGAATGTGATGTATCAGTTCTCTTTGTATCAGGCTCAAGTGTGATGTATCGGCTCTCTTGAATGTGATGTATCAGTTCTGATATGTTCTATATTGTATCTATGTTCTATTGTATTGTATCAGGCCAATGTATCAGCTACCAGGTAGGAAATGATACATCTGATACTATAACTCATTGCGCTGTGAGTGAGCACATTTTTGTACCCAATTTTTCATGCTGCTACAAGAATTGATACAACTATACTACAGCTACTGGTGGGGAGTTGAAGTACAGTAGACTTGCTCATAATGCATATGGTCGGGACCACCAAAAGTTCATGCATTATGAGAAATATGCAACACCATGTATGTCACATTTTCGTGACACAATGTGACCTCCGCCAAAAGTGTGACATCAAATTACCTAGAGCTAAGAGTATCTGCTAATTATATGGTGAAAAATTGTTCTAGAGAGGTCTGTCTAGCATTAAGTATTTCTTCTCGTTATAGTTGAGCATGAAATTTACGAAGTTGTGATGATAAGTTGAGTGAAAACTGTGGATCACCATATTGCATGCATCCAACTTTGAGTTACCAGCACAAATAGAGAAGATTCGTCCGTGTAATTGATGTGGCCGCTGAATCATCGTTGTCATTGTCAGAATCAATCTCAATGATTTCACCACTTGCAACAGTGATTTCATGACAAACCTCATCTGTGATGGCTTTGTCACCACCTTCAAGTTTGAATGCAGGGTATTCTCCCACTTCTCTCTCCTCAGTAGGGTCAAAAAGTTCCTCGAGAGTTGGCAATTGACCGAAAATGTGATTGCATGCCTTGAGATCATTAACTGATTGCATAAGGTCAACTTCAATGGATGAAAGTTGGTCAGCTGCAACTTGCTGTGGATGTGTGGGATATGCTGTGGGCTTATCATGGGGTTTACACTTTGAGTTTAGGGACATTTTTGTGTATGATACTGTTGCAATTGCTCACTGGCTTCTATACATAGTTCAAAGGAACAATGCCACACAAGCAGAACAATACCTTTATATGTTACATTATGTCCCACCCTATCAATTTTGTACTTCATAATGCATACAAGTCATACAAAGGCTATGCATTATGCAATATGCAATATACATACAATTACATACGGAACATCGATGGGATCCTGAAAAGTCCATGCATTATGAGATTTATGCATTATTACGATATGCATTATGAGCAAGTCTACTGTATATGCATAGCACATAGCAATTTCTGGCATCGGGTAGCATAGCACTTTGAACATCTCATTTAGCCTGCAAAACGGCCCCCAAGTTACACATCACTGCCACTTGGCTAGCAGTCCCGAAAGGACAATAGATGTGCGGAAAGGATGACTTCGCCGGTTACATGTATGCCCATCGGGTGAGATGTAGCTGTCATTATTTTCACAACTATCGTCACACTCGATGGCATGTCCGATAGGCACTATACCGAAGGTGATCGAGCTTGCTAGTGTAGGATAGAATGAGCGCTGCGAGCTAACTGTGTTGGGGGCGATGTCATGTCACAAAATGAATGGGGAGCAAGGGAGAATATCTGGAAGGTTGAGCTTTAGTTTATGTAACACCTCGTAGCAGAGCGATTTGTGCCAACGACTCAGTTGTCCGACTTGGGACGGAGGCGGATGGAAGGGAGAAGCTGACTGTTTTAATAGTACTTGCAAGCTTGAAAACTAATTAGTGCGAGCGGATGCGGTACATTTGATTCAGAAGGACTCGGAGTACATGCGGATCGTCGGAGTTGGTAGAGTTGCAATTTGTTATGTAACACTTTGCAAGGCTTAGTGAAAACGGCAATGCACGACGTTGGCCCTGCATACTAGGCTCATCGTTCTGGACTATTACCTGGTTGTCAGAGACTGCAGAAATCAAAACTAAAATGGACGCACCGGTGATGAATGCGTCAGGATAGGTTTGATGCCTGGTAAGGCGCAGAATGGATCAGAATCATCACATGCAATCTGAACAGCTTTAGGACTAACGAAACAAATTTGAAGATTATTTCCAGAATCCAAGGCCATCATCCAATAATCTCTCGCGAGGTTTTTGCCATAGGTACGTGCTGATATTCTTGGAGAAAACATCGTTATAATGAGCTCAAGTAAAGCTTGTCAGAAAATTCCGTGATGTTTATACGTGAGTATTATAATGTCATAAACTGATATGCAACTAGTTAACGTTTCGACTACTTCGCCGAAATGCTTACATTAATAAGTACTCTATCGTCGATGAAATGAGTTTAATTCACTGACGTACCCTACAAAGCTTAAGCTCAAATCCTCAAGTTCATGGAAGAAACGACTCTATTCAAGAGTCTGCACGGTACGCGGCGGGAAGAGTGGCTACTTGAAAGCGTAGACAATTCTTTCCCTACACTGTCTAACCTTGTCGGTGCTACAGAGCCTTGGCATAGTGCCTTATCTAATTGAGTCATAGCCCTCGGTTTTTTGAGTGTGACTCTACGGTTCTTTAGTTTGGTGGGTTCTGATTCTTTTCGCTCAAGTTCCCGAACTTTTAGCCTTAGCCTTGGGGTTACGTGTACGCCTAAAGCTAAGGCAAACAGAAGTTTCGCAAATCGCGACGGCCCCAGTAGTTTTCAGCCCATAAAATGCCTGCACGTTATGGCTTGACGTCCTTCACTGCAACAAGTTTCATGATGTTCACTTCCCGCTTCGCTATCCTTACTCTGCTTACCTTCCTCGCTGGTGTCAACGCCAACGGGACATGTGCAATGTGCGATGATACTGTGGACTTTGAAGGTGTGGCGCTCTACACGCTAGCTAATAGCACCGTCGAGACCAATGGATACACACTTTGCAAGTACGTCACACCTTCCATCTTCGTCAACCAAAGTGACTGATGAGGTGGCAGTTACTCTGATACTAAGCTAGGCACCAAGGTGACATGCGAGTATTCGGTACGTGCTTGTTAGATGTTGTACAGCTCATTATCTTCATTTTGACACGCTTGCGGTTATCAGAGCGACGGCGTATACGTGGATGGGGATGAATTGTGTCCGAGCACGGTGGGTACGTATAAATGCAGCAGCTCAGGCTGAGCAGGATGTAAAGCGGGAGTAGCGATCTTGATCTGCAGATAGTTGGTGACTCACCAGTAGATTCCATCCACTACGAGAATTTTTTCCATTATTTTGAATCAACCGGCTTGTAATGATCATTCTCAATGGCAAAAGGAAATCAGCCTTGTCCGCATGATCGAGACGAGTGAGAGAAGGAAAGAAGAGATTAAGTGTACAGAGACGGGAGGAGCTGCCTAAGTCTAATTAGTGCGAGCGGATGTGGTGGACTGGATTCACGCCTAGTGAGTAGTCGAAGGACGGTCCCACTTTGTCAAATAAGTAATTGCACCTCGAGGCCTGAGCGCTGAGCGCTGCCTGAGGCCTGAGGCTTGGTGCAAGCAAAGCAATTTTCAATGCACGACATATTATCGTCGACGATTAACGATTGTCATCAATTGGAAACTGCAAATAAAATACTTACTATTTGCATTCGATTCATTTGTACGTTAATGTTGCAATGGCCAGATTACTGCCATTGCTAAAAAAATATTTTGCTCAGGTGAAAAATATCATAGCTAGGTTTAAAAGGGTACCGATGTGGTTAGTTGGCATCCCAATTGCAACAAGGAACACCAGACGTGCATCACACCTAGTGCTGGGGGCAGAATTGTTTGCAAGTAATTGTGCCGGCATAACCGGCAGAAGCGGCAGAACCACCACTTCTGCCGCTCGGCAGAATTTTCAAAGCGCTACAAGGCTATGTTTATGACAATATCACTAGGAAACACCATTGGAAGACATCAGCGCGTCCACATCCCACTGTCCATCGTTGTGTGAGGTGTGATCAACTACTATGATCTCGTCGTCAACAGATTTCGGTGCAAGACCTTGGTCAACATGCTCCAATTCCACGAAATCATAAACTCGGCCCTCCAACACTTCATTTCCGTCAACCGGCTCTTGTTCCATGGTGTCGCGTTCCAGTAGCGCAAATGCAGCGTCGATCTCGTCAAGTGATATGGATTCAGGACCTGCAAGATCATCATCAGCGTTCTGAGTTTGAGGTGCGAGTGGTGGCGCCCATGCAAAATTAGCTTCGAGGTCAGCAGCTACATCAATGTTGATTCCTGGCTGGGCATTGGTGTGCATGTGTGCGTGGCGCATCGATTGTATCAGAATCAATGAATTCTACCGCATCTTCTCCACCAGCCTTGCCCATAACAAACATGCGTGCTTGTTTTCGTATTTCCGCCGGACATGTTTTACACTTGTGAATGAGGTGATTTGGGAGTTGGTTATCACGACCTTGGATGTGAAGAGCATCTGGACAGTGTTTGCAGGACCAGTAGTAGCATCCAGATTTGTTGTCAACCTTCTCACCGCCATTGAACTTGTTGGCTATGAAGGATGAGACAGGGCGTCCGGCAAGTGCAGCGGCAGACATTATGCAATCGTAAATGATTGTCTACGTAGTACAGGCTGTACAACTAAAAAAATTCTACCTACAGGTAAGGAAGTGTAGTTGCTCTGAGCCAATCGAAAAAGGCTACTATGGCCATATAAGGTGAAGAAATGTTTCGCTGTGATCCTCAGTAGTTTGACATTCTGCCGGATTCTGCCCGCAGAATTCTGCCATCTGCCGGGCAGAACAGGTTTGGCAGAACCAGTTGGCAGAATGGCGGACTTCTGCCCACAACACTAATCACACCAGGGCTGCAAATAAGTCGGTATATTCTACGACCAAAACATTAATTCAAGCAAGTGGTATATAGCGCCTCGCGCATCGTCCGTGCGTATATGCATATGTAATTTTCCAAGTCTAATCATTCCACCAAGCTTTCAATGCGCACGTCAGTTCAGTTCAAGAGAGCATAACCAACCTAGAAAAAACTTACCTAATCTCAGCATCCTTCCCATCGCGCACCTGCAAACTCCAGTGATTCTCAACGCCCAGAACCCGGTGGTAGGCATTGAGGTTCTTGTGTAAGGTGAGTTGGAAGACGCTGGCGCTACCTTGGCGGGAGATAATGGTGCTGTAGGCAAGGAAGAAGACCCAGATTCGGTACCAGCGTTCGCCGTATTTGTCTACGACCTACAATGCATCAGGCCAGCACCGCGTAAGTATAGGGAGGATGATGAGTAAGACAAAAGGAAAGGGAAAGAGACGGACGCACCTGCTTGCGGTTGTTAACCCAGTTCAAATACCACCTCCAGATAGTAGCGCTATAATGTACGCCCAAGACATCGATATTCTTCACTTCAAATCCGGCGGCTTCAACTTGATTGACGACCCAGCCGAGAGAGCAAGAAGCATCAGCGCCAGGGAAGATGTATTTATTCATGAAAAGACCCCTACACGGCGTTAACGTGCGGTCTGTCAGACGACAACAGCACCTACCATATGAGGTCCTCGTATTGCCACGAAGGACGGATACCGGCAACTTGGAGAACGAAGATACCATCGTCCTCGAGGAGGTCGTACATTTGACGCATAAATGAACCATAGCGCCTGATTCCGACGTGCTATTGAAAGTCAGACGAGGAAATATCAAGATTATGTAGCGCTCACCTCCGCCATCTCAAGAGAGACGATCTTCGTAAAGTGCCCAGGGCCACCTGGAATATCCCTATAGTCCATGCATAGGATACGAGCCTTGTCGGGGGTAACACCGTTAGTTTTGATGCGCTCATTACCGAACTTGGTCTGGTTTTTGCCAAGGGTGATGCCTGTGACGTCACATTTGTAGTTTTTTGCCGCATAAGCTGCGAGGGTACCCCAGCCGCAGCCAACGTCGAGGAGACGGTCTTCAGGTTTCAGGTTCAGTTTAGAACAGACGAGGCGGAGTTTGTTGTCTTGGAGTTCTTCGAGGGAGGCATCTTTGTTGGCGTCTGTGATGACGCCGGAGGTATAGATCATGCGTGGACCGAGGAACCTGTGGGGTATTAGAGAGAACATTGGCGAGTTGAGGATACGTACCATGAGTAAAAGTCGTCGCCTCCTGCATGGTTCGAGTGAGTGAGGTGTGAATGTGAAAGTAGAAAACAACTTGCTGTCGTAGTGGTCGCGAACCTGTTCTTCGTCTTGAGACTGGGAGTGGACGATGACCTCTGGAAGGAGATTCATGAAGACATATTTGAAAAGTTCAGGCGTCATGACCATTTTTGCCCAATCGTGACGGTCTTCCAAGATGTCCAACACGTCGCCTGTGGGCATTGTGAGGGGGAAACCATGGCAGAAACACAAAAATAAGGATTACCATTGAAATCGATCTTGCCCTCAAAGTACGCGTCATGGAATACCTGCATTGGAATTTTGGAGTTGCCGTGGTATTTTTCCTTGAGTTCCGGGTCGTTGATAGTGATGTAGTCTTCGAGGTCTTTACCAGGCATGAGGACTTTGACGTTTTTGCGACGACCGTAGGTGCTCGCTACAGTCCAATAAGCGACGGTGATTGGGATACCTGTGATAACGAGTATGAAGAGGTATGTCTTGAGACCACCACGGTTTACAAAGGGAAGGATGCGTTTGATGACCCATGGTATGACAAGGACGAGACCAGCGAGTTGAGCATTTGAGAAGTAACCGTTACCTTCTGCTAGACCAAGGAGCGGTGCATTTTTAATAGAAGGGACGTTCGTGATACGAACAGGTGAGAACGTCATGGATCCTCGCCGTTGTTGCTGGTCTAGCAAATTGAAGGAAAGCCAGTTTTTATGTTTTAGCGCTTATGGTTTATTTACATTTATTTGTATCAAGCGCGTAGTAGGTTTGCCCTCTAAGTTATTACTCGCAGCAGTCTCCTCACCCAGTACTCCTGCGATGTCCTACTATTCACGTTCACCTCCGCCACTTCAGCACCCAGTTCCGACTCATCCAGCTTTTATACCAGAACCGCCTTCAACGCCAGCTTCACCTCAAGGTTACCAGCGCTTCGTTAGTTCACCACCACCAAACCAACAATATGCCGCACGAACTCAATACAATCCTCCTCCATTTCAACCAATCCCAAATCCTCAACACCAACACATTCCCGACTTCGCGGCATGGGGTATGAACGACACTACCGCTCAATTTGGAATGCACTTAGGTCAAACAGCTGTTGCTGCAGGTCAAGACTATGTCCAAAAGAATGTACGCGTCATTTCTTTTCTTTTTGCTCTACTTACTCACTATGAACAGTTCGCCGGCATGATACCAGTCACGATGCTCAAACACCATTTTAACGTCTCAAATTCCTACGTCATGCACAAACTCCAGCTCGTCATATTCCCTTGGCGACATAAACCCTGGACACGAAAAGTCCGTCGTACAGAGGCTGGTCACACAGAATGGCAGCCTCCTCGCGATGATATCAATAGTCCCGATTTATACATTCCCCGTGCGTCTTTTCTCCGCTCAATATTCACCATTTCTTATTCGTTACGCAGTCATGGCACTAGTCACCTACATTCTCATAGCAGCACTTCAAACAGGTCTACAAGAACGATTCCACCCCCAAATCCTCGGCACAAGTGCAACACGCGCTCTCCTTGTCGTCCTCCTCGACTTTCTCTTCGTTCAGTGTGGGTGCTACCTCCTCAATGTCCAAGGCACGGGTCAGGTGGTAGATTTGATCGCTTATGGCGGGTACAAGTTTGTCGGGTGTGTCTGCTCCTTGCACGCTTTTACTTAGTTACTAACTCGAGCCAGCGTCATCCTTACGCTCTTCGCGGGTCTTCTCAATCCAGGCACAATGATATACACAGTCGTATTTTTTTACGCATTCGCTGCAAATGCGTTATTCGTTGTACGTCCTGGCCCTATACCAAACATACCACTCACATTCACACTCGCGTCCGTGTAGCTCCGCTCCCTTCGCTCAGTAGTCCTTCCAGACTCGCCCGCCAATGTAGGCACTGTCAATCCCGCATCTAGAAAACGCCGCATTACATTCTTATTCCTGGAGGCTGTTTTGCAAGTCGTCTATATGGGTATCTTGGTAAGGGTATGAGTATTTAGGACGCTTGCGAGTGATCGGACTATCGTGATATAAGCTGTTTTGCATGCTGCTGCCTTGAGCGTTGATCGTGATTATATCAATATGACGGGGTGGAGAGTTGTAAGTAGTAGTTCATCGCGAACTGAGTTTGAAAACCCGCTTCGACGATACGTTCTCGACTGGACGCACGAATTAAAACAATGACATGGTATATGTAACAGGAAATGGCTGAACAGTGTGGGAAAAGGAATTGTGATCAAGAAAAGGTATCACGTATCAGACAGACAGCCGACTCGACACAATGACCATGCACCCTCTGGCATCCTTTTTTGACATAATTATGCGCGTTACTCTCTCGTTACTGCCCGCCACTAAGCACTTCACATAATGATGACACGTGCGGACACAACTCATCCCCAACCATAACATAGCCACCGCTCTGATGAACGTCAGTGAGTCACAGAAAATGATGATAAGTTGTGCAACGTCCAGAAATCACGTACCACATAGTATTCACAGGTCGCCATGTCACCTGCGCTATCTTCGTAGCTGCCAGCCTGGATCAGTCACTTTGCTCGACGAAGATGGGAATGTGACGTACGTGCAAATGTACCCGCTGGCGGACTCCAGGGTGGTGTTGACTAACCGGTAGCTCGTCGTACCGACTTCCAAAGTGTGATTGCACGTTGCACATTCTGCATTGGCACCAGCGAGGAAGGTGAGCAGCGCAAGGATGCCAGTGAAGCGGGGAGCGACCATCACGAAACTTGTTGCAGTGAAGGATGCTAAAGCCACAGCATACAGATATTTAAGGACTGAAGTTACTGAGGCCGTCGCAATTTGCGAGACTTTCGCCTCGACGCACACGTAACCTTGAGGCAGCAGGGCTAGAGTTTGGTACTTGAGCGAAAGAATCAATACTTTCCGCAGACTCGCGAAGAACTGTGAACGTCACTCTCACTAAATTATTGAGAATAAAACTGAGGCTAGATGCGCCTACTATTATGTAGTGATACTTCTGCTCTGAAAGAATCAACTAAGGGATTGTCACAGATTGTACAGACTAGTCTCACCAATGAATAGCACGAAGACAGTCATTCCTTCTACGAAGCTTTGCGACTGCCGTAGCGTACGACGTCAATTGCATACACTTCTTGATTGAAAGCATTTCCGAAGCAGTCGAAACTTCTAGCCGCGAGATGTATTTCCAAAGGATGTTGGAATCGAGAACCACCGAATCTCATGCGAGCCAATCACAGCCAAGCTACACCCATTCAGGTAGACGGGACGAAGTAAACGTCTGGACTTGGAATGGATGTCGGACCACCATTGCAAGGTTTCAACGTTAACGGTCGGCGCGCGATTGAATTCCACAACCACCCTGGATCATGATTAACGCGACACGCGACTAACGTTAGATCCATGGCCAAGCACCGTGCGAAAACATCACCAAGAAGATCTTGGAACCGTCACGCCAGTAGTGTTCATATGCTGCTGAATCTGCACAAATATCAGGCTCCTTCCCAGCCCCCGATTCGAGTGTGGAGGGGCGAAGTCTGAGGGCACATGATACAAGAAAAATTCAAACCCAGCATAACCTTATTCCCCTCACACTCTCACCGGGGGCTGGAAGATAACATTAGTAAACAGAGGTCAGCCACAGTGATGGTTACAGTATTTTGAAATGATACATACTGTTTTCTGCCTCGGTTAATGTTACACCCGCTCCGATATGGACACAGTGATTGCAGCGCTACACAATTGCAACCTAAGTGCCTCACTAGAAAAGGCCGAGCTTCGCCGGCAGCAACCTTGTTCGACAAGTGTTGTGTATTTATTGACACATTTGGGTACAACGAATGGAATGCATGTGGATCAGCAATCGTACATCAGCGGCATACTGGTATTACAACAAATATTTGAAGAGTGGCGAGCTAGGAATCATATTCAAGAGAAACTGCCAACTTTGCTATCTGAATACAAAAAATGTGATACTAGAACGTTAACACATTCAGACGGTTTCTGATAAATGATTGTGATCAATAATTGTGCAGCTTCGAAAATGTTATTTACCATCAGTCGTTTGAAGATACGTGAACACGTTTCTTTCCTTTGAAAGGTATATCTGATGAAGGTCCAGCACCCAGTTTGCGTCGTTTCAGCAGACTGGAAGGCATGTTGGAAGGTGGCCGTAACACGATCATCTCACGAAGAACAGCGTTGAAAATGTGACGCTTAGACCTTCTGATGTGGTGGTGAAAAAATGCGAAGTGCACTTCGACCACAGCACCACACAATTTGGCCTCATATTGAGCTGGCGGGACAGCACTATATTATCCATGCAACCCTTCTAAAGATTCAGCCGAAGAAATGTTGGGGCAGAAAATATACGAACAATTTACGACAGTTGTTCGTCTAAAGGAACAAGTCCGTGTCACTGATCCACAATGGAATGACCTCCTTCGTCACATCCGGCATGGTAGCTGTGGTCGTCAGCATATCGAGTTGCTTCGTTCCCTCATAATCACAAACTCCCAATGCCCACCCACAGATTTCAGTTCTTCGCCATGGAATGATGCTGTTTTGGTCACTCCTCGTCATGCCGTTCGTCACCAATGGAATTCAAAAATCACCAAAAACTACTGCCAACAAAGTCGCAATCAGTTGTTCATCTGCCGAGCATTGGACACGGTGCGAGGGCGGAGACTGACATTAGAGGAAAGTTTTGTAGTCGCTACGAAGCCCAAGGGGTCTCAAGCTACTTGGAACGAGCGCACATCACTATCGAACATGATAGAGATTGCAGTTGGCATGAAGGTTATGGTGACCTTCAATGTCGAAACAGATCTGGACATCACAAACGGGGCGAGAGGCAAATTAGTGGACATTGTCTTGGACGAACGGGAGTCGAGATTTTCACCTACAAAAGCTGTTGTGGAGTTGGAATACCCTCCAGCATATGTCCTGATCAAATTGAACCACACAAAAGTCAGACAACTCGAAAATCTGGAACCGGGAGTCATACCACTGGTCCCAATGCAACGGACATTTCGCGTCACAATTGGTGGTCGTGAAGAGGTAGTAACACGAACACAGCTGCCGTTAACACCGGCCTATGCATTTACGGACTATCGATCGCAGGGTCAAACAATTGACAACGCTATTATCGATATCGGAACACCACCCAGTGGAGAACTTACTCCGTTCAGCATATACGTTGCATTATCTCGAGGACACGGTCGAGATAATATTCGTCTTCTTTGGGATTTTGATGAAAAGTTATTGACGAGTCATCCTAATGAATACCTTCGACTTGAGGATCGGCGATTGGTGGAACTTGACGAGGCAACAGAGAAGTGGTGGAGAACATGCGTAAATGCAAATTAGAGTGAATAAGAACACGCATATGCAAAAACTCGCACTTTATTAAATATATCAGTTTCAGATCGGTGTTGCAAATCGTAGCGGCGCGAGCTGCGCGCAAAATTACAAAGTAGAGACAAAGGAAACATACGTCGCAAACAGGGCAGATATTACAAAGCAAGAGGCATCAACAAGGTGCCAGCTACGAGGTGCGATTAGGCAGTGTGAGCTCCACCTATTTACACCGTTCGCCACCCGGTTACACCAAAGGCAGTTACTAAGTGAGGTGGGTAGAGCTGCGAGCACCGTTCACACTATCATACCATGCCCGTGTCGCCTAGGTAGTAAGTAAGAGAAGCAGATGCCGAGTCGTTTGCCGGAGTGGATGTGAGTTATCGAAAAAAGACTGATCATTACTTAATTGTTTGGCTCTTTCGCACGATCGTATTGTTGTGGAACACCACAGCCACAATTGTCAGTTAATAGTGACCTTGTGTGAACAAGGTGACAATTCATTATATCAATTCTGCGAAGCCAACAATATAACGGACATCATGTTGTCGAAGACCTTCTTGTCCGTTGTGATGAAATCTTCGATGCTTTCATTGACCATCCTTCTCGTGGAGCTGAAACTTTGCAACGCACGAACCAAGCCATGAGAAAACAATACATCAAAGAAATTAAATCAATCTCATCAGAAGAAGCAGACTGGCACTTTGGACCGTCACACGCAACCACGCAACAGGTAGAGGACTTTAATATCGAGGTTTCAAAGTTGCCATTTGGTTTCATTATTTGCTCAGGACTGACTGCAATGGCACGGTACTTCAAGGCTTTGATTGCCTGCTGCCATGTGAGTGTTAAGTTTGCTGTTGATATCAAAGTAACACTGACCGAAAAACTTGCAGCGCTGGCAGTTTCTGCATTTATCGCTATGGCGCAGGATTCCAGCCGTCGCAAGAGACGTGGCATTTTGTTTACCAAGTAAGTTGAGTGGGGTGACAACGAGCTGAATACTATTGACGCGGAACAGTAATGGAATCCAGAAGCCCAGTGTCTTACCCATCCCAGTCCCTGCAATGCATAATACATCCTGGTTGCCTTTGAGAAGCGCCTGTGCCACTTTAAGTTGCCATAGACAAGGCCGAATGCCGAATTTTTGCTGTGTCCGCAGACGGATTTCAGATATTGGCAGAGTCTCATGGACATTAGGAGCTGTCATCCCCCATATGGAAGCGGGTGTAACATTAACCGAGGCAGAAAATGGAGTATATCATTTCGAAAAACTGTAACCCTACGCTAGGTGTAAAGTAGTATGGTGTTTGCAGTCACCGTCACTGTGGCTGACCTCTGTTTACTAATGTTATCTTCCAGCCCCCGGTGAGAGTGTGAGGGGAATAAGGTTATGCTGGGTTTGAATTTTTCTTGTATCATGTGACTTATCAAACATCAAACCAGTGCCCTCAGATTTCGCCCCTCCACACTCGAATCGGGGGCTGGGAAGGAGCCTGCACAAATATTCCATGTACCCCCGAAAAAGAAATCATTGTATCTTTGATGAAGCATAACTCAGGCTGAGTGCAATTATGATAGGTACTGTGAGCGTTCTCATATATTGATCCCTGTTCCTCATTGACAAATGGCCGTCCGTAAATTATCTCGAGGTTTCTGCACAAGGTTTGGGTCTCGGTCTTTCGCAGTCTGGCAGGAGGTCTGCGGTCAACGAGATGGAAAGCATGGGCAAGATCATAATAAGTTTGAGGCACTGGCAGAGAAGTCTTGAACGAGATAAGAGCTTAAGGAGATTGACTATTACAAGCGGTTGATTAATGTAATATCATGAAAGGAATTCTTGTAACGGATGGAATCTACTGATGTGCCCAGCTGCCTGCAGAACAAAAATTGCTGCTCCCGTCGGGCTGTTCCCACTTTACACCTTGCTCAGCATCCACGCGCATGCGCCCTTGACACAAGCGGACACAAGCTATCCCCATCCTCGTATATGCCGGTGTCCTGACGACCACAAGCGTGTCAAAAGAAAATGACGAGCTGCACGACATCTAGCAAGCACGTACCGAATACTCGCAGGAGACCTTAGTGCCCAGCTTAGAATTGGTGTAACTGCCAGCTCATCAGTCACTTTGGTTGACCAGGATGTGAGGGTCGGACGTACGTGCAAAGTGTGTACCCATTGGTCTCAACGGTGCTGTTGGCTAGCGTATATACCGCCATACCGTCGACTTCCAAAGTATCTTCACACGCTGCGCATGACGTTGTAGTGGCGTTGGCACCAGCGAGGAAAGTGAACAGCGCAAGAATGGCGAAGCGGGAAGCAAACATCATGAAACTTGTTGCAGTGAAGGACGTCAAGCCATAGCATACTGGTATTTTATAGGCTGAAATCACCGAGGCCGTTACAATTTACGAGACTTCCGCTTCGCCTTCGCTATAGGCGAATATGTAACCTCAAGGCGGAAGGCCCGAGCTCGAAGCTTGAACGAAAAGAATCAGAACCCCCAAAAAATAAAGAACTGTAGAGTCATTCTCACAAAATGCGGTCGCAAGAGTACTAAGACCGAGCGCTACTACTACATGCTCATAGTATGCCATAGGCTAGCTGTATTGTAGCGCAAAAAAACGCTAAACAGTGTGGAGAAGGAGTGGTCTACACTTTGTAGCGAGTCTTCCCGCCGCGTAATATCTTGGTACCGTCACTCGGACAGCCGTTGCATGAACTCGAAATTCGATATTGAGGGCGTGAGCTTAAGGGTACCTCGGTCAATTAAACTTGTTTCATCGAGTAGTCATTGATGTACGTAAGCATTTCGGTATGATTGACTTACGCAATATGTACTTCCATAATCGAAGGGTAAAACATCCGGTCCAGAAACTTGCCATTACTTTTATTCGAACTCATTATAACGACATTTTTTCCAATAATATCACCGCATACGTATCAGAAAGACCTTGCATTCTGGAAATAACCATCTGTTCGACAGCTATCCAACAACCGCGTACTTGATTCTCGAACATGAGTCACACGACACTGATTACTCAGATCTACATTGAACAGCTAATAAGATTCGATGCTACTTCCCAAGTCGCAGCGCGAGCTCGTCATTTGACTATCTTTTTTTCTGCTGGAGTTCCTCCCAGGTTAGCTTTGCTGTTGCCTTTTGCCTCGCACCCGGTGCCCTGTCCCCATGACCGGTAAGTATAATCATCCTCAACAGCTGTCTGTACTCATCTTTAGCATCCGAGTACATCACGATTATCTTCCGGCAAGAGTGCACACACGAATCAAGTGGCGGTGATGTGTAGCTTGGGGGCAGTCTCGGAGGTATTGTTCATGAATATTTTTGTGATGGCATGACTTCCGAAGCATCAGGTACACAGTACACACAAAATTTAGGGCTATCGACAGGTATCGAACACCCCAATATCAACCTCCAGTTCTCGACACGTTAAAAATCCCGAGAGTTTTAAACTACCTGGTTTTTCACGGAGCTCTATGACATACATAGTAGCGCACGACATGTGCAGCCTTGAGGTTGAAGAACCACGGAAGTGAGACGAAGATATTTAAAGTGCTGCACTACCTGATGCTTGAAATTTATGCTTGAACACCCCCCCTGGAACTTAGTATGAGAGAACTTGGGGTGTGTATGTGCATCTCACTTCTAGTTTTTTCTTTATTGCTGCCTGTTTTTTCCAAAATAGTGTCCCCAAGAATGAACAGACGGACTCGCCCAGGTTCGAGTTTTAATACTAGCAGGCAGGCCGGTCGGAGGAGCACTAATTGTCTTGGGATGCTCAATGCGATTGATTCCTACAAATTGGCCAAGGCAAACATGAGGAGAATTCTTGTAACAGACGAAATCTATTGATATGCCTATCTTTCCGCAGCTCAATATTGATTGTCTCGTCGGGCCCTTTCCATTTTACACCCTGCTTAGCATCCATACTCATCCTTCCTTGACCATTTCGGATACTTTGAATCTCCATCCTCTAACAAGCCGTCATTCTTATTACCAGCAGCGTGTCAAATGAGAACGAGGAGCTGCATCGCATCACGTACCCTATACTCGCAGGTCACCTTGTTACCCTTCTTATCCTCGTAGCTGCCGGACTGGCGTCAATTACTTTTCTCGATGAAAATGTGAGTAACTTACCTACACTCCGTGAACCCGTTTTCGGACTTCACGTAGTTGCTGAGTAGCTCATAAGTCGCTACACCGTCGACATACAACGCTTCTTGACACGTTGCGCATTGTGCATTGGCGCCGGAGAGGAAGGCGAGCAGCGCAAGGATTGTGAAGCAGGAAGTGAACATCATGGAGCTTGTTGCAGTGAGCCATAGCATACATGTATTTTATAGGTAGATATTCGCAATTTGCGAGAAATGCGCTTCTCCTTTGGTCATTAGGTATTGTTTGCTTCACTTCTACTAAGAAATTCGACTTTAATTGGTCGACAGAAATCGAAATCTGTTCCGAACAAGCCACATTTTCAAAGGTGCACTGTCACCGTGTAGCCGAGGATGGTGTTTGCAAATGCTCATCTTGGTTTACATTATATCACGATGTTTGTGCAGAGGAGATACTCAAGGGCCGATTGTATGCATGGCTTACTTGAGTTCTCATGACCAGTACATATATCGTCGCTAATACTGAAAGCTAAGCTTTCAGCAAGTTATGCGCGAGCGCCGAGCGGCGGTTTGACGTATACCTGGAAGATCCGAGGTCGACCTTTGAGATCCGAGAGCCTGCTAGCAACACCGGACGTGGTCAAGTTCAAAGAAAAAGGAGCTCCCTTGGAATTTCAGTTGATGATCTGGTTCATAATCGATGGCCTTTCAGACGTTAGGCATCCTAAGCCAAGCACCATGCCGCGTGCGAAATATGAAAAAAAAAACAAGACCGGTAGTCGATTCGATACGCATCTCCAAGTTTAGTTCTTGTTGAGCTTGTGATATCGTAAAATTGTCGTTTTCACTAAATTGTTTGTAGATGATGTGTGCATACGACTACACGCATTCATGTATGATAATTTTTTGGACCAGACCTGTTCCTAATCGTCCTATCTCGTCCAGAACAGCCTGTCGATTTAACATAACAAGTTCCTTTTCCTTCGCTTTATCCTCCTATCAAATGTTGATTTAGACACAGACAGTTTAATGCGTTCGACGTACCTTGGGTAATGGCTTACTCGAGAAACCTGCTAGTGCACGGAAGGGGCGGGGTGCTCCCATACCTGGAAGCCAAATTGCTCCAATGCGATCACCTCCAAAGGGGTCAGCAAAGAATTTTAGTGTATCTGCGAACGCGCTCTAGATAGAAAGAGCTGTCAAGGGAACCATCCATTCATATGCGAGACATACCTGCAGATCAGCAAGAAACAATGGAAGAGGATCAAATCCTGGGCGAGGCGTCGACTCCGTTGTGCCCAAATGAGAGTCTCTGGTCCAAACACTCGATTCCACGTTAATATTTTGGTAGTACCTTGGTAAAACCATAGGGTTTAGTTTGATAACAATATCGTAGTCGTCGGTGGAATGTAAGAAGAGACGCTGAAGGACAACATCAGCTATGTCACTGACATGCGAGCCTGTCAACCAACCTTGATATCCAATCCCGTCTCTGCATTATGAAGTGCTTTGCTGGCCTCCCTAGCAAATGCACGAAGACGGTGGACAGCAACTGCATCTGGACCATTTGACGTCCACGCTTCAGGTGCCGTTGCCGGGTACTCATCCTCATACAACGGAAGACAAAGGGGCTCCTCCCACTTCCAATCCGTTAAGAACTCTAAAACAAGGGAGAAACCACGTTCTTTACTATGAGGCACAGTAGCGGCGCTCTCTGTCGATTTCAATTTTTTGCCGACGAATGGTAGTGCACAAATGATCTCAATGGCTTCCTCAGAGACGTGGGCTTGCAAAAGCCAATGTGCAGCAAGCCAGCGTTTGACAAGGCGGACAGTGCCAGAGTATGCACTGTACTTGTGGCAGAGATTGGCGATGACACGATGGTGACGTGGGGCATGAATAAATCGCCGGGTGTAGAGTTCCTGGGCAACTTTGGCTTCACGTTGTTCCCGCGCGTTGTATTTTTGGTCGCTGGGGCCGATGAACGTCTTGCTAGGGTCAATGATTCGGTCAAGCAAAGTCGCCTCTCGATCGTGCCAAATGAACGCAGAGAATGACCAGCCTTCAGCAGTGTATACTTCTAGTGCCTGCGCATCCTTGGAATAGATTTGAGTTATCACCGGTAGCAACTGACACCTTGAGTCCGGGGTTTGAAGTCATAAGTGACTGGGCGATGATTTCAAAGAAAGCGAGCTTGATTTTCTGAATCGCTTTTAAATCATCCGGCCACTTGGATGACTTCTCAAATTCGAGGATGATGGGGATGGTTGGAAGAAAACGCAGGAACTCCGGTAATTCCGCTGAAACTGAGGCAGGGATTGGTAGTGGAGCGAATGTCGAGGTATAACGCAGGTATTCAGACACAGGGCTGACGTTGAGCAATGCTAGTGGTAGCCGCTCGTCCAATGCTTTCAAGTTCCTGACGAGACTATCGAACGCTGTTAATGCAGCCTTATACTCGCCCGTAGCCCGATGTAAACGACGGACATCATCTGGCAATTGGAGTATGCTGTCGAATGGCGTCTGCAACGTTCTCACATATTTAGCGGAAAGGCCAAAATGGAGTTGCAGCAAATGTCGAACGATGGAAACCGGAATATGTGCACGCTCATCGGACGTCGTCACTTCCCAAACCACACTCTCCGTAATACGAGCGTCCTTGAATCGGCGAAGCTCAGCACGGCTGCCCCATAGATGCCGGAACTCCTTCGCAACATTTGAGTTTTGGTCGTCCGCAGAAGGTCCGTGGTCAACAAGACGGAAAGCATGGGCAGGATCATAAATAAGCCCAATGTGGATCATGGATATGCTGGGACTTTCTTCGGCGGATATGGGGCGGTAAGGGGTAACAGGCTGGAGGATGGCTATCGCTTGGGTTCGATTGCCAAGACCTCGGCGCAGGATGGATGAAATAGAGGCCAGAAGGGCTGCATCAGAAGATCCATGTTCTACGAGAGCCAAAGTAGATTGGTTCTGGGAAGCTTGCGACAAATCCACTCTGAAGATGGTTGAGAATAGAATTCACGAAAAGAAAGAAAACACTTGCCTGATCACCGCATCAAAGCGAGAGGAGAGTTTAAACCGACTTCTCAAGAAACAGTCAGCAAATGTGTCAGAAGATGTACCAGGGTTGCTTAATTGCTCCAGTGTCTCCTTAGCATCGTGACTTAGCTTGAGGATTGACAATCAGGGGCATGTGTTTACAGATGCTGCAGCGAAGCTCACCAAGTCAAGTGAGGTGAGAGGAACATCAGACAAAAAGTTAATAGTAGATGTTGCATCCACGAATACGGCTGGGTGGTGGGTAATGTACTCCTCTGGAGGGCACTAGAAAAAAAACACATCGATGCGGAAGTTCCATGCCTGCGTACAGAGACGTACCTTATGTCCATTAATTGTCTTTGTGAACACCGGAGTCTCACCAAACTTCTGCTTTGCTAAACTCGCAATCAGCTAATATCATGAAAATGGAGAGCGAAGAGCTTACCCAGAAAATCGAGCGCAGCCTTGAATAATTGATAAGAGCTTAATCCCTTTCCCAGCGGCTTCCTCGATTTTGCGCTCCCGCTCTTCGTGCCAACAGGCTCGTTACCTGAACTCAGATAGCGCAGTAGTCCGGCCCAAAACGGTCCTTTTCTCTCGAAACCTCTCACACATAATTCACCATCGCCGTAACCTCGCTGGTTAGCCCACACTCTTAAAAGGGTGTAAGCATCATGAAAGGCTGGTAGTGCATTTTTGAGTTCATGAGTGGACACGAGAGCTTCTTTCGCATCTGTGGAAAGAAGAATGGTGTTGTTGTAGATTGGTGTAGGGAAAGTTGATGGAGACGAGGACGAAGGCACGCGGACATTTGCATGTGATGGGAAGAGCCTTGATAGCGATAATGGACTCGATGACGAAAGGACAGGGATGACATGAACTTCAGCATGACTTTTGGAAAAATCATAAGATGTACTCCCTTGCGAGGATGTCAGTTATTTTTTTATTATCAAAATGAAGTATTATACCATCCCGTGGCCTAAGAACCAACGTGGTGAGGCGAGGATCTCCAAGCGCAGATGAGTAAAAGGTGTCCACATCGAAAGCGGTTGAAATAGATTGAGCTAATACAGCGAGGTAATAGGACTTCTTGTGGAAGAAGCGCCCATCAAGGTAATCTTTTTCTTGAAAAAGAGTCTGCCATATATCGTTCAATGGTAAGGAAGACAACTGAGCGAACAGCGCACCTCGGGCATCTCCACAGACAAGTCGACGCCAAACCGACTGCCACTTTGCTTTTTCACAGAGATTTTGTTTGCCCAACTTCCAACAACACAGAACTCCCTTGGAGGTTCAAATGCAACTTTCCATTTGGCATCTTGAGATGGGAGAGGAAACGCAAATGGAACTGCGACACCTTGCTTAGCAAGAACTTTTGCAGCTACCAAAGGATTCAGAGGTGAAATAGAGGGAATAGAGATACAGTGGGCACGCAGAGAAAAAAGAAAGTGATCGAGTTGTTGTTGACCAGACTCTTTAGGTCGGACATTAGGAAGAAGCGCGTCAATCTGAAAAGAGGTGAGCTCGACGAGATACCACTGAATTGATATATCCAAACCTGAAGCTTGAATGAGCCAGACTGATAGAGATCAGTTGCGTCCTTGATATCTCTTAATTCATGACCAGTCAAAGGTTCTATGGATATCACATAAGGTCAGACTGTGTTTACTATGAAGTAAAACATACCTTCTCTGCAGTAGTGATTGGTATTTTCTGACTCAACTTGGCTCATCGCGCTGGCATGTATTGGCGATCTTTTGGTGTCAGATACCTCGCAAGGCCAGCTTCTGCTTGTCAGTACGATCGCAATGAAAAAATCCAGTATCACGTGACCATTTGAGAGGTTGGCACTGCAAAAACAAGCAAGCTTGCTGCGTTGGCCCTCACTCTTTCACTTTCTCTATGGACGGACTACAAGGCCCTCAAATTGAAGCGCTACAACAGCTACAAAGTATCCTTGGTCCACATGACACGGAATTCGTAGTCAGTGTACTTGAAAGTGTCTCGTGGGATGTTCAAGTGAGTATTGACTTATGATCTGCCATGTTTTGCGGCTGAACTCGGGTCTGCAGAAAGCCACAGACCTCCTGTTCGACAATGAAACCACAAAAGTTATAGCACCAACACAGGCCACTCCAATGGAACAGTTGGAGCTGGACGACAATGAAGATTCGTCACCTACAATCCGACATTCTCACCGTGATCAGGGTGTACGAACACTCAATTTTCTAGCCGTCTATGGATAATGACACTTCTTGCAGGGCCCGCGGTCAAATTGGAATTTTTTATGGTCTCTACTCACTGTTCCATTGCACCTCGTGTCGGGAGTGTTGCGCTTCGTGTTTAGTGTTCTTCGCATACCAATACCGTCCCTACCATTCATGACTACAAATTCCTATCATTCTCATCGCCACACCTCTCCTGATTCACGCAGCATTACTCAGAGGTGGGTGCAACAACTCGAGGAAGAAACAGGTGCATGTTCTTCGAAACGTTCCATGGCGAACGTGGTCACAACAGGATTTGAGGCAGGTCCATCGACTACAAGACGTCATACATATCCACCTGCGGCTTCGGATGATAATCAGAAGATTCTGCCAGACTTTTTTGATGGTACTTATGAAGAGGTTCTTGACATTTGTCAGAGAGAAGGGCGTATAGCATGTGTTGTCCTCGTGAGCGCTGAACACGATGATGATGCAGATTTTAAAAGGTACGTAATGTTCACCTGTACATGTTGTATGATGTGTCATATGATTCTCTGGGCACAGATCTACCCTTACCGACACAGCTTTCGTGAAGATCTTACTGGATAATGATTTCATTGTCTGGGGCGGGGACATACGGGACAAAACTGCATGGGATGGTATGTCCCATTCAATTCATCTTTTACAATGATAAAGCCTTGTCCAGCCTCGCAAAAATTGCAAGCAACTACATATCCCTTTGTGGCTTTCCTCGCGCTTCAGCCCAGGCGCCATGGTGCTCCTTCTGGTGCTGCCCCGGTTGTCACCATCCTATCACGTCACCAGGGTCGTTCAGCCGCAACTGCTTCAGTATTGGTCGACCATCTCAATACGCAACTACTTCCGCGTGTAACGCCGTTCCTTGTACGATTCAAGACAATGTTACAGGATCGTGACCGTGACCGGCGTATACGTGAGGAGCAGGATCGCGCATTCAGAGAAGCGGCTCGTAGAGATCGCGAGGCCATCGAGATGAGAGTGCGGCAAGAGAAAGAAGAGGAAGAACGTGTGCGAAAGCATGCAGAGGATGTCAAAAGAAAGCAGGAAGACTTGGCGAGGCAGAAGCACCAAGCCGGAATACGTATGGAGTGGAGGAAATTCATGCGCAATCGCCTTCTGTCACCCGAGGCACGCGGCTTGAGACTGGCCGTCAAATTGCCCGGCAATGGACGAGTTGTCCGTAGTTTCCCTCCGTCGGCGACCCTGACCGCGCTCTATGCCTTTGCCGACTCGCACCTTATCCCGTCTAATTCTCGCCCAGAAGATGACCCTTCGCAAGCACCGGAGGGGGTTGTCAGTGATATCCCACAGCTTGATTCTTATATTCAGAAGCAGGACGGAAGGACACGCATGGTGGGGCTTCACACTCGCTTCAGCCTACCCCCGGAGGGAATTTAGGTGGAAAGCGAATGCGTCTTTGACAGAGACAGGATTGAGAGATGGAGAGCAAATTGTCATGGAATTAATCACCGGACGTGAGTCTGCGAATGGTCAGATCTCTGACGATGAGTATGAGTCAGAAAGCGACTAGAACCCTTGTCATCATGCATTTGTTGTTATTTATTTATCTTCATGGATGGACATGGAATAAATACAGTGAGTTCTAGGCATTGATGGAAACCGAGGTGTTGTAATCATTGACTGAGTATTGTGCGCACGAATGATTCATAATTCACGTTTCCATCGCTGAATTAAGCAGTTAGCTGTTCCGCCAGTAAACAGAGATGCACTGCTTACGGGCCGATCTGAACACCCTTGAGCAATTCATCAACCTCCTCGTCTGACATCTTCTCGCCAAGTTGCGTCAACACATATCTCAGCTCTCCAGCTCCAATAAAGCCATTCCCCTCTTTATCAAACACCTGGAATCCTCGGATGAACTCCTCTGCACACCTATCAACGATTGTGATGCTACAACGAGCGATGTGAAACATACCAGGTGTTCCCGCAGGCTTGAATCCATCTGGTCTATTGAGGATTGTCAAAAATGTCTTGTAGTCAACTACCCCAAAGTAAATTATCATAGCACCAATATCAATGTCATTCAACCAGGTGGCCAACTGACCTTCTCGTGGCGCATTTGCGATGATCTCGGTCACTTCAGCCTGGGTTGGGTTTTGGCCGAGGGCACGGAGGAGATCGCCCAATGTCTCTCGTGGAACAGCGCCTGTACCCTTCTTGTCGAAGAGTGCAAAGGCCTCCTTATATTCTGCTAAGCGATCAGTCCGCGAGATACTAGCTAGATAGCGCGGAATAGCGGACCTGCATTGTCACTCTGTGAGAATCAGTCAAAGTTAGTGCGTATAGGTGTTTAAACACGAGACTCACCATGGCTGCTCAGTCGATGAGCCATCAAACATATTGGGTTCATCTGTACATGATGGCTTACATAATCATCAACTGAGTTTTCCAGTCTATTGGTTAAAGTTTCTGTGTCTATGAACAACAGGGCTTCACCGGCACGGAAGACGTAGAGATTCCTTCTCATTTGAGCTATGCTGAATACATACATCCTGGACTTTTAACAGTCATATGTACATGCTGCCCTCACCAACCTCCGCAAGGTTCTGCCTCTTTTTTGACGAACAAAATGTACTCCCTGCCGGTGTACTTCCGAGTCCGAGTGCCCAAGTACCGGATCGTTTCGCACCAACCACCCCAAACAACCTTTCGTCCACTTCCACCATCATTTCAACAGACCATGCTTGATCCCCTGAAGCTCGTGAAAGTCTACTATTAGTTAATAGTTTAGATGGCGTGGTGTGGGGTGTCTCTGGTGACGGAAGCAGTAAAATCACTGCATTATTTTGATAGGACAAAAGTAGAGAGCGTATGGTCATCGCGGACATAAATGCCGCCGACGTCGACTGGAGAATATTTGGAGGCGCAAAATGTTGGAAGGGATCCTGGAAATAGTTCAGTTAGAAGATCACTTAATGTGGATGCTTTGCATACCAAGGATATGTTCTGTAGAGACAAATAGCGAACGGGCGCCTCATGCACAGGCAAGGGCTCTGATGAAATGTAGCTTGGTATGGAATACATATCGAGGATGGAAATTCTGACAGATTGAAACAGTCAAGTTTGTTCACATAACTGCAAGGTAGAGCACTCACGCAGATGGTTGGAGGCGATCCAGGATATTATTCGCATACATGTTCATGGACCATAACGGCAATGTCGTAGTGGCCTCGGATACCAGTACAACCGTGCGGGTTGATGAGTGCTTAAAAAGTAATCCCACCTGTAACACTTGATCTGTGTCAGGGTATCAAAGACCCTAGAGCATGCACTAACCTGATTATTGTTGACGAAGATTGCGCCCTGCTGTTCCCCAAGGTCTGCGCCATCAGCCCAGAAGTTTCCTGCAGGGCCCGATGCAATGACAAGGGGACAGCCAGTGGTAAACTGACCCTCAAATTTTATTTTTACAATCTGATCCTGGTCAGCTCGTTGGGTGGCTAGTGGGTTGTATTCGTCTTCGTCATCGGACTCGATGGCGTAACGTGGTGGAAGAGCATCGGCTAGAGGATCAATTTCCTACGAACCAGGTCAATCGTGGAGGCATCTTTGCTGAAGAAACTCACCATGTTTCAAGGTTACAGACAGGATATCAGATGCGTAGGATGACGCGTTCTGCTAATAAGATAGGCCTCATTCAAATACATGTAGATCACATGACTTTTCGTGACATTTGCATTACAATGTCTAAGGATGTTTGTAGAGACACTTTTAAGAGAACCCATTCCATCAGATTGCTCGCATGCATGGTGCAGGCAATCTGATGGAACAGAATTCCTTATTTTGCATTTGTGAATGAGTAGTAGTCTTTACAGTGATCGAGGTACTGCTGTCTTGTTACATTGTGGCTGTACAGTGTGACAATGGTGTCAATGCACCAACAACTCAACACCAAAACCATTATGCCGCGCAAAAGGCCTTCTCAAATTGCAAATTAGAGAAAGCTAAGCCACACAAGCCATGAGAATGTAAGAAAACATCAGTTTTCATTGTGCTGACTGGAGTACTAAGACCAAAATTAAACTAAAGATGGCAAGTCACACGATGTAACAGAACATCACAAAAATGTCACATCATGTGATGTAGATGGGTTTGAATGAGGCCTATCTTAGTAAGTTAAGAAGCATAGTAGACGAATAGGGTTTACGGGGTCCGACAGTCGGAAGGTATAATACCTCCTGGGCCAGGCCGACCTGCCTAGCCGAAAAGCTTGCTATTTGCTTGAGTAATTAGCTACTTCACAGATAGTACTTCATCATGATCTTAAAATTAGTACGGCGCGGTACGGCTCTGCGCACCTTCACGACGACTGCAATCCGAAGTCATGAAAACCCTTTGGTAAGCTGAAGAACTTTCATGTCTGCGTGTCTGATGATGCGTGTTAGTAGAATCTCCCATTTCGTCCCTTCTCTACACCCCAAATGCCCCGACGCGGCGGGCCGATCCAAAAACGACGTATCGAGCATGTAAAGAAGGTAATCGTCGTGGCAAGCGGAAAGGGGGGCGTGGGCAAGAGCACAATAGCAGGTACGTCCCAGCAGTAATTGAACGGGACACTTGAATGACCAGGAACGAAGTAAATCTTGCTTTTTCCCTTGCAATGCTGTCTCATCGACCGCGAGTTGGCATACTCGACTTGGACATTTTTGGACCTTCTATACCTACCTTGATGGGACTCCAGCATTCAGACGACCCACATTTAACTTCTGGTTCGTTTTCTGGCACACACACCGTGAGCTTTTGGGTGACTCTGTTACTAGCTGGTGCTCTTGTCCCCGTAATCAATCATGGCATTCCTACCATGTCCATGGGTTACCTTGTCCCTCGGCCACCACTCGACTCTACAGAATTTGAAGGGGCAATTGTCTGGCGCGGCCTTATGGTTCAAAAAGCCGTGCAGCAACTCCTCTTCGATGTTGATTGGCGGGACGCTTGTGGATCTGGTCCTGGGCTGGACGTACTAATCATAGATATGCCCCCAGGGACGGGGGATGTCCCTCTTACACTCGGACAATTAGTTGTCGTTGATGGTTGGCTTCCATGAGCTCTCCTGATGCTGTTCATCATCTAAAATGAAATAGGCGCAGTCATCGTTTCAACTCCACAGGACGTTCGCACTAACAGATGTAAGAAGAGGAATTTCTATGTTCAAAAAGATTTCCGTTCCGGTAAGTATTATGTGCACCAGTCTTTCGGCTTTACCCTCACTGTGCTTGTTACCGTCTGCAGATAACAGGTCTCATTCTCAACCAATCGTCCTTCTTGTGTCCTTCTTGCAACACTACGCACGAGCTATTGGGGACTTCAACTAATGCATCGCGACTCGGGATCCCTCTCCTAGCGCAACTCCCTCTTGTTGGGGGTGTGAGCTGGGGTGGAGACCGCGGCATTCCAGTACGTCCTTGAAGGTAAACATGGAGGTGACAAGGATGGCAGGGCGGGAGAGATGTGGCGAGATGCGATGAACGAAGCGGCAAGCAAAACCTGGGGATTAGTTCACAGCTGAGTGAGTACTACCATGCAAGCACATGCAAGGTCCTTCTTTTACTTGCCTCGGAATTTCACTAAGGAGAATGACATGGAAGTCACATGAGTGGAAGCAACATATCGACCTTTTCTAGCTTTAGGGTGTGGAAGATAGACTCTGCTTGCTACACCCTCACTTTCCGTCGCATTGCATGGAAAGGTCAGTGCTCTATTGCATCTGCTGTGACAAAAATACAACTGCAAGTACAAGAAATGAGTCTGAGTGTGCAATTGCACAATATAAAACTGTTAAATATGAACAACACTACAATCTTATAGATTCGTTTCAACACACTGAAAATCCTCCGAAGTCCAAAAATGCTTCTTCTAGTAACATTTTTCGAACAACAAGTGCCTCGACGATCAACCGAGGTTCTAACAATGCTGCCTCGATCTCAACAGTGGGAGAGTTAGATAGAATCAGAGGGATCTCAGGTGGGGGGGCCAACTCGTTTACAATGGACTGGCGCTGATGATATGTTTCCACAAAGATAGAAGAGGGTGAGCCAGAGCACGCTTCAACAATTTGGGCGTCTGTTTTGAAGATAAGATATCAACCATTGTAGTGTGGACAGTGGAATTGAGGCTACCTTCGATGTTTGCATCGTCATACACTGAGGACCCGACTTCGGGAGGCGCGAATGTCATGCGCAAGTCCTCAGACTCAAGTGTGATATGAAAGGATTCTAGGCCCGAGACCAACTCGCTCATTTCCTCAGAATTGATGGTTGGAACGTGCATGAGATATGGATCACGCTTGACCTCGCCTCGCTTGTCTCTGGCTGCGCGGCGCTTGGATTGCTTGCTAGTCGTTGAGTGGGCCTGCAATTCAGTGGAGTGTACATATGCAGGGACCATATGGTTGTAATCATTAGAGTGGTGCAAGTGATGCGCATGATGCTCGGAATGTGAACTAGGCTGGGCACGGGTATGCGCAAGCAAATGCTTAGGTTTCTTGCCCTTGCATTTGCGCCTATCCGAGTGGCCTGGTATAGTGCTCGCAACACGGCGGCGAAATGGGCGAGGTTTATATACGGTCGCAATTTCGAGGTCCAGGGTAAGTGCCGCACCGTCTGATGACGAATCAACTTCCTCATTGTCCATGCAGAACACTTCCACATGACTGCTTGTTGTTGCAAGATCATCGTCCGCATCAGTAGTCTCCAGTTCGGTCTCCGTAGCTGTTGTCTCTGAATCCTCGTTCATTAATTGCCTCTGTCTCATTCGCTTGCCTCCATCCCCGCCCCAGCCTTCGACAACTTCGCTCACCTCCGCTGGCACTTCAATCTCCTTTACCACTATAACGCTAGCACCAATCTCGCCAGCCATTTCTTCCAGGGTACTCAATGTTTCCTCCATCTCCCGCCTCCCCAGCCCAATAAGTGCACCAGAGTCAGCGACACCAAGCTCATAGTATGCCTGTCCACCGCCTTCCAGAAGGCGCCATTTGAGTTGTGTAACGAGGCGGGTGAAGCGAGAGGGGGAAGGGGAAAGGAGATGAAGCTTGTACTCCACATTACCCTGTGAGTGGTAGATACAAATGGTAGGAAGGATATTAGCGCATGTAATGAATATTAATAAAACACACCTCTTCATTTTCTGGAACTAACTGCGGTATTCCTCGTCGAATGATGTCGTTGTGTGTGAGTGTTGGAGGTACGGAAGTGAGTGTGTCCCATGGTGAGGGCACTCGTGGGCTCTCAGAGTCAGATTCACCGAACATCCGGGACTCTGTGCGCTAGGAAAGTAGACCCTGAGATTGCGTTTGAAGAAACAAAGATGCGACAAGATAAGTTGTTTAGTGTATTCGAATGATCATCGCTTCCTGTTCTAGCTTCAAGGTCAGGGTTGACTCATGTGGCTCCTAACATTTTAACTAGCTGAGGAACTGAGTCACATCAGGCAAACCGGCAAGGCCCGGAAAATCTTCCACGTGATGGGCCTTTCACATCAGGGTTACACCTGAGACATGGCCAAATAAGAGTCTGTGACAGATCCCGTTCAAATTGAGGGACAAATTATTGATATTCCAAATGATTGGGCGTGCCTTGTAACAGAGGTATGATCAAAGCCTGAAAATGTCAACAATTAATTTTAACCCAGATTCATGCTCAAATAGGGAATTTGTGTGCATATAAATGCTGGATTTGTTGGCATGGATCTGCCTTACTGTTAAATGTATGATCAGATAATGAAAATGACTAGTTTATGTTGACCACAAGATTCATAAATAAATAGTAGATATAACACATATTCAATTTGTAATAAATTGAAACTCTGTTTTAAATCAGGTGGGGGGACAGAGTGCAGCTATGTTGGGTGGGCACAGGGAATAAAAATCAAGAATATGTACATAGATATTTCCTACGTTAAATTCTGATGACAATCCTGAAAATGTGCATAGGGCATACGAGTGCCCCATTAAGTGCACCACTTGGCGGGGCACTGTCCGATCATAGGGTTCGGGATTGAGTGGACGTCAGTCCACTCAATCCGTTATTACTGTACTAGCTACCCATGAAGACATCCACCCGTTATCACAATGTGTCTGTTATGCTATTCAATATTCAATTTCAATATTAGCTGTGATTAAGTGTAAAGTCTAATCTACACAACTCAAGCAAAAAACAAGACCAAAACAAGCTCGGTAACACTCACTAAGCAGTGAATCAAATTCAGTCAAAACTCTGAATGGAAATATCCAACAGTGGGCCACTCAGCCGCTTCAGGAACCTCTGGCGGAGTCAAATTGTGGCATTCACTACTTAAGCCTCCAAACCTTATCACATAGTTTCTCTTTTCCATCGTCTCCACCTTATCCCCTAACATTAGTTAATAGTTGTAGAGGTCTTATGTTCATAATATGACTGTCTTTTGAAACTAAACCAAAAGCATAAATACAAGCAGGTAGTCTGACACATGAATCCATGTCCTGGCATCATATGATGTGGCAGTAAAGTAAGGTTTCAATCACCCGCTCAACGAGTTCATCTGAAATATTATGCCCAAAGCTGCTCACTTTCAGTATCATCGCCACTTCAAGCCACACAATTCATTGCGACTTCCCCCCTGGGCGCATCTACACTCCTATTCCTTTGATACAGCACATGTCGTTTCTTGCGATACGGACTGCACAACCTCAGCGGTGCCTGATGTCCCACAACACACTTTATCAGCAGTTCAGTCACCTGTCCCTGCTTTTCTGCTGGTGAAAATTCTGAAACCCCGAGGAGATGTTTCTAGTGTCGAGAGGGGAGGTTATAATTTACTTGAGGCAATCAGCTGGCCTTCCTTAGACTATGAAGAAACTCGTGTGTGTCCTTACACCCACATCATATGACTTTCTTGACCATTATTCTACTGCAGACATTCGTAGTTCATCTCGCCTGGGAGCATCTTAAAATCAACAAGTCCTGGAGTTCACAAGCCATTATGTATGTGGAAGTAGGTACTCGTCTGTCGGTAGTCTTTTGTCACTCATTTTTATCAGGCAAAAAACGGTATCACATCCTTGATCACTATGAGGACAACTGGGTTGTTAAGTGATATACTCCGTATATTTTTGAAAAACAGTAGTAGTCATTAGGAGTAACAAAGTCTGCAGGATACTATTGTACAGGGGATATGTTTCTCGGGTTCAAATTTAATCAGTTGGATAAATTCCCCGGCATTGTGACAGGGTATCCTTTTCTACATCAGATTGGTGTGCTGGAAGGTCTGTAAACCCACCTGTCTTATAGATGGTCCCTGGAGCTAATGACTTGGCGCATAGGGACCTCAGCCTACATTTCACTTTTTTAGGTATAAGATAGTCGACTGCATCCAGGATTCATTGTGCCACAGTGGGTGAGATGAGGTAGTCCTCTTGAAACCCCTATGACAATGGTCACTTATAGATCGCAGAACCAATGATATGCCTCACATCGTTTTCTCTGACCTCATAGATTTGTACTTCATCAGAACTCTCCTCAGGCAACATGATCTCGTCAACATCTACCTCCAGCAATGCAGCTTGTAGCGCAATATATACGTGCTGACCTGCACCAAACTGGTCCGGTGCATGACCGTGCGGTGTTAGTGAATATTTTTCGGGAATTTTGCATGGAATGAATTTTGTGTTATTTGGCTCGAAGATGACTCAGCTAGATTCTCACGCATCTGAAGCTTCCATGAAAAATACTTTCCGCATATGTTTGTTTGCGGGAACTTCCAGGAAACTTTAAATACATATGTTACCTGGTTTTGCTTTATGACATATGCTACGTCTCTAAATAACATCAAATACAAACAAGTTTCAACATATTATGTAAACCATGTTTTCTTACCACAGTCAGCTGATCTATGACAAATAATGTAGTATATCTAGGTATGTGAGAAAACGAAAATTGAATATACCTAGGTACGTGGGAGTAAATTAGCACAGCCACGTAGATTTGTCTATATAAGGACCTCCATTTTGGCCTGAAATGCAATCAATCTGACTTCCAGAGTCACCCTTAATAAAATTGCGAGTGAGGTTTGTGTGTGATCAGCATCAGCAACAACCATGAAGAGTTGTTCGACATTGTCGGGTACATTGATGAGACAGTAGGAGCCATTGAGCTCACTGTGCTCAACAACCTGCAAGGCCTAGTTATTTGTTTTGAGAAGTCTCTTGTTTTTCTGAGTGTTTGTGTTTGTGTGCACGTGTCTCTGTTTCTATCTCTCTATCTCTGTTTCTCTAGGATTGGGATCTATTTCTTTTTGTCTGGGATCTATTTCTTTTAGTTTGGGATCTATTTCCTTATCTCTGTTTCACTAGTCTGGGTTCTGTTTCACTATCTATTTCTTCAGCTCGGGATCTGTTTCACTCTATCTGTTTCACTCTCTCTACCCATTGAAAGCTAACAGTCTGAGTGCTCGTTTATTGTTGTGTCACTAACGTGCTATAGATTTTAGCGAATATATACTGAGTGTTTGTTTCTTGCTGCTGATACTAACGTACTTTTGATTGTAGCGAATACACTCGAGCCTTATCTTTGGATTCTTTGTGTTGTCTCTACGTCCACTAAAGGCTCAGAGTAGCTTAGTGGGGAGACTTCAGAAGTTGATTATTGTCCGCTTGACCTCACACACATCTGAGTAGTATACTGAGCCAGGATTGTTATTTGTCAGATAGGCTTTAGCTATTGAATAGGGGACTTGGTATTGAAATCCAAGGACGTCCGTTTCTGATTCTGTTTAATACTCATTGTGAGTTCCTTGGCAGCAGATTCAATATTAGGCTAAGAGTTCTACGGAAGCTTTTGACAAGTCTTGACCTTTGATCCTACCTGTTTGCGCTGTGGGAGTGACCAATACATCTTCGCACGACTGTTTCACAGTAAGTTTAGAATATAGCACCATTGATTGTGCCTAGTTTTAGTTATCATTTCTGTTTAGCACCAGTGATTGTGCTTAGTCTTAGTTTTGTTTCTGTTTCTTGTTTCTTTTAGTCAACACCATACCGCTGAGTTGACTAGTGTTTCTATACTGATATCATAGAGTACCTTTGTCTGACCATAGCTTGGATATACTGACAGGCCACCCACGAACGACCACGTTATCAGTCATTGGTATTTGTCTGAATCACTGACCATGGAGATATTTGATTTTGTAGGTGTTCATCTATAGATCATCTATCTAAGAAGACATTACTCGCGTAATTGATTAGTTTCTACATGTTTCCCCTTACAGTGATGATCAATATGTTTGTTAACACCTTTGTGCAGGTCGCAAATAAATTTCCTTTTCTTCAGTGACTGATATTGGTACCACCAACCCTTGCTGCAGATCTTGGTCATCAAAACAATGGACTCATTCCTGACTAGGCTTGTAGACACTGTCTTTATCTTATGTTTGCTATTTTGTAGCTTACATAATCAAGTTACCTCTTCACCAGTTTCCACCTTGAGTCAGAGTCTTAGTAGTTTCCTCTCTCTCTGAGCTTTGAGCTTAGTACAGAAATCCTTTAGGGTTGAACACTGTCTTCTAGACAACATAGCTAGGCAGCAAGACCCAACATTGTTCAGACTAATCATCTGAATTGTTGAACCTTCACCAACCATCTTCTTCATTAATGAAGTCCGAGACATGGATCAGTCGACCTCGACCTTTCTTCTGCAACACATGCTCTCCAGGGCGAAGCCTGCAGTACACTGTCAAACTAAAATTGGGTTGCTATGGATATCATGCAACATGCACTTTTTGTATTGTTATTTGCATGAAAGCAACACTTGTTATGATAATATGGTTTGATTTGTTTTTTACCTGGGTTAAGAGTTAGCTTGATATGAGTGAGCTCTGGTCCTTCAAATTGAATCATTTGTTCCTCAAATTTCAACATTGCAGGCAATTAAACCTCATTTCAATACTTGACAACATCTTCTTGCTCATGCCCATCCATATAAACTTCTTTTCAAATAATAGTTTGTCGCCACCCAAGTTTGATGAGCCAGTGATGAGCAGTCCACTCGCATATTGGTTTCTTCAGGACAATTCCCAGCTCAAGGAAAATAATCGTTTGAAGTGCATCTTGAAGGCCACAAGGTGTGACTTTACCAGTTGTTACATTCAACAACCATGTGTAACAACGAGTCTGCACAAACTTGTCATGGAGGAATGATTGTGCATTAGTGAGTCTGCCACATCTCTCTTGTGGATGTTGCTCAAATATCTGGTAATGATGTGCAAGGGCATGGATACAACGAGCAAACCAGATTCCATTTCCCTTTTGCCACACTGCTATGCAATTTCAACACTTGCACCAATTCATGAAGCACCCTTTAGTCGCAATGTTGCAAAATTGGACAGGTTTATGAGCTAATTGATGGCAGAAAGGGGTAATGATTTGTGATTCTTCTTCAAGTTGTCTTTGATTTGATCTCAAAGTTGTTTTCAGTCCTGGATCTCACTGTGCCCTCTAATGACTGCATCCAGCTCTTCTTCCCACTCTTCAGCTTTGCTCTCATCCATCAAATTTGAGTGTTCTTCAATCTTGGCAGTACAGGTGTCTTGCATGCTAGGTATGATGTCCTCAACATTTGTTGTGGTATTTTCAGAGGCGGAGGTTTGGTCCGAGTCGGAAGATATAGTAAGGATGGATGAGGGATTGTAGATCCATGTGGTTAATTTGATTCCAATAGTGTTGTGAGTTCCAAGTTGCGAGGTGAGAGAACCTTCTTTCGAGCAGAGGCAATCTCTTTTTTGAACTCATAAGTGTTCATTGCACTTTGTCCTTGCCATTTGGCTTTGTATCATTGTTGAGTATGCACTGATTTGCTCATCACATTAGGGCCTGTTTTATATTTTGTTGGATGAGCTATACAAAAATTCCAAGTCAGTGTCCATGATTTTGATGAAATAGCACTCACATTTATGATTAATTTGATGTTTGAGTGCTTTTCTTGTCAGTCGTTCAGGAATCCAGTCTACATGCTTGTCATCTTCCTTCTGGACCATCTCTGCAAGCCTGCAACCAAATTCTTCATCTTCAAAGATCTTGCACTCGAGCTCCTCATCAATATCAGAGCCATCTGAATGGTTATCACAATAATCTTGTTTGAAATTAATCTTCAGACCATCAAATTCAAGGGTAGTGCCTTCGAGTTCAGCTGATTTTGACTCAGACTGACATGGGCTATTTGCAGGAGACAATCCACCACTGGTAGTCAAGGAGGCTTCAGAGATGAGAGAAGATGTTTGCCGTTGTCTGTGGAGGCCAACAATGTTTCTTTACCTCTTTTTTGGACAGTCTCAGAGCATGTTTGAGTGTAGTTGCAGGTTCAAATGGTCTGCAATGCATTTTTTCCCTCTCAAAATATTGGATCCAACTTTTTTCTGACACTGGATCCACATTAAACTCAGCAAAAGAAGTCCATTCTGCATTTTTTTTGGATTTTTAGTGATTCTTTTGTGGTACCGCCAATTTTTTGGACATGGCTCGGATCAAATAGACAGTTGTACAGATTTTGCTTGTACAAACCTATTCTAGCATGTGCTATGAACATATCTACAATATTTAAAATGGATTAGATTAAGTGTTAATGTCGGGAAAATTCAGTCACCAAAATTGGTGACTTTGCTTGTCTGCAACTGTATAACATTTACAGAATATTTTTTGCACTCAGATTTTTCATTTACTTATGGATATAATTGCATTATAAAGTTTCATATCTGCATTTTCATTTTCCTAAGTGGAAACTTCCAATGCTCCTATCTATTTGAATGGGACTTGAAGGCCAGCAGGTATGTTCACCACTGGACAATGAATTAATGATGATCAAGCAATGAAGTTGGGAAGTTTGTACTTGGTGGATATTTCAGCCAGTGATAGGGATCTGTAGTCTGGAGTAACATTCACTTGAAAAGTGGTCTGTGCATCACCAGGGAGGATACCCTTGAGGAAGTAGTTACAGACTGGTCAGGGACCATGAACCAATTTAACTTTATCAGAGAGAACACAGGAAACCCATGAGAGGACAGGGTTAGCAATTGCAATATCCTCCTCATTGGTGTACATGACATTGATTAATGGCATCCCATGAAAAGTCAACAGTGCATATAGGTCAAAAATCTCCATTGATTCTTGGCAGTTGAGAAGACGCACACACTGCTCTATAAAATCCTTGCTCTGCCTAGTCATCTGCAAGAAAAGATCTTTGCAATGAATAATGAGCAAGCACTCAGTTGTATCAGCTGAAAATTGCATTAAGGTGCCCAGTTGCTGGACAGTGTAAGTAGAATAACTCAGCAAAGCACAAACAAAGCTCCTAACTAATATCTATATGTTGTAGGTCATGTGCTGCCTAGTCTGCTATACATGGTGAGACAAGTGCATTTGACCCTAAAGGGGAAGCAAGTGCAGCAAAGGTCTAGAAGTATGTGTGAAAGGTGCTACAAGTTGGCTGATGCAAAGCATGAGAAAGTGTGTACATGTGGGAATTTGATGGAGGTGGGCATGGGAAAGTGAAGTACATGTGTTGTCTTCATAGATAGATGATCTATAGATGAACACCTACAAAACAAAACACCTCTACAGTTAGTGATTTAGACAAATACCAATGACTGATAATGTGGTTGTTTGTGGGTGACTGTTAAGTTATATCTAAGCTACTGTCAGAAAATGTACTTTATGAGATCAGTATAGCAACTACTAGTCAAGTCAACACAACTAGTCAACCTAGCAGTGTGGTGTTGACAAACAGAAACAGGAAACTAGTCAAACAATTAAGAAACTGACTTGTCATGACAATGGTTCCTTTACTTCAAACTTAATCGTGCAAAGCTGTATTATTTCTCTCACAGCACAAACAGGTAGGATCAAAGATTAAGACTGATTAAAAGCTTCTGTAGAACTTTTAGTCTAATGCTGAATCTGCTGCCAAGGAACTCACAATGAGTATTAAACAGAATCAAAAACAGACATCCTTGGATTTCAATACCAAGTCCCCTATTCAATAACTAAAGTCTATCTGACAAATGAAAATCTTGGCTCAGTATGCTACTCAGATGTGTGAGGTCAAGTATTTAATAATCAACTCCTGAAGTCTCCCCACTAAGCTTCTCTGAGCCTTTAGTGGATGTAGAGACAATACAAAGATCCAGAGATATGTTTGAATGTATTCACCAAAGTCTACAATATCTTAGTAATAGATGACTTCCCATAGGATTTAGATTTCTAGATGTCATTCTAAACCTTAAAATTCGGAGGTTTGGCAAGGTGGAATTTATATCTAGAAACTCATTCCAAACCATGAACATGGTCAAATAAATTTTATGATCTAATTCTATTTCCTAAACTTTAAACATGACATACAACATCACTGATGAAACCCTTGCTCTGGCTGGTGAATATAACAAAGATAATGAATTACACTGTCACATGTAAGGAGCCTTATCACAACTTTCAGCATCCTTATATTTGTCAGAGCTGAACAACCATGCTATGAACACTCTGAACACCAGCAAGCAATTGGGGCTTTGTAGAAAGTTAGGGAGAGATCAATGATACACATATTGAATGTAGATGTACACTTTATATCACAAAGCACATAGCACATTGCACATGGTGCAGAATGTAGCATACACCTGAAGTGATCGCTGATTAGCATAAAAGAGAGACTTGAACATACAAAAAACATCATAAGGATGGCCAAATTCTTTCTTATTCTCACTGCATCACATGAAAATATGCCATAATCACCTAGAAAAATCAAAAATGAAGCTCTTGCATAGATAGGAGTATGGATAGTGTGAAATGTAGTATAGACTTGAGACTTTGTTTGTGTGTTATGATGTTGCAGCATAAGTCAGCTGACTGTGGTAAGAAATAAGGCAAAACTAAGCAACATGTGTATTTAGAGTTTCATGGAAGTTCCCAGAAACAAACATATGCAGGAAATAATTTTCATGCATACTTCAGATGCGTGAGAATCTAGCTGAGTCATCTTTAAGCCAAATAACACAAAATTCATTCCATGAAAAATTCTCAAAAAATATTCACTGGCACCGCTTGGTTATGCACCAGACCAGTTTAGTGTATGTTAGCGTGGGAAAACAGGTGCATTCGAGGTGGTCGATGCATGAGTCCCAGTGAAAATTGAGTAAAAAGAGGCAGATATGGGGAGATAGAGGTTGAAGCTCAAAATGAGGTAGATAGATATCTAAAAAATTTGAGATGAAACATTTGTATTTTTTATGCAACTTGCAAAACATTGTTACAAACTCATTGAACTTTGTAATTTGCATTGAATCATTGTTGATGAGATTTACATATTGTGTTTGTGGCCACACATTATACTGTTCTTTGTATATTATCTGCAATCTTTCAATATATATGATTGAGTCACTTTGCATGCACACAACACTAGTTGACTTCTATAACCTCAGACGAGCTTGACACAGGTACACACTGATTGGATAATGGCACTCTTATCTATGTGTGTGACTGCAGTATGTATCTTTGCAAGACTGGAGGAAGGCATAGGTAGCAGGTCCCCAAAGCCACTTACTTCAGACATAAACCTGGCAGGACTGCTAGTCAGTCTCTTCTACCACCTCCTAATCTAGCACCTCCAGAGGCTTTACTGGAGCCTGTGCCATCATTCAGTAAGTGTCTTCCAGCAGATCTTGACAAGACCCACCTACCTATGACAAGAAAGAAGGGACATGTAGGGAACATTAATTTGGACAAAACAACTCCTTTTACTAACAATTTACATGTAAGTGTCTATTTATTCTACTAGGTTGACATCACTAAGATGCTATATCTCAGCCTTGTTCTCCAGGATTAGTGATACCAATGACTTGGAGACAGCAGATCACAGTGATGATGATCTCAATATGGCCACTATAGACATCATTGAAGGCATGTACATCTGAGTTTATCTAATATCAAGTTTGATTCTAATATTCATACAAGACATAGGTCTTGCAGCTTATGGTGATGACAGTACACCTAACATTGATACAGCCCCTCTTGATTATGTAGGAGGTGTGTATATACCCTAATTAATTTTGTTTTTCTAACATTGATGTACTAAGATATAGGACCCTGCAGCTGGTCATGACTTAGAATGGGCTGAGGATACTGAACCTGCAGAGCACACTGATGCCAATGATCACAGTCTCAACTAGGTTTTGATGCTTGCTGATGCTGCTTGACACAAAGCCTCAAGCTATGACAACAATGATGATCACAGCAAAGGTCCATACCATCATGATACTGACCGTGCCCATGTGATGAACCTCCATACAATGCTGATGCTCAAACAATGAGCTAGACAGACAAAGACCTAGAAGAACTTTACAATCTAGCTCAACTTCAGGATGCCTAAGACACAATGACATTCATAACAGCTTTCAAAAAGCCTCACTTGATGACCCTCATGTATGTCTGCCTGCAGAGGCACTTAACTGACTTCGAAATCCTCCACATACAGTCATCAATAGCTCATTGAGATGCTACAGCTGATTGATACAAAACATGCCTCACACAACAACAATACATTTTCTTCTCTCAAAACTAGTTGTGTGCATTTAGACAATATGTATCTTGCCCCATGGAAAATATACGAAAGACACTGTTACAGCCACAAACCAGTCAGAACCAGTCTCTACCCCTTACTATGCCTGGCTGTGCTAAATCTGCTACCAAAAAACAGCAGAAAGTTCATCAAGCTCATGATTATCTCATGGCTAAAGCTGTGTCTGCATATCAGACTGAGCTCTTCAAAAAGCAGGGTTTAAAATGTCGCAGCTCATGAACTATTTGTAGAGACTTTGAACAAATGAATCTAGAATCAACTGGCAACTATATTAAATTATCTCATACCATGCCGGTCTGGCTGGCAACTGGTGGAAGGACAAAAGCTGAGGCCAATGCTCTCAAGGGATGGTTGACTGAAGTGAAGACGAAGCATGTCTTTACATATGCAGAAGAGGTGGGCAATCAAGGTTTTCCACTTAGTCACAGGCAGCTTCAAGAGCATGTTGATGAAATCTGCCATGTTCGTCTCAGAGAAACCTTTCATGGAGTAGAAACACACTGGACAAACAGATTTGTTGAGAAGTATTCTGATCGTCTGAAAACATCTTGGGCAAGTTCACTCAACTCAAAACATAGCCAAGCTGTCAATACAAACACAAACACAGCATGATTTGACCTTCTCAAGACTGCATTGGACCAATATGACATTGCAGAAGATTGTATATATGGAGTTGATGAAATTGGGATCTCTGCACAATCAGGCAAAGCCAAATGAGTCATTGGAAGTCATAAACCTGGACTGCAGTATCAATAGTGAACTGGGAGCAAAGAAAACACAACTGTAATAGTGACTATCTGTGCTGATGGCAGTCAAGTCCACCAGGAGTTATATTCAAGGGCAATGCTTATCAAGCGAAGTGGAAACAAGATAACCCTGCAAATGCATTGTGAGCAAACTGATCAATAATGACAAAATCACATACTGATGGTCAACAGCATTGGATACTCTAAAAAGGGTTGGACAGACAGAGAAATTGGTGTTGAGTGGATAAAATAGATTGATAAACGCATGAAAGAAAAGGCCAATGGGTGTGACCGCCTTCTAGTTGTGGATGGTCACAATTCCCATTACACACAAGGGTTTCTTCATTATGCTCAAGCACATCAAATCTGCATCATATGCTACCCTGCACATGCAACCCATGTGTACCAAGGGTTAGTCCCAGGCATTGAAGCGCGCGCCAGGACGCTTCTGGAGGTGCGTGGAAGCCATGGTGGTCCAAATCTTGACAGGGTCGTCCTGGACAGCGTCGATATGGGTCCTTTGCTCTACAGAGCACGCCAGATACAGCTCCCCAGCTGCCTTGTCTGCCTTGGTGTCCCACTTTGCTGCAGCTTCTGTCTCTGTAGGTCGAGTCTCGATGCCATTGACAAGCAACCAGAGACCCTTGACTCGAAGATAGGCCTTCATCTCACCCTTCCAGGTAGCATAGTTGGTAGAAGTGAGTTTGGTGACAGTGCAAATAGATTTGGAGTCTTCTGAGGACATGGCGAAGGAGACGGCGCAGTTTTGCAGCAGTGGGACGAATTAAGGGCAAGGGCTTGGTAGAATTCGAAGGAAAGGCTGTCTTTGCTGATTTTCAACAAAGAGAGCAAGGAATAATGGGTGGGGAGAGTACCAGTGGCTGGATGCGAGAGGAGGGAAAATGCGCACTAAGTTGGCCCAAAGACAGTGAACTCCAGCGACAGATTTGACTGCTAAAGCG